GTTGAATCAAGGGAGTTTCACTAAAACACCCAAAATGGGGGTTGAAATTATAAAAAAACCCAAGCACTATTTAAACATATAAACACACCCAAAACTCATCATTACACACACTCAAAACCCATTTATAAACACACCCAAAAAGTTGACTTTATGGTTGATTTTGGGTGTGTTTCTATGTTTAAATAGTGCTTGAGTTTTTTTATAAATACATGTCTAGAATTGGGTTTATTTATAAATTTGTATTGAATCAAAGGATATGTAAACAGTGGGACATATGAACTGGATGATTAACTGGGGGTCCCACAGTAGGATTTACCCAAGAGAAAGTGACCATAAAGGTTAAAAAAAAGGTTAAGATAACACATTGTAATTCCTTGGTTTAATGTAGGATTCAAATCAAGGATCTAGTTTTAACCCTATCTAACAATGAACTAATTACTTCCTCAATCTTTTTGGACGATGACGATAACTTTCACGACCTCGAGTAGACCGTTACAGTATATTATGAATAATTTATATTTGAATATGTTGTATATTTAATGATTCGAACTTAAGATGTCTAAAGTTACATATTGTTTTATACTATACTATTTGGATTAAGCTTTATTTATTTATTTATTTATAGATGGTTAGTACGTGTCATACCAAAAAGAGAAAATGAATTATTATGAGCAAAAAGATAAGAAAACAAACAAAAGAAAAGAAAGGGAAAATTAGTGACAATAATATGTAATTATTAAGCAGTAATAATGTTGCTGGGTTGGATAAAGCTGGGTCAAACATGGTTGACTGACATGTTGGGACACGAGACGTGGTGTTTTCCTTGAACCCCATCTCTGTGTCTCTCTCCGCACATTTTTCATTATGACCAATAGGTCCCCATTTCATCTTCCTACATTTACCTCTCTACCCTTCCAGCCAAACCAAAATTACAGTCCACTGATCCTGATCTCTTACAGTGGTCCCAAACCAGAAGAAATCAAAATGGTCCCAGAAGACTGTAGAGATAAAATGACCTTGCAGCCCTTCCACGCCAAAGAAAGGGACACAAAATTGTTATTTTTGTTATTATGTGACGATAATGCCCTTGATTTGGTGGGCAATTAATTGATTTAAAGCAAGTGTCTCTATCAAGAAGGGGGGGCTAGCAGCACAAAAACTGCCTCATGTGGTTGGAAGGCTTTTATGGTAATTTCAGTCAGAGGTTCCAGCTATCAGAGATTTGGACTGGCTCACTTCCCCTTCACCCGCACTGTTCAGACTTGATGAAAAAGATTCAAAAGGCAATGATTTTGGCTCCTCTGATTTTATTAACAAACTTGTACTGAATTTGATGTTAAAGGCTGTGATCACTGAGACCATATCCTTCTTTGATTCAAACAGGGATTCAAAATCACATAGTTCCTCTCTTTAATGTCACAATTCTAGCAAATTTTCTGGCTTGTGTTCTTATTTTAGCAAAGTTCTACACATAGAGGGTCAAATTTTTCTGGCCTCTCTCTCTCTCTCTCTCTCTCCTTTTTCTACTTTGTTTCTATTCTGTAAAAATTTCTTTGTTTTATTAGAAGAAAGATGAGCGTCTACCCAAAATAGAGACCATGATCAAGAATCACAGTGCCCAAAATTAGCCTTAAATTTGTCATCAAATGGTCAAAATTTGAACAAAAGCCCCACACCCACATGTGGTTGTTGAGTCTATTGTGTGAGACTTGGTGTAGAATTTGGTGGAACCAAGCATAACATGAAAGGTTGGTTTTTTTTCTTTGTCGGGTGCTAATTTTTCTTTTTTTTTTGGGTTTATTTACACTTCTTTTTATTTTTTAATACTTTTTAGTATAACATACAATGGAGTGTAAGTGAACAAAAGAGGAGCGAGAAAATTAGTTTTCTTTTTTTATTTGTTAAGATATTGGGAGCGCAGCTGGGGGAGGGTGTGGGTGGTGAAGGGAAGAGGGAAGAGGAGGGAAGAGGAGGGAATTGATTCGGTGGCTTTATCCAAAGGGAGTTTCACTAAAACACCCAAAATGGGAGTTGAAATTATAAAAAAACCCAAGCACTATTTAAACATATAAACACACCCAAAACCCATCATTACACACACTCAAAACCCATTTATAAACACACCCAAAAAGTTGACTTTGGGGTTGATTTTGGGTGTGTTTCTATGTTTAAATAGTGCTTGAGTTTTTTTATAAATACATGTCTAGGATTGGGTTTATTTATAAATTTGTATTATCCAAAGCCTTTTTTGTCAAACTGTTTCACTTAGAACTAGAAAGAAAACTTTGGGCTAAGTTAAAAAAGCCCTGAGCCCAAAGCTTTTTCATCCCAGAAAACACGTTGTATCAAATTACTAATTTATGCCTTGGACTGTGTGCCCTTTGTCCCCTCACCTTTGGAAATCTGGAATCCACCAAGTCCAAAATTCATAATTTTAATTTTAATTTGGCATTGACAATCCTAAATCTTAACCTAATCTTTGTTCAGTTGTTTTTATTTTTTAATTTGGCCTTTGGTTAATGTGTAAGATCTAGTATGCTGCAGTTGGTGCTTCAGTTTTTATAGAAATGTGTGTGTGTGGGCTGCTGAACAAGTTGCAAGCTGGTTTCTTAATTGTATCAAATTAAGATGGATGGCTTTTGGAGGTAGTGGGGAGTACTTATTATTAGAGAACATGGCATTGGAAAGTTGGCAACCAACAACAAAAAGAAACACCAGAGTTCCATAAAAATTGTATGCCACTTTGCTTTGCTCATAAAACAAGTTTAATTGCATATGAGTCTTCAATGTTGTTCTGTTCTAGATTTGATTTGGAGGGGCCAGCATGAGCAAGAGACTCTAGAGAAAGAAGAAGAAGAAGAAGAAGAATTTGGGAAATGGATAATTACATGAAAGGATGATTACAAGCACTAGAATTTTATTCCACTTGATTGTATTTGATTCTTATTCAATCGGCAGGAACAAAATTAGGTGTATAAACTTATTTTGCTTATTCGGACGGACACACACACAATACCAATCTGAGACTACTGGCGTACAAGTCAATGTCTTTTTTCATAGAGCTAAAACGCCGTTGACCTTTTAAATACGGGACAGTTATAAATGTTAATTTGAATTCAATACCTTGGATCTCTTTGCCAACCCCACAAGCACCTCTTTTTCATTGATACCCAGTTACCCAGTGCCAAGGGCATGGAAGAGACACCCATAATTCTGATGAATTAAAAAAAATAAATAAATAAAAATAAAAACTGAAATGAGTGCTGCTCCAACACAATTTGACAGAAAGTGACTGAACAATCGATTAGCATTCTTTTCCTTGCAGAGCTTTTCAATTTCCCATCTCTGTTAAATTTATGTATTATTTGTTTCCTTGTGGAATCAAATTTCCTTCGGTGTTTTCCTGGCCAATAAAAGGATAAAGCTACAAGGTTCTGTTATCAAACACTGTCACCATTCCTTTTTTCCCTTAAAACAAGAACCTTTCCCAAATCCTATTCTTTACTATAATTAATTATCTTTTTTTTCATGTCAAGACAAAACTTATATTAGTTTTCAATATGAAATTGTATTACAGTTACTTTATGATATGGACATGTAGTGGAGAGAGTTTCTGGAAACCATAAGCAATGATGTGATTTCAATTTGTTTATGAGATGAGCATTTGTATGTACAACATTGATTAGTAGATGTGGAATGATTATATTTATATTTATATTTCATTGTCATGTAATTATCAAATGCTTAATTATATACGTCCACGACAAAAAGCACATCAATAGCCTTTTTTTCTTTCATGATCAATTAATTGTAATGATAAAATGAGGGTTTCCAACGAGGTTTTGTGTTCGATTTCCTCTTTTCCAGTACCGTTTGTTTTAAAAGGAGAAAATCATACTTAAAAGGAAAAACCGAGATGGGCTTCGATTAATGAGCTCCAATGGGAGAACTATAGGTGGTACATGTACCTTTTACTCCCTTCCAATTTATCATTCAACTGGAGTGGGCTTCCATATCCAAAATGGACTTGTCAAAATAATTCATAGTGAAGATACTTTGAAGAAAATCCCAAATGGAATTGGAGCCTGTTGGCACCCATCCATCCATATCCAGGTTTTTGAGAGGCATTTGTTTGTATGTCTGTCTTCATGTGTAGGAGCTTCCACTACAAATCTGACAGAATTCCTTCTGTTGCTTCTATGAATTGGACAGTTCTTATTTCTTGGCCTAGTTGACAAAATAACAGGTTTACAGGATTCTTTTTGTTCATGAGTCACTTTAATTTTTTGTTTCTTGTCTTGCTTGTAATCGTTTCTAACAAGTGGGGGGGATTGGTTTTTTTTTTTTTTTTTTTTTTGTGTGGGATTCTAAATTGTAATACTGTCAAACTGCAGTTTACCATTTTGCTTGTAATGTTCTATGTTTCCTGTGTTCTGCAATTGGTATTTTTTGGGTCCAAGGAACACCTTGTACTCTGCAGAAATATTTTTGAAAAGCTCAAACTAGTGTACTACTGTTATTTTTATTTTTATGTTTCTGCTGAAGTATGGCTCTGGTTTGCTTCTCTGCAGTGCCTAATATTTGGTATGGCCAAGATGATTTTACAAGAATTGGCCTTCTAATTCCTGATAATCAAGCATCATTTGCATTTGGTAAGGAATTAGAAAGTACATATTTAAGCAATAATCCAGATGAATCAAAAGGCATAATTGGTGTTTTGAAGTTTCAAAAGCTGCATTCTTATTAGTAGAAACCAAAGCATACATCCAACTACTTCTGCAAGAGACAATGTGTTACTTACAAAAACTGCAATCTTATTACCAAACTTGAACATGGCAAGCTGTTGAATATGTTTCCTTAAAAGCTTTTTGTACAGGTCTTCCGGAAGTGATCTAGAGTTAATCCGCGAATTAGACTCAATAAAGAAAAAGATTATAAGAATAAGCTGACAAAAAAAGTTTGGCTGTTATAAAATGCCAAAAATAAATGTAGCAATAAATTCAGGTATCAGCATCAAGATCCGGATCATGATCATGATCATTATTATCTGAATCAGGATCATCGTTATCATTATCAGGATCAGGTTCATCATTCTGCATGTCCATTTGGGATGCAGCAAGAAATAGGGCTCCAGTTCCTGAACCACCATGAGAATGTTCAATAACAACGTTGTCTGATAGGTCATTCCCAAGCATTTCCCAGACACTGCTGTTGAGGTAATTTCTGAAGACACGGTAGTGCTCATAAAGCCCGCCTTCCACGGTAACTACACTTTTCTTGTTTTCGATTCTCCCTAGCTTCTTTATTATCCCAAGAATTCCAGCTCCAGCAAGACGAGCTCCACGTTCGGCAGTGATGTCACAAACCTCGGAAACAACCTCCCTCACCCTTGGAGAAGTACTAGTGATCTGGTAGTGATGGAGAATAATAGTTAAGTATTTTGCATATCAGTAAGATTGAAGACTAGTTCAGGTAATTTCTACGCAGTTACTGTTTTAGTACTTCATTGTGAAGACACCTTACCCCAAAAACTTTCGTCAGTTTTTCACCAACAATTTCACGATCGTCCGATGCATCTTGATGCATAGCCGCCATATCAGGTGAGCTAGATGAAATGACAAGTGACATATTAGTAGCAGCTGAAAATTATTCTCTTGGGTCCAATGTTGCCAAAATAAGTATAAATCTGCCGCAAATTTTAACCACAGTATTACATCATTTCTTTCACTATGTCTATTTGATTTAAACCAGCAGTTAGTCAAATTAAGATGCTAACTAAAATCAATGCATAATTTTTGGAACGGTTACAAATTCAACATGCTACTAAAAGCACATGCACATTAGACTTTGTTCTGCACCTCAATTGGTAAGGAGTCATGAGTTTTGAAGGCACATGGTCTCCAAATAATGCTGTTTCCTGGGCCATCTTCAGTAATACTCTTCTCACAATTTCCCCCAGATACATTCCTGAAATCAGCTTCTCGAATCTCTGATACAAAACAGGATTAGCGAAGAAGCAGAGAAGTCATGTGTTTCGATAGATTGGAGTACAAGGGTTTCCTTACCCGCCGTCCAGGATTTGAGCTCTCAGCATCTAAACAAGTATCAAAGATGGTTATTGGAAGATGAGGAGAACTGAAATCTCCCCACTGTGTGCTAATTACCTGCAAAACTAAGCAGATAATTTAATTATTCTGTTCACTTCTATGCAATAAGCAACTACAATAGACACTAATTACCATCTCTCCTAACTTAGGTGATGGACCATGCCACTGGAGAGCTGCATCTGCTGGCTCTACATAAGCAGCATCTGTGCCCATTGCTAGAGTAACCGCAGCCACGCTTTCTTTGTTATAGTATCTACCTCCTGCCAAATTTCCTACTGTATCATCAACCTGCTCAAGAAGATACATAGCTGAATCAATTGCAAGGAATCACTTTGTTGTACTAGAATCAGGCAAAAATGGAAGTCACATTAACCAAGGGAGCTGCTTACCATTGCGTAAACGCGCAAGTTCACTCCATGTTCCTCAAGGGCTTGGTTGAAGTCACTCACCAACTTCTTTCCAACCTGATCACATTGCATAATTGTAGATATATTGGTGGTTAAAATCTCTGCAATTGCCATGATAAATTGCAATGGAAATGTTTACACAATTTTAAACTTGAGCAGTTATTTTTGCGGATTCATTGAGTGTAAAGTACCAAGAAATGGCTAAATAGAACTTAACTTTGCTATCAGCTGAAAAACTTTTCCATTTGATTGCAGTTCCGTGGGAAACAACAGCTTGATCGACGGGACATGACACTATACAACCCAATTTGTTCCCCTCTGCTGAGTCCGCTTGACCGTCTGGATGTTCTGAAATAAACTTCCCTAGCTCCACAGCAACAAAATCAAACAGTTCCTGTTTAACCAGAAAACCTCAGATGCATCTCTTTCCACTACAGTCCATAAACGCATTTTGATCTTGTTCAAGTTTTAAACTCTAAATGTAAAATAATTGTGACAATGCATGATCTTATTTGGTTGAACTTGAAACCAATGCATGCATCTACATGTACATAAGTCATTAGCCATACACTCCCTCTACTCCAAAAGAAGGTGTTCAGATCCTCTGCACATGTTTTGATGTTGATACCGCACTCATATAAAAACTACGTTGTTTCCCCTAAGAGCTAAACCCTAAACTCTATACTTTAAAATGACATCGTAACAATTAAATTTTCCCCAAAAGAAGAAATGATCCTTGAAGCTGAAGCTACTGCTGCAAAAAACTTACCTTAGAAGTAGCAGCCATGAGATTGGAGGGGATGGGAATCTCCTCCCTATACAAATCTGAAATGGGTTTGTTCTTCCCTCCAAGTCTGGCACACAAGATCAAGAAGTTTGTTCCTCTCAAATTCACTCCATAATAAAGCCCTTCCTCATCTCTGCCACCACACCACAACACAACATATCCCAAATCAAAATTCAACAAAAACCAGTACTTAACAATCCATGTGAGTAAATGAGGCTTGAATAAATGAAGTAAAAAGTAGCTAGCCTACCCGGAGGGGAGGGGAGCAACATACGAAACGAGCATGTTGAGAGTTGTGATGGTTCCACTGGAGGCAAGGCAAGCTTTAATGTCAGAGACTAAGGCATTTGACACCAGCCACAGCTTTGGCACTGGCGTGGCACAGTCCCTTGCAAATTTGCGTAGTATTTTTTGTGTTTCTCTCCATTGCCTCTGTTTCTTCCGCTTCCACTGTCTCAGTAATGCCGCTGCCACTACCACCGTGGCGGTTGCCGTCAATGCTGCCGCCACCACCACCTCCTTCCTCATTTTTATTGTCTCTCCGATACCAATATGTGCGCATCAATCACCAACTTGCAAAATAATATTGGCTTTGCTATACGTTTATTTTTCTCCTGATGATATGTTGGTTCGGAATAACAGAAACCGTTATTTGTGCAGTGAGGAACGAGTATTATGGAGGGGAGGGAATAAGATGCATTGATTGTGTTGGAAGGTCTTAATTAATTCAAGATATAGCAGTTGAGATCTTCAATTGATATTGAAATTATAAAGTCATGTCCTAACCTATGGTGTCACAAGCGTCACCAAAAATCAGTGTGAAAAAAATATCTCTAAAGACAACCACATATAAGCTAAAAAATAAACTAAAAAGACTTTATGACGCATAATTAAGAAAAAAAATCCTCCATCACTATTACCGTAGAAAATAATCTCATGATAGTAATGATATCATCACAATATGACGTCGATATTGTCCCATTATATCGATTGCAAATGGTTTCATACAATTTTGATGACATACATACATAAAATATGAATATTGTGTCGATAACCGATTTGCTATAGTGATAATTTTATTTGAGAAAATTGCTTTATTAATATTGTTACTTTAGAAATTAAAAAAAGAAAAAAAGAGTTTAGTATTATTTACGTCGTTACTCAATTTACTCTTTTGAAATCGGGGTATAGTATAGTCCAATTAATTGAAGTCCATGGATTGTAAGTTCTAAGCTGGCTGGACTGGGTCCTTCGTTTGCGCCCAAGCTATGTACCTTGCAAATTGCAGTTGGGCATTCCTGTAACTGGGTGGCCTAAATAAATTCAATTTGGGCTACTGGAAGGCCTAAAAGAGTTTGATACGTAACCAAGTCCAAATCAACTGTGAATAAAAGGTGAAATTGTTTGCTTGTTTTGTTTTTGTTTTTTTTTCATAAGTAATATTGGGAAAGGAAAAATCGAACCCAGGATCTCATGTGATAAATAATCTTAACCGTTTAAGCTACAATTCCGTTGCTTCGAATTATTTGTTAACAAGTCTTTGTTAGAGCATCCACAATGAAAGGGTGTATATGGGGGTGTATGTTAAATATACACCCCTTGTCACCGGAATTGTCTCCAATGGGGAGATGTAAAGGGTTGTAAATATACATCACCACCATGGGGATGTAAAATAAAATGTACATTTACATTTATTTTTACATCTTTTGTAGGCGGGACCCACCCGAGAAAAGAGAAGAAAAATGAAGAAAAGTTAACATAAAAGACTAGGACCCGCGGCTATAGTAATTGTTGGAAAAAAAAATCACATGTTGTTTGTTCATTTGTGGTTTTCATGCTCCCCCCCCCAATGTTTTTGGATGAAATCATATCTTCTTCGAATTTAAATATTTTTAGATTTATTTGTTTGAAAAATTAAAATTAACCTAATACAAAAAAAATTAATTTTATAAAGTAAACATAAAATACAAATTTAACACAAAAACGAATTAAGACAAACAAAACAATTATACATCTTAGATTTACATCTTTTCTTATTGAAGCAAAAAACGTATTTACACCCCTCGAAGGTGTAAAGGGGATGTAAAAGTGGCTTTACACCCCCGAATTTACACCCCTCACTGTGGATGCTCTTAGTCCTACTTGGCATATCAAAGGCTGTTCTCATAAACCCTTTACAATAACCTAAAGTTGATTTTTCAATTCGATCAAAAAGAGAGAGTTGATTTTTCAATAATATAATAGTAACAATCTGACCATTGAAGCTGGAAAACCGACCTGTCCATGAAACATACTTATTTCGATTTTCTACTAGTTATTTGTTCGACAAGCTTTAGTGGTTGTGCGCCCCCAAAATTAGAAATGTGTGTTTACATGGAACAACATAGTCGTGTACGAAAAGCTGCCACAAGTCAAAGTTTTTGTGCTAATCATCATGATGGTGATTCCTCTGTATCTTCGTAAAGGAAGTCTTGGATGATTTTACACTTTTGCTCTCGCCTATATAATGTTAATCAATAAATATTATAATTTCTTTTGGTTTTTTTTCTTCTTTGACTCTAGCAAATGTTGTTTGGTTCGTTTCTAGATGAAAGGAAACTGAAAGTGAAACAATATTTTATTGAAGAACATCAAAATCAAGGAGAAGGGCCCTTCGGAGCCGTTACCTTCAAGGCAAAAGAATATTGTATGGAAGAATTTATCGTTGATTTTATTTATTCATTATATAATGATTTATGCAACAAATGATGCTCTACTTTGATTGAAAATTTATTTTATGAAATATACAAGTAGTGATGATAGTTTGGTTTTAATGTGAAAGGATTGGAGTCATGCATTCTTTAATTTAAAAAATAAAATAGGGTTGGGCAAAAAATTGGGTTAATCGATGAACCAGACGGTTTAGTTTGGATTGATTTGATGTTTTTAATTTCTATCTCTTTGTATCATCCATGTTGGATCGAACATGATTCAGATGTGGTTTGAAATTTTCCAGTGATCGAGAGAACTGAATCATATTAGTCCTCATATAAAAGCCAAATTTTTCCATATGTATCAAAATTCTATAACTGCATCAGCCACCCTTTTGCCATTCTCTTCTCTCGTTTTCTCACGCTCTCGTCTTCCTGTATTTCTCGTGTCTTCAACTGCGATGTAGTGCCTCTGCTCACCTTGATGATGCCTCAACCCTCCTCGCTGATATAATCTATAATCATATCTAACTTAAATGTGAGATATGCTCAGAATTGGACTTGCTGCTTTGCTAACCTTGCCTCATCACTACAACCTTAAAGGGCTAGGGAGGGTCGAATTGACCCTTGCCCAACCCTATTACAAAGTGTGGCAATTCGAAGAGACATGATTAAAAATGAATTAGATTAGTATAAGTCTTAAACAAAAATAACACGTTATGACTCAGATAGCACAAAAAAGTCAAAAAGTTGCATCAAAGATTGATGCTTTGTTAATCTTCTGTGTTGTTTTTAATGACAGTAGCTGTCATTTTACTCTTTATGACAATAGATGAACTACTACTCAAGTGCGAAACCTAAGAAAAAGTCATCGACGACAAAAAGAAACTTTCACGATTAATTATACCTAATTTTTTGGTGTGTGTGTGTTTTATTTTCTCTGGACTGTAGACTGTAGACTGTATGTATGAGCCTTCAATAATTAAGGCTTCTTCTACTACCCTATAAGCTCACCGACTAATAGTGGGACCATTTGGGTCAGAAGTCCAACAAAGTCCGAGAACTTGGTTGGAGAAGAAGCTGATTGAATTCAAAGCCTTTATCCAGTGAACACGTATTGGCCTTTGACCATATACAAGACCTTGTTTTCAAATGCCGTATGTGGCACTTTGGTGGTGTATTGGGTTGGCTTTGCTTCATCTACCCCCATTGAAGGACATCAAAGTTTTTTGTTTGAAAACTAATTAGGGCAGCATATTCTTCAGCTGGACTTTTGTTTTGTTTTTTTCCCCTTGTTCTTCATCATCTAGATGGCAGTGCAATCTTGATTGTCCTCATTTCTACAATTCATACAAAGAGCTTGTGCTTAATGAAATTGATTAGTAGATAAGGTGAAGAAAATAATTAACCGATATGTCTTTTTTCAATAGATAGTCAAACATGTTTTAAGCCTTTTAAGTCGAATCGCACATTTAAACATTAAATTTTTATTAAAATGTGAGCATCCAACTCAAATCCAATTATGAATGTGCAAATAGGCCCAAAATCATTTTAAGTAGTACTTATTCAAGACTTCAATTCTTCAATGTGACATATTCTCAATATTATTATTGACCAGGAAATATCACGGTGAACCTTAATAAAGAGGAGAACTTATTAATGATTTGATTGGGATGCACTCTTGTGTCCTAATCGTTGCATCTCACTATCATGTTGGTTACTAAAAAAAGTAAAGCATCTTATAGTTGTAACTTAGATAAGATAATATTATAGATGATGATGCAAATCCATCTTCTAGTCGCAATCTCCGGAGCCGAGCATATCAGATAGTTTATATCAATAAGTCAATAAATATTTGAAATTTGTTTCTTATTAGCATTTGGTGGCTCCCATCAAGTGTTCATTATTTGCTCAGCAGTTTGTAAGAGTCACCAACTTCACATCTGATCCGTCTCAGAATATGCAATCTGTCTACCAAGTTAGAGGAGATGGTATTCTAATTAATAATCTAAGCTTTAGTTATTTATATCTAATTAGCAATTAAATTTCTTAAATACTTGAAGATCTTTGCATTTAATAAATGGAAGAGGTTTGTGAGTGAAATCTTATTCTTAAAAAATAAATCGAAGAGGTTTGAACCTAAAGACAGCAAGAATGTATCCAGAAGAAGACAAACTGGGCAGATCACATAATCTCTGGTGGGACTAAGGTTGTCCCCTACCTAAACAATAATTGATCGTATCATATTATTTAAATGGTCCCTGTGCAATCCTATAAAACGGGAGAGAGACAACATAAATCTTCAATGGTAATTATGAATTCTTTTGCTGAGAACTCTACAAATTTCCTTACAATTTGAAGTTACATTTCTAAATTGACTGTCAAGAACTTTTTGCAAGCTCTACTTCTGACTTTTAGGCGTTTCATCCCGTCTTTTTCTTACAAAGACAGTTTTGTTATTTTTGGTTGGGGTGGTTTTACAAGTGATTCATTTAGAATAATATAAGGGTTATTCAAAACCTAAATATATTTTAATTCGACTAGTTAATCATTGGTCTAATGGTATTTGCCTCAACTAAGTTGGAGGAGGTTTCAGGTTTTGGCTCACATTAATGACGATAATGATGTGTGTGTATATATATTTGTGATGAGTTTGATACTTAGTCATGGTTAGCCCCACTGTAAGATGAAAACTAAAACTAAAATCCGATTGTTTTTTATCCGTTTTTGTTTTTGGTCGACAAAGAAAACTTGTCAATAGAATATCAAAGTGAGATATGGGACATGGAATGAGGAATATCCACCAAAGAAACAACAATCAATCATTAAGTCACAAAATACAAAGGAAGTTTACACAAAACCCCTCGGAAAAAAAAAGAAAAAGAAAAAGAAAAAACCGCAGCTAGGTTTTCATATATAACAGGAGGGAAAACTGAACGTGGTCAACGGGTCAACCACGCAAAAATCACCAAAAAACCATCCTGCAAAATAAAACCGCGCTCGCAACAAAAACAAAGCCATGGCAATGGCTAATATTTCATGCTTTACAGAGAGGCTTTGCTTCCTTCAAAAGGTCATGAAAGCCAGAAAAAAAAAGACATGCATAAGAAAACTGTCAATAAAATTAATTTATTCCTATTTATCTTCCAGCTTCTAGATCGAGCTCTAAAGCACAAAGCGAACTTCAAAACTTCCGATTTGCTGGTCACACAAACTTGAGCAATGACTGTCTCAGGTTTTTCACAAGATCCTTCACTGTCATGCTGAATTCAGCGTCCATCTGTAATTAAGAAATAGCAAGTTTCATTAATTAGGCCTCTACATAAAATCAAACATTAATTTCTTCTAGAAGAAATAATATCATGTTAATTTAAGTACTTAGTGAACTGGTGTTGAAATATACCTGAGCAATTACAGTGATATCAAGAGTTGAATTGCAAAAGGGCAAGACACTGCTGTTAACAATGGTGAGATCAAGGCTCTCTATTTCGCTTAGTATTTTTGCCAAACATCCTTTGGTTTTCTCACAATGGACTCGTATGAGAACCTCCTTGTCTGACACCCTTGCTTCAATTTCGGGGAGTGGCTGGTCGGAGCAGCTCTCAAAGTTCTCATCCGATGAAGATATATCATCATCTGCAGAGTACTGAGTCCTCTTCACAAACACCACTGCTTCTACGGTTTTCTTAACCGCTTGTTCCTCCAGCATCTTCGTACGTTCTTGAAGATGCTTCACGTACTTGATCGCATCTCCAAGGACTGAAGCTTTGTCCATCTGAAATTTTGCGTAAAGGGGTCATTGAGAAAGTTGGCTACACTTCAATAAACTTACTGGAATTGTTCTATTGCAAGCCGTTACACCGTCAATCTGAACCGTTTAGTAGACAAAAGCTTACTTTATAATTCAGATTTAACGTTTTTACAACATAATATGTTAAGCTATCTAACAAGGGAACATATTATGCATTGAATTATAGAAACAATTAATTAAGTACGTACCTTCTTTAAGCCTGGAACTAAGGCAGATAGAGCTATGAACCGCTGGCTGAGTTTTTCTCTGCGCTTTCTCTCAGCGAGAACATGATCTTGAGCATGTAAAGGACTCCTAGTGACTGTAGCTGCCCTCTTGATCCCTTGTCCATGTCTCGGTGAACAAGTTTGGGGGTCATAGGAACCTTGGGAAATCAAAGTTGTAAGGTTCAATTTCCCATTGGAATATTCCACCTCATTCTTTGGTTTCATTGTGTTGTCTAGAGTACCATAGAACTGCTGAGAACTGGTTGGGGGTGATGAGTTGGAGTTATCAAAAGAAATTAGATGTGAGGAGGAAGAAGAAGCAGCCTTGGCCATAAATGTGTGGTCAGTAGTGCAAGGGTTCCAAGTAGTGTGGTTCTTAGGCTGTTTTGCTGGCCTATCGTGAGTGCCGGCCTGATGAGGAGTTTCGATGGATGCGTTGTTGAAGTTGTGTGTGGCTTTAGGGGTGAAATTTGGGTAAGACGAGTAGCTCTCAGAAGAAAAAGACTGGAAATTGAGATCATCAAGTGAGTAGTCCAGAGAGTTCATTTCATATTGATGGATAAAAGTAGGATCCTCCATCTCCTACATAAAAAAAAAATAAAAAAAAAATAGAAGCATTAATATAGAGCTACCACAGATTATGAAGAACTCACTGCTAAAGTTTTATTTATTTATTTTGGTATTTTAAATTTCTTAGTGAAAGTCTCTTCATGTTAAGGGATATGAATTCAGAAGTATATATAAATTTGCATAAATAGAAGCCAGACTTACCAAATCAGATACCCATTTTGCTGATGAAATCATGTCCATTTGAACACCTGCTTTCTTTCCTTGGAGTGGATCGGAATTGGCAGCACCTTTTGATTAGACTAAACAAGACAGTAAAATCTTAGTTATACTTCTTCTTTCTTGATCAAAATAAAAGAATAAAGATATCATGGAAGACTGATATGTAGACTAAACATTCACATGCTTGATTAAATTGAGGAAGAAGAAATCCAAATCTGAAAAACCAGCTTTTGTCATAAAACCTTAAAAAACAAGTGGAGGGAAGAAATTAAGAGTGGAAACCTCAAAGAAACTCCTTGGAATTTGGAAAAAAACTGGAAAAGGAGAGTTGAAAGTTGAAAGCTCACCTTAATAAGACTTGAGAAGAGAGAAGACCCAAGGGTTGTTTTCCAATTCGCAGGAAAGACGAGTTTGCAGTGTTTTATAGGTGTACGAACGCGCTCCACTCCACACTGAGCAGATGACTAAAGAGAAAAGGGTAGCAAAGAAAAATTGTACGTAGCAGCAGATCCAAATTAATTTACTATTAAGTTCAGTGGCACGTGTGAAAATGGTGTCCGCATTCTGATGAATGAACACTATTCATTTGGAGGCTTTCTTCTCTTGGTCAAAGTGTGAACACTGCTCATTTCTAATAACTTATAGGCTTTAATGTCAAAAATGGTCTGAGTGGTTGACCCATTCTTCTAATTTAGGTGTCGTTTAATAACTATTTCATTTTTAGTTTTTTTTTTGAAAGTTGAAAATTGAAAATATACATAGTAACATATTTTGTATTGTGTTTTCATAAAAGTAAAAACTAGTTTTCAAAATCATATATATATTTTTTAAACAACTTGAAAGTGTTTTCAATTTTCGTTTTCATTTTGTTTACCCCCCTTTCTCATTTACCAAGTTTAAATTACCCCACATACATTGCACTCAAGTTACCAAAACTCAATATTTGAGACATCCCAACTTGGACCTGACTACTCGACTTTTGTGTTGGACCCTAGTATGAGCTTTAGGACTTTCAGGTTTAAAATTCATCAAACATTCCGGAGTCCAAAAATTTCATTGAAAAATGCTACGAACTCTTTGTAACATGCACTTTCATTCTATGATCTCAAATTCACAATTTGACCTAAAAAATAATTTCATTTTCAAGTTCCCCATGAACAGAATGAAACTGAAATCAGTTACCAAACAAGTTTTAAACATTTTTTTTAGTATGAAACTTTTATATCAATTTTTGTTAAAATGGTTACCAAAAAGAAAAAAAAAAAAAAAATAAAAAAATTTATCAAATTGCCCTTTCAAAGTATGAGTGTTTTTAATGTTTATGCCCATTAAATTTTTGTGGTTTACCCAGTCATCCAATCTTGTCTATTTTGTTAAATTACCATTAATTTTTTTTAAATAAAAAAGTTTTAAAAATTAATGAGAAAATCTCTAATTGTTTAGGAAATTATAAATTTCAGTTTACAAATAAAATAAATAAAAATTGGAAACCCACTAGCCTTATACACCCTGCCCTCACTCAACCCGCCATGACCACCCCAACGAGTATGAGCCAACTGAGCTACCACCCCATTCTCTCAACCAGTGGCGGTTCCAAGATTCAAATGTCAGCTGGGCAAAACTTACATACTAAACTTGATGGTTTGAGTGAATTTCATTAATACTAATTAGGGGACGTAATGAGCTTTATCTTTAAACGCATCTCTATCTATAAATAAAAGTTAAACAAATACAAAAACTAAAACTAGATGACTTAATCCTAAATCACGTTAAAAAAAAAAAAACTAATTCTCATAATATCATCGATGCATTTAATCAAATATCTCAACAATACCAAAAACATATCAAACATCTCAACCGAATTTCTAAAATCAAAGCTCTAATTTAATTTCAACAAAATTTCCAATTTATAATTCATTCCTAATTAAACCTAGGATACTCAATTTCAAATTAAAAGAAAAAAAAATCATCATGTTAACCGTGTATGTGAGTTTCCCCCTCCCCTTCCTAAATTTGGTAAAAGAAAAAAAAAATCTCAATGAGTAAAATTATTGACATTTAAGCCTTACTTATTATTATATTAGTTTTGTTTAGGCACATGAGAAAATGGGGTGAAAGTTTGAAAATTGGCTAAGGTTTCACTATAGGCACTAGGCAGCTTTTGGTGGCGACAAGCTTGGTTCTAATTCCACACGAGCTCGACTGTAGCCATTCCCATATTTTCACCCTTTCATATAATAATTGTTTTTGGGTCAAGCCATTCCATTTCCTCTTCCAATAATCTTGCTCATGATGGTCATCAATCACATCATGCTCACGTACTTGATGACTCTATCTAACAAAAGGGTAGGGTAGATAGATAATCCAATGGTACCTTGGAACTTGTTTTATATATATATATATAACAAACAAAGGAATAAAGGATAGTGGTTTTAATTAAAAGGGGATAATGGAAAACCCGAAAAAAAAGGATATATTCGAAGGTGTACGATCTGATTGAAAGATTTAGCAGTTTTAACTTAAGCTCAGGATCAAAATAAATAATTGAGCATATCGATTCTGTTCTTTCTTTTATGTCATTTGCTGGGATCATGACTCGGGCAACATTTTGAAGCAATGACTTGCAGATTTCCTTAATTTATTCGGTACTATATATCGCTGTTTTGGCTGTATTTAACAACCGAGGTGATGACTTGAACCATGCACGTCTATGCCTTAAGCATCATGCTATTAGAAAATTTATAACTTCAGCACTCGTAGTGATTGATTTTGAACCTATAAACATAGATTAGCGTTGCTATTAATCAAGTGTCATAGCTTTCGAGCTACATCATTAGCATTAACTCCTGAGATACTTCTAGAATAATGACTACTTTTTATATTAGTATCTTTTATATATATACAGGGAAGAAGAAATATATATGGGAAACACAAAATGGAAATAAGAAAAAAAAATGCAGGATGAAAATACTGACTAATTTGGTCGGTGGACACGCACGTATAAACACAAACTAATTAAGTTGGTGTAGCTTCACATTTGGAGGACTCCTTCAACGGACCAACAATTAGTGCTGACTACTTTTAACCCAAATTTAAATCGTATATAGTGATCACTAATTATCAGTGTTAATTACGTATATTGTATTCACTTTGTAATTTTCAAAGTGTAACAATTTCAAACATGCTTTATCCGAACAATAGCCTTAAAAGTATATTGGTGCTAAAATTCTATCGCGTTTTTATAAATAAGAGAATATTGGTGCTGGTTTTCATGGCATGTCACGTTCAGATGAAAATGTGTTTGATTGGAATAACACTATTTTGATATAGGTGAACAAGGCACCGCCTTTATTATAAAAAAATTCAATCGTCATATTTCGTGTGAGTTACTTCTACTCAAAAATGGACGTACGTACTCTTTTACTTGTTAACTTGTTCATCGATCAGAAATTCAAGTGTTTTGTCTTCCTTTGTGAGCTGTATAGCTTTTAGTAGCAAGCAATTGACTTATTGAAGGATCTCGAAGATCCAATTGGAACACTTGTTTATGGTTCAATGATGACATTTTTGTCTGAACTTTAATCAACATTGTCCATGTAAATGGAAATTCAAAAGCTGCAAGATATTAATTATAATCCAATTTGCAATAGCACTAGAAACAACAATCGTCAGTTAGGGTTTAGGGTTATTGATTAATTAATTTCTTATAATATAACTCAAAAAATGATTATGTATATATATAAATAAGATGAGCTGTTGCGCCGGGAAGGAAGGAGATACATAATTAAGGAGATTAAAATAAGTACACCAAAACTTGGATTTATCCGAAATTGGGAAAGTATACTTTATGCAGCGGCCCCCATGTGTGGTTTTGAAGGCATAAAGAGAGATGTCAAATCGATCCACGAAGGCTTCCAGATGCAATATATTTTATTTATGAATGACCAATAAGAACTCACTATTCATGGAAAGAGCCGGCAGTAATCACATGATAAACGTGATTGGATTAAATTAACTCTTGTCTTAAGCTACTCATCAAGCAGCTAATTAACAATAGTTATTTTCTCATCACTCTACTTAACATTATGTATAATTGATATGTATCTTCCATTTCTTTTTTGTTTTACGCCTCTGTCGTCCAGTCAAGTTTAGCTTTTTCATCAATCACTTTGCTTTCGTTGAGGTAACATGTTTTGAAAAGATATCCTCTACTTTTGAAATACAAGGTTGGAAGATATAAAGAATTGGTGGGGTTTGTTGAATTTTGGAGGGTGGGGGGGTCTGATCTTTCACATAAGAGAATGGGGTCGGGTTGTATTTGGCATGGCATCAGATTGAAAACGAAGTTCACGAATGAAGAAAAACTTTTATTTTCACAACTAAAATGTCCTTACAAGGTCAAGTTTCTCTCTAGATAATGGAAGGCGAAATTGGACTTCGAATGTACGGGTCATTGCTCTAATTTTTTTAAGCACTATTCATGCTCTCTAAGTATATATCCTAAGAGTGTTCAAATATGAATTGAATCATAAGTATAGGGGGATCACTTCTCTCCTTGCAGTATAATTTTATATATACTGTTTATTTATATCAGAAATTATGCTGGAAATTAGTTAGTTTTACATGTGGTATATAAATTTTACAGGCTAAAAGCTATCCTTCTTCATAGAACTATCACGTGGTTATAAGAAAGTTTTGTTAATTTTTTTTGGTGGGAGGGAGTGCACTGGTAAGGACAACAATGTCTCCATTATAATATGGTATAACTATATGGACTTTCAATGAAACTCCTATCAACTATGGCGAAAAAATAGGATCAGATCTGACAACTGAGAGAGCCAAGTTTTTATCTAATAATGGTTGATATAATACACATTATATATATATATATACATATATATATATCACTCGTATGTGATTTAGTGTCATACGTATACGAAGACCATACGCTTAGCGAATTCAAACGTGCATTCAAATTTCAGGGGATTTGCAAATAATATGTAATCATGTGGCTTATAGATTTGTTTAGTTTAATTAGCCCCCTAAGTATAAGGCTCCAAGTAGTCTTCGAATCTCTTTAAATAGTCAGCAATATCTAACCACTTTTAATAATGAAATGATAGACACTGTCTTACATTAATAACTGTTTTTCTTGGGCATTTGTGTTATTATTGCCAGTGCACTGGCAACGGTGTCTAGCTAGCTGCTGCTGCTGCTGCTGCTTGGTAAGGTGTTGAAATGAGGAACATGCATGGACTTTAAAAGGTCAATGCCGATAGATGGATCATCAAAACATATGGGTGGCAATGGGTTGGCTTTGGGTAATCATAAGATTTCAACTTCTTTTTTTCTTTCTGTTTCATTCTAATCAATGATATATATAGTTATAAATTACAATCCTATGATCTCAAAAATTTGTCACTTGGTATTGGATTTGATAACAAACAGTACCTGAGGTATTGGAGCACCAAATAATTAAAAAAGACCCTAGTGGGAGGGAATCTGCAATGGATCTACTTATAAATTATAGTCAGTATTCTTCGTTTATATATTGTTCTTGGGGATCTCGTAATCCATAGTGTCCCTCAAAAACCGATCAAAATCCTATTTTTGCCGGATACAAGATATTTGATCATGGATAAATAACCCCCTCCCCCTCGTTACCTCTATACAGTTTCTGTTAATTAAGGAATGTGCATGTTGTTATAATATATATGAGAAACCAAGGTTTAGGCTAAAATGAGGTTAGGTTAAAGGTTCGATTCTTTCAATGTGAGTGAGGAAATGAATTAGAATTATGTTATAGGTAACGGAAGGGTTATTTATCCATGATAAAATATCTTATATATATATATATATATATTATCCAAACTTCAAGCTCCAATGAACAATGATAAAAGCTTTTCGCTTTCCATTACACCTCTCATAACAGGGTTGTACGATTGTTATACTTTGAATACAATTTATGTTAAAACTTAGGAAAATTGAAAATTTGTTTAGTCATTTGATTATTCCTTTTTTGTTCTAGTTTTGTCTAACGAATTGTGTTTTTATTATTATATATTATTATTATTATAGACTTTTAGATGATCAAACAATTTCATATCTTGATTATTTTTTGGCAGGATGATCCTTGAAGGGAGATCTAAAATATAGACGGTTTTGATTATTGAAATTGCATTGTGTGGTAGCCCTAAAAAGGATGTGTGCAATTTTTTTCTTATAAAAAATTAAGGACGTCGACATCTTTATTAATATTGAAAAAATTGGTTTTGTCTATGGTTTTGCTTGAAAGTGTTCTAAGAGCAGAAATGGTTTGTAAAGCTTTTGATTTCTAAAATCTGCATCTATTTTTGCATCTGATATTAGTCTTGTATTTCATTCATACACATAGTTTCAGACTAAGATTCCATATCGATTTCTTCAAAATGATGGTATCTTGAAGAGAATGATTCTTATTTTTGAATCTAAATCAATACTGTTTGTGCAAATAATCTCGCGGGAGAATATTCGCTTTGTGATTCTTCAACCTTTGGTCTTTCTTCTCTCTCTTCCTTAATTTCTGTTGGCCAAAGACTTTTTGATGCCTAAGTTAGTTCGATTGAATCTAGGTGAAACAATAGCTAAAAAAGGATACAGAGATTTCTCTAGGATGAGAACCAAGTGGCCGAAGCTGTGTATGTAATATATGAAGAGAGGAGAGATGAGTGGCTAGCGGTAGTGGTGGCGTCATAGTACATTATAAGTCACATAATTTGTTGTTGTTGTCTACCCAAATTGCCCTCATATATTTTGTGAAAACACAAAAAAAGAAAAAGAAAAAAAGTTGATGACATTTTCTTTGAACATAAATATTTTTAACTTAATTCTATATATTTAGATATACTAGGAAGTAATAATTAAAATTATAAAATATGATTATTTTTACATATATTAAATTGAATTTATTATTACTATCTAAAAAGTTGGTTTTTTTTGTTGTTGTAAAAACAAAGGTTTATTATTAGATTAGAGAACTTTTGTTTTGAATTTTTTATTATATTAGAAAAGTTGTGTAAGTAGTTGAACAATTTGAATTTGTTTTGTAAGGGAATTTTGGTAATTAAATTGATTTTGATTCCGATTCTTAACAACAATAAATGGTTTTAATGAGAATGCGTTTTGTTTTCATTTCGATTCCTGACAGTTAGTAAATTTCTTCATTGGAATACTTAACTCCGATTCTTGAGGTCGATTCTTAGGAAGAAAAGTTGGAGAAATTATTCTAGAAAAGTGTCGTAATTCTTTAAAAATTTGTTTACTACTTTGTGAAAGATTAGATGAAATCTACATCTATCTTTATCTTTGAAGAAGGTGCACTCTCTCTACTCATTATTAATGTTAACACAGATCTCTTCCTTTCCTCTCAAAATAGTTCATAGTGTTGGTAGAATTTTGATTCTGGGCATAAACGACAAGTGGATTTGTTTTGGTTTTGGTTTTTAGAGGCCATCAAAGCCTTTGGCATGGTGAGAAGGTGGGAATATCTTAGGGTAAGAGATGGGTTGGCAGGTGGGAGATGGGTGGCTTGTATTAGAGAAGCCCTAAACTTGCTCAAGCTAAAAGAGCAAAGGGGTTGCAGAGAAGGGAGACGAAGAAGGGAGAAGCAAGGAGGAGGGGGGAGGGAAAAAAAGGGAGAGAAAAAGGGGCTTTCCTTCTCATGGATATATTTTTATTTATTGTAAGTGTATATTACTATTAAGATTTAAAAAAAAATGTAAATGTATTTAAATTTCTTGTATTTTTGCATATTTTTATTTAATTACACCTTTTTTTTTGGTGATTATACACAATCACATCACTTTTACAAGTTTACCAAATGTTATGACATTGCTTTTTATACTCATGGCACTTTTACAAATATAGATTACTAAACACGTAACTGCTTTATTTTACAGTTGTTTACTCTCGCAGCACAACAGAAACAAATTTTTTTTTAAAACCACATCAATACCAAACTAGCCCTTAAAAGTTAAGAAGAGATTTCATTTGAAAAATGAAAACTCAAAAAACTTAGTAATGTCTGGCCGTGGGGTTCCTTGTGATAACAGCAGGTGGGTAAATTCAACGTGGTACCAATAAGTCAACCACGCAAAAATAAGAACAAAAAACCCTCCAGCAAATACACATATAGAAAACCCTCATGAGAAAACAAAGATTTAGCAATGGACCCAATGGTGGATGGTCCCAAAAATGGAGAGACCACAGGCATTGGATTTGTCTCGGAAAGGTTGGGAAAAAGAGTAGGTAGAAAAAAAAGGTGGAGAGGAGAGTTTTTAGCTAATTGGAAAAACAGAATCCTCAGACTATGAAAATGCCCCATGACCTGTCACATGAACTTCAGCAGAGCCACTCGCAAGTTTCTTGCTAGATCCTTCACTGACATATTGAATTCATCCTCCATCTGCAAAACAAATATGCAAACAATTTACTAAATCATTGATGTTATCTTCAAATTACTTTTTTTTTATAAAAATGTAATTGTTAGCTTCGCTCATACTGATACCAATCTAACCATATTAAATTCATATTAATTTGTTTGATATGACCAAATTTTGATCATGTATGATGTATCAATTTTGCATCAACAATATATCAGGTACTGTATATTGGTAGACAGCATCGAATACTCTTTTCTCAGTGTTTGTGACAAAAAAATAAATAAAAATCTTTTCTCAGTGCTATAGATGAGTGAAAGGTAGTATACCTGAGCAATAATTGTGATATCTAGAGCGGAATTCCCAAATGGCAAGATGCTGCTATTAACCACAGACAGTTGAAGCTTTTCAACTTCGCTTAGTATTTTCACCACAAAGCCTTTCTGTTTCTCACAGTGAATTCGAATCAAAACATCCGTTTCTGAAACTTTTGCTTCAATTTCTGGGAGTGAAGCTTCGTCAGAGTGGCCATCAAAGCTTTCATCGCAGGAAGAGGTGCCATCATCAGCAGAGAGTTGAGACTTCTTCACGAACACCACGGATTCCACGGTTCTCTTCTTGGTTTGTTCCTCAAGCACTTTCACCCTGTCCTGAAGCTGTTTCACATGCTTGATAGCATCTCCAAGAACAGAAGCTTTGTCCATCTATAGCCAAGAAATTGAAACATCTAAATTAGTAAACATACAGACTCTTCGGAGTCCATTTTTTTCTCGCGAGATGTAACTACGAATATAGACCACACATTCAAACAAGAATTACCGCTATTAATATGAAATGGGGTTTGTACAATTTCATTGAGAAAAATGTAGTACCTTCTTTAGGCCCGGAACAATGGCAGAAAGAGCTATGAATCTCTCGCTGAGCTTTTCTCTCCGCTTTCTCTCAGCCATTATGTGTTCTTGAGCGTGTGAAGGTGTTCTAGTTATTGAGTATGGCCTCTTAGTCCCCTGGCTGCAGTCTTTAATGGAAGACTTGGAAATTAAAGGTGAAAACTGCATATTTATTTGGGATGGAGCCTCATCCTTCGGCTTCAAGGTAGAGTCAAAATTATTACAGAAGTGCTGAGGCTTGGAAGATGGTGAACTCGAGCTCTCGAACGAAAGAATCTGGGAGGAAGAAGAGGAGGGTTTTGGTGAAACATGTTCTGTGATGCCAGAGTTCCAGTTACTAGTCTTGAGCTGTTTAGCTGGCCTCTCAAAGCTGGTCTGAGAAGTCTTATTGATGGATGAACCACCACTTAATGTGGTGGTGGTGGTTTTGGTGTTTTGGGTAGTCAAAGTTGGGTAAGATGAATAACTTTCAGAAGATAAAGATTGCTTGAAATTCTCCCCAAGTGCAGTGGCAATGTCCTGTGCAGTAAACCCTTCATCAAGAGCGTTCAAGTCGCATTGAGGAATGAAATTGTAATCATCGATTCCCTGAAAATTAATTGTAACAAAAAAATATTAACAAAAAAAGGAGGAAAATTGTTCCAAGATAATTAACAACTCAGAACATTACCAATTCAGAGAACCATTTGGCTGATGATATGTCCATATTAATGTGGCTGAGAGCTCTAGTTAGTCAAAGATATGGACAATATGATCCTAGAAAGATTAAGAAAACCAAAAAGTCAAAACAAAATTTGGAAGAATGGAACTTAAGGAGCTCTATGGAGTTCACAAGAAGAGATATATGGAAGCTTACCCTTCTCCTTCCTTGAGTTGGAGAAAGTGATATCCTTGAGCACTTTTATACCAGTTGTACGTCAATTATATTTTCCAATACCTCATGTGAATAAGGCTGGCTTCTCTCTCACAAGTCGTTGACGTGAGGTGAAATCATGGATGGGGCATAAAAAATTTGACAACTTGATCTGAAAATTGATACCGTATCTACAGGAATTATAAAACTAAACTTCGTAATTTGTGTGGTTGTCTTTCTCAACGCCCATCAATTTTTTTTGAACTATTTATGGATCCAGATTTAATCTTCTTGTTGTTTTCTGTAAAAATTCTCGCAATTTTCATCTTCGTTTTGTCTTCTCTTGATGGGTTATTGTGGGGTTGCTGTTCGTTTTGGAATTTGTCCAACCCAAAAAGGTACAATAAAAACAAGAATTATTTGGCATGAGAATTTCCTCACCGTCCAGAGTAATTATAAAATTTCCAACAATTGATGGCAGAGCGGATTACTGATTGTCCAGATTGAAAGTTTTTTTTTTCTCCTTATTGCTTTCCATTTTTGTCGGAGATAGAGGGTCATGTAAAGCTTAAAATGTTAAAAGATGACAGCAAATTGAGCTGAGAATGTTGAATGATGGAATTTGAAGATAGATAAGCATCAGAGATCTGAATAAAGTGAGTCACTGATATATTGGATATACATGAGAATTAGAGCAACTATTTCTTATTGGATTTGGTGTCGTGTTATGTTCTTAATCATGTTACCCAACCCCACCATGCTAAACTAAAAACAAATGCTAAATTACTGGCTAATATCAAACCACCTTAATTACCCAAAAAAGGTTAACAATGTACAGAAAGGGCTCCCATCAAAATCCACAGGTTGCCTCAATGAAACTCCTTCCTACCATGTGAGGCCTAGCCTTCCAATCCAATTTCCACGTCCCAGCCACATGAGCTCACAGCTATATAAAACATATATATATATATATATATATATATATATATAAGAAAAAATATGTAGATTGTGCAGTACTAGTCGAAATCAAGGGTATTGTTGGGATTGTCTTTTGCATGATTGGAAATGCTTTTTGACAATTAAAAACGCTTCTGAAAACATGTGGCAAGAAAAATTTAAAAGTGTTGCTCAGTCATAAAAGAAGGCTTTGTGAGGAAGCAAAAACATGTGGTAGCAATTACAATGAAGCAATCTAAAAACCTCGGGTGTTTATTTATAAGAGATATTTAGTTATATACCGATTCTTAGCACTAGTGATATAGATAAACTTTACACTATTTAATTTCTAAACAAACCAAAAAATAACCTAAAAAATGATAGCTGGCCCTATTGAATTTAATTTTAATTATTAAATAACTTTGATACCCTATTGAGTGTTTTGAGTTTTTTTTAATGAGGTTTTAGGGTTGTGCTTGTTATAGAAAGTTCAAAGGCTCTTTGTTATTTTATAAATGAGCTTTAGGTGCGTTTCTAAAATCTATTTCATGTAGGGTTTTTTTAATTATAATTTGAACTCCTATATTAGGTATAATAGTGAATCTTCCTTATTTAAATGGGGTTATAAGCCCGAAATTGTCATATCTTTTTGGTTTGTTTCTAACTCCATCCGTCACGTTCACTTCAGTTTCCTCACTCTAAAGCCAAGTTGGAGTATCAAAATAGTTGTTGTGATATTAACCTCACGTTTAAATTGATGAAAGAAATTAAATAATTCAAGATGACAAATCGTAATAAAAGAAAACACATAACGTGGTTATTTGACAAAACTATGTCTATCAATCAAATTCCAATACTAATAAATGATAATCAAATCCGAGTACTAATAAATGATAATCAAATAGAATTTATTTTGCATATGGGTATGTGCTTGGTTTGTTAAGATTCAGAGAGATGGGCACAGGTCACTAGTACTACTAACAACACCAATATTGTCCCAAACTTAACCACCTACAAAGCCCTGTAAGTGTGAGGTTTTATCACAAAATGCCTCGGTGATATTAGTAGTGGAACCATTCATTATATATTGTATTTTATTTAGTCAAGTTTATGATGTGTGATTTATATTCTTTAACACACCCCCTCACGTGGGACCAACACATAATGGGCCACACGTAAGGCTAAGTCCACATCGGAGTCAATTATTTAAGCCCAATATGTGAACATCACGTATTGGGTAAGAGGTAGAGGTAAACATTCAAGTCCAACATGTGAACACCATGTATTGGGTAAGAGGTAGATGTAAACATTCGAGTCCAACATGTGAACACCACATATTAGTTTAGGGTTTAGGCCCAATTCATGCCCAATTAATCAACCCGCTCTGATACCATGTTAAGATTAAGAGAGACGGGCATGGGCCACTACTAACAACACCGATATTGTCCCCTTCCCTTTTTTCGGAAGAAAAGGAGGATCCGTACAAAATCGATGAAATGAAAGAGATACGAGTGAATGGAAAGGAAAAAACAAAGGATCAATTCCACTTAACTACCTACAAAGCTCAGTAGGTGTAAGGTTTTATCACAAAAGGACTAGGTGATATTAGTAGCGGAATTATTTATTATATCTTGTATTTTATTTAGTCAAATTTCTAACATGAGACTTATATTCTTCATTATGGTTTACACTCCTGTGCATGCTCTCTTTCTCTTATCTGTGGTTAATTTACTTTTTCCTTGGTTGGAACTTGGAATAAACGATCACTTGATCGTGCACTACAAGTTAATTATCTTATCTCTAGTCATCAAGTCCAAGAAAATGGCAAAAACATGGGGAAACCCGTGAGAAAGGTTTCTTTATTTACTTGAGAGCTTGAATTTCGTAAACTGACCGCTAATTTATTTTCTTTCTGTTTCTGATGATTTTGTTATAATGATATAACCAACAGACTAAACCTAACAATCATAATGAAATGGTGAAAATTGGACAAACGATATTAGAGGAGGATTATTCAAACACATGACTTCAGGTATGACTGCTTTTAATCACTTAAGCTATAAGCTCTTTGCACTTTCTCCCCTTTTTTGGAAGACAATAATACTACACTTATTACCTCAATGTTCAGCCTACAAAAGATTACTTCTCTTTCGTTTCGCATAAAAGTTCATAAAAATTTGGATTGAATGCACTCCAATTTTGTACGTTCCTTTAAAATTCTGATTGAATATTCCTGAACTTTTAAATATTTTTTTATTATAAATTTATTGCCAAAGTTTGAAAAATGACTTTTAAACTCCTTTAAAATTCCATTAAAATATCAATTGAATACACCCATATTTTTACTCGCACACATCACATCGTTTCCGCATACAAATTCCTCCTTAGACGGGATCGCATTTGCAGGGATCCCCGTTTAATGCAACAATAATCTTAGTCCATGATATTTTGGCTTTAATTTTCTGCAATCAATTATGCTTATCTTGACGGTCAAACCAACTCACAAAAACGACAATGAAAGGTCCCATACACATTGGTGGCTAGAATCTTAATAAAAACAAACACAAGAGGACAAACTACGAAGGATGAAAGCACAAAGCAGGTGGTCCTTTGATATGCTTGCCAAAATCAAAGGTTAGTGCTGATTAATATAATATAAATTATAGCTCAATTTTAACATGTGCAGACAACATATGCAATTGTTTAATTCAGCTTGATGCCAAGGGTTTCCCCATTCCATTGACAAAGCTCATGGAAATTAGAAACATGATCCATCTAATCTTAACAACATTAATTAAGATTGTGTTCAGATCCGTATCTTTTATTATTATTTATAATTTATAATTATAGATTAAAACGTTGTTAATGGCTCTAATCCCCACGAACGGGTCAGCAGTGTTGCTCCAAGGCCAAGTCCAATGTTGTTGTATGTTCACGTTGAAGAATTCCTAGGGCTACCCTGGCAAATCCAATAAAGAAATCTAGGACATCAAAGCAAGTACTAGTACTGATTTTTCGTCTTCTGGGTGCCTCGCGAGTATATTTTGCATTACATTATTTCTGGTGACCAACATGTTTTGTTAGGGTTCCCCCACCACCCAGCTTTGCTGCGAGTTGCTGTTGTTGGGTTACTGGGGCATCCACAATTATTCCACCCATACCATACTCCTATCCTATGTGTTAAGTTTCTATTGACCCTCCGATGATTTTAATCAACGGCAAAGCGAGGCGAGAGAGAGAAATTTGAACTTAAAACCTCTTCGACTATTGGACTTGGAACTTACTATAATTCTATAATTTCGTTCTTACCAGCATTGCATTTCATAAGGACACACACGCATGCACACATATACTGCACATTATATATATATATATATATATATATATGTATATATTATTGAGGAAGGGAATATCCGATCGATGATCCAAGAAGCTGTGATTGAGAAATTTGAGCTTTACAGTCAAGTGCCATTATTATCCCGTGGCTATTGTCTGTTTTTTTTGTCGTGCTCCTTGGATCATATTTCTTATACACTGAACTGTGTAGGATCCATATTTATATTGGAGTGTTATGGCCCAGTGAATTTGCAGGACATAGAGATCATGAATCAAATGCCTTCATCTACTTCATGTATAATGAGTCACTCACATGGATTAAGCATGTGCACAACATCAATTAGTGTACCATATATATATATATATATATATCAATTAGTGTACGTACCATATATTTATCAAAATATTGCCAGTGTGATATCATCCCAAGTTCCTTGTTATTGTATGATTCATGAGCAGTACTTCAGCGAATTAGATACTCAACATGTGTGGACAACTTGTTGAGAGGATATAGTGTGGCTAGGGTTCAGATATATCTATATATATAAAGCAAAATGTAGAGAATGGTAAAACATTCAAAATACCAGGAAATATGTCCTCGGTTAACGCAAACATTAAGAATTGAAATTATTAATTAAATGAGGATAATATGGTAAATTCACACTTTTTCATATTAAAAAAAAAATTAAATTAAAAGAAAAATTAGATAATGGATCTTATTTTTATGGAACATAACTACCCATTATCTTTTTAATTCTAAAAAAATTAAAATTAAAATTTAAAAAAAAAAAAAAAAAAAAAAAAAAAAAAAAAAAAAACTCTCAGGCTCAGAAGCGCTTGTGGAGAGGCTAGTACTACTGAAATGAAAATTTCAGATGGCATACAATCCAAATAATCTAAAGTGATCAACCATATTGTTATTCTACTATATCAAGCCTCTAGCTAGGTTATTAGCTCATTGTTTTGTGGTAAAAAGCAACCAAGTTTTCTGAATCTTCCATTTCCAATTGTATATGTTGTCCCAAAAAAAATTATGATGCTGCCTCTTTCATTGCAAGGTTCAACTTTTCTAAGAACTTTTGGTAACAAGGATGATGCAGAACCATCTATATACTTGAACCAAACTCCATCCTGCTTCAAATAGCTCGGCTAGAAAAGAAATACCATCTCTGAAGCTCATGTATAACAATCAGGCCTTCTTGATCTGAAATGCCATTACTTCAAAGAACAAAAAGAGGTTGGTAAATAAACAAGTCAAAGGGTTTGCCTAAGAGTAGTGTCAATTGTTATTAACCATTAAGAGTTATCGGGTCTTAGAATAGACTCAAATGTGTAGTTAGTTTTCTCAAAATCTCCTATTATTTGTACTGGTCTGATCGCGTTGTACTGTTCGTCTCAAGCCTCACGTCTGAAGATGAAACCCTAAAGAGCAAATAAATTAGACCATTGAAGATGATGGAGAAATTGCCAGAGTTTGGAGACAAGTTCTCAAACCTGCATTGAAAAACAGAGGCTAACCAGACCCATCAAGGAGGTTCATACCACTCTTTCACCTCGAGGGTTTTTAAGTTTCTACACACCCAAAGACAAAAGGAGTCTGCACAAACATTGATCTCTATTTACCACATTCATCTACCATTTCTACTTACTTCACAATTTCTCACTGCCTAGAAAACCATTCGTCAACACAATTTTATAACATCGTCAAGAAAACACAGCATCCATGCTCACAAGAAAGCAGAGAGAGGTTACAAAAATGGCCTCTATAATAATTAGGAGAACTGAGTTTAAACTGAAATCTAAGAAGCAAAGTTCTATGATACAACAAAAATACAAAGAGATAATTACTAAACAAAGTTAGAAGGTAAGAGTCTTGCAGCAATGGCTTGGGCATAGGACAAAACGCGCTTTGTAATACAAGAAATCAATCTACCTCCTCAAGTCAAGATCTTTGAGCCACAGATGCAATCATTTACAACACAGAGAAAATGAATCAGTTCTCCTGGGTCCAGATCTTCACCGTCTTGTCATTCCCAAGTGCACCGGATGCAATTATGTTCTTAGTGGGGTGGCACGATACTGATATAACAGTGTCCGTGTGACCTTCCAATTTCTGAACAATCTTCCTGCTTTGCAATTCCCATAGGTATAGACAATTATCTTCAGAACCACTTACAATGTATTTCCCATTTGTCACAGAAAAGGTGGAAGAAATGCAGAATCTCGAGCTCTTGTGACCTGTGTAAGTCTTTAGACATTTCCCAGTTGAAAAGTTCCAAAGCCTCTACAGAAACAACAGAGAAATTCTAGATGAGCTGTATACCATAACAATGAAAAGAAACCACTGCAGACAGGAGAAACATAATCTCATAAAATCAAAGAAATACAATGCTCGTGTGCTAAGGTTATTATTCTTTATTCTCTGTATTCTTAAAAGAAAATGGGGAGAGAGAGAGAGAGAGAAGAGAGGGGAGGGAGACGCAAGAGATATCCGAGGTAAGAGAAAGGGGAATAAGTAAGTTGTGTTTTGAGATAGTTTTAGAATACCAAATGAACTAGTAATAAAAGTTTCAGCTTATCACATTTCTTTTAACATAGTCGATTTTTACTATTGTGCTGGTATGCATATAACATCGTAAACCCACTTGTTTTCCTTAAAATCATGCATGTAGAAAATATCAAAATAATTTCAATATGGTACCAGGAGAAAACAAAAAGGAAGGTAAATTCAGAATAGGTAACGAAGCATGCCAAAAATCTAGGAAATAAAGATAGAATATATCTAGAACATGCTACAGGATGTACCTATATGCCCTAAAAGCGGGGAAAATTCTTAGTTTTCCGAATGCAAATTTATTGAACCCACAATTTAATTTCAAGTGCACCATGCCACCGTCAGGAGGAGACAGAAAACAGTAAAATTTGATCTACACATACTGCATCACATGGCATAGTTAAAAATCCTGAATGAAAATTTGAATATCAGAATGAGATTCTGTTCTAATAAACCTATACGATAACGGAAGTATTGTGTCAAATGTGGCATCAAATATCAGCCTTACCTAGACTCAATTCAAAAATTGCATAATCATTTTTCCTCTACTTTTATATTTCAGAGCCAATTATCAGGAATTTTGATTATAGGTAAGGTAAACAACATAACTCAAAAAGGTTGAAACTTGAGTAAGAACATGTACGGATGGAACTTGGAAGCAATATTTTGTTACGAGCCCTTTCCAACAACAGTTTTTCAGTCCCCACTTACAGAGTTCAAGAGTAACAGATACCCACAATCTGGACAAGAGTTCTAAATGAAGCTAATCAAAATAACTGATAAAATATGCAGTTACTCAGCTTTTACCTTCCCCTGAAGCTAAAATCCTAAAACTTATATTTATTCCTTTTGGCTTTCACCCACCAATGAATTTTTAAGTGTTCAATTTTATAAGTTGAAGTGAGCATTCATATCGCAATCAAACAAACAATGCCATTCAAATTCAACCCAATAAACATAAAGAAGAAGAATGGCGAATTGGGCTTACCAAAGTATCATCCAAAGTGCCAACAAGAATGTACTTGCCATTGGGCGCGAACTTAACAAAGGAAACTGGGGGGTTCTCATCATCAATCAAAGTCTTAGTGCAGTGACCAGTAGAGGCATCCCAGGTCCTGCACAACCCATCATAGCTACTAGACACAATAATGGAGCCATCCCGATTGAAATCGACGGCGGTGACGGGGTCGGAGTGAGCCGGCAAAACCTTCAAGCACTTCCCGGTCTTAACATCCCAAATGCGCACCGTTTCGTCGAAGGAACCCGAGACGATCATATTGGACTGGGGATTGAAGTTGGCGCAGAAGACGTAGTTGGTGTGGCCATGGAGGGTCTTGATGACCTGGCCGGTGGCGACGTCCCAGAGGCGGAGGGTCTTGTCGTCGGAGGCGGAGACCATGAAGCGAGAGTCGGCAGAGAAGGCGAGATCGGAGACGCCCTGCGAGTGGCCCTCGAAGGTTTGGGCGGCGGAGATGGTGGGAGTGGAGGACGAAGAGTCATCGGAGAAGGTGAGGGAGTAGGTGCGGATGGTCTTATCGGCGGAGGAGGAGCCGAGGAGGCGGCCGTCGGAGGAGAATTTAACGCCGGAAATGGCACTCTTGTGGCCCGTTAGGGTTTCGCAGAGGGTGTAGGGTTTGTAGGACTCCGATGGATCCTTCGACATTGTCGACCTCCTGTTTGATTTGATTTTGGGAGACTAATTTTTGGGGTGACGGGTTTTCCAGGGTTTTAGGGATTTTAAGAGAGTTTGTGAGCTTCCCGCAGTAACTACAATTTACAAATGAATGAACGTTGTAAAATCAACGGTATATGCGAGAATATTGAGTTGAACTTAAAGTCAATGAGACACAATATCTAATGAGAGGCTACAACTTTAGTATTTACAATCTCATTGGCTCATTGATTTTTCTCTCCACTCTCTCCTCTCACTCTCTCTTTCTTTCTTCTCTATTGGGGCTTTCTTTCTTTCTCACTTGGTGTGCTCTTATTCTTTTTTCTGGAGAGATACATTCTCTATTGATTGAGGTGTCTATTTATAGGCCAAAATATTGGGTGTTCACTCACAAGCCTTTGGCTTCACTTGAATGTTTGGTAGACAAGTATTATCAATTTTCTTCACTCAATTAGGTAGTGGGCTCTACCATTTTGGGTTCCATTCTTGACTTTACAACACTCCTTCTTGGAGACCACAAATAATATGTTAGTTGTCTCATTAAAATCTTGCTTGGAGAAAATCCAGTGATGTAGAAAACTAGTGGAAGGAAGAAGAGTACAACAATCAGTATAGCATACTTCTGGATGCTCCCCCTAATATCTTCATGACTATCTTTCTAGAGTGAAGATCTTTCAGACTGAGTGAGGGATGTAGCCATCAACAATCCATGTAGTTGAGTAAGTAAATATATTTTAGTGAATTATCTCTATGTAAATCATAGAAAATTCCAGAGTCCACGTATCCAACAAAACTTGGGGCTATTTATAAGTTCACTTGAAAGGAATATGCCCTTATATGGTGTTATGCGGAGATAGCATCAAATATGCTCACATCATCCCACAGTGGTGTTGGATCACAACAAGATGATTAAACCAAGAACAACCACACAAGTTTGAACAATAGGAAGCTAACTTTATTAATGAACAAAGTCTTTACAAAAGAACTCACTCAATCTTCTCAAGAGTTCTTCTGCCTTACAAGTCTCTTCATGTTCGCACACAAAACACAATAAGGCTTACCTCTATATATACTAGATAACCTAACCATAGAACTAATCCTAAACTAAGTTAGGAATCCCGAAACCAACTAGAAACTTGCGTCCAAGTTTCCTATACAAAATACAACTCGGATTCCTATCTTAGTTAGGAATACAAACCTGATTTCATACAAATTCCAACAAGTGGTGGTGATGGAGTTGAGCTTTATTTGGAAAATACAATGTCCGGTCTAGTATACTTCTGAAAAATCATTTAAGTGCCCAATGGATAATCCACATAAAAATGCTTCAATACTTTCTTAGTATAGGCAAGAATCTCGTTGGCATAATGCTTGATCTTCAGGCCGAGACAAATATTTCTTTAACTCTTCAGGAGTTTTAACCAAGTATTAACTCTTTAGGAGTTTTGATCAATTATCAACTCTTCAAGAGTTTTTATCAATCATCAATCTTCAGGAGTTGTAATGTATTGCAACCATATCATAATAAATATACTCACTGAGGCAATTTATACATATTAGTATAGAGTACAAGATTTGTCCTTCAGGCACATGTCCAGGGACTTGCTTCATGCAATTTCAATCATTCAAGGATTTTATTTAAGGGATTACACTTTATGACACATTATATAGCTTTATATCCAGCTATTTGTTCTGCTTGTACATCTTTAGGGAGTCACTTCTGCCGATATGCTCCGTGCATTTAATAACCCTTAAAAATAACATGTTGGTCTTCATAAATGTGCAATAAGAAGGCATGATTGCATCTGTAAATCTGGAGACCCCAACATTCCTTGTTTCTATCAGAAACATTGTGTCATATAAAGTGAATATGTTCATCTTTATTTCAAACACCCAAATATAACCTTCAAGGTTAACATCTTTTGGGGTTCGTACTATGGGTTTGTTCTTTCACGTTCATTCTCTTCTGTAATGGAATTGCCTATTTCCATTTTGGCCAATGATTCTGTCAACATTTAATAATAGAACGTGGTTCCAATCACAACCCATTGATGATTTGAGTAGCTACTCCAAAACCAAAAATTGTCATCCATCAATTCGTGATCCAACTATTCTCATGCGCATGCGTATGCATCAATTATAGCATTTCATTGCCTTTGGGTAACCAAGCCACTTTAGGAGCTTTTATTGTTTCTTTTTAGACAGACATCTCTTATAAGATGAATTATGTGAGAATGTGGATCATAACCTCCAATGGAGAATTATTTTATAGTAGGGCGTGGATAATCTCCATTCAGGGAGTTTGAACATTTAGAACCCATATATCTGTCATGCTGTAGGCATGCCATAGATTAATACACACATGCCAATTAATTGTACTTTTGGGACTTTAAACCATATAATTTGATACGCATTAGGCATGCACCATATTAATATTGACATGTTAATGGACTGTCCTTCCGAGACTTCAATCCATATCATTTGTTACGTAACAGGCGTGCATCATATTGATCACTACTATACCCATGTTAAGTTTTTATGGGACTTTAATCTATGTAGTGTATTATTAATGTATCAAACTTGCAATCTGTGAAATTTGCATTAATAATTTATGAATACATATTAGAATGATACAAGTCATTCTTCTAGAATGGTCATAATACAAGTCATTCTTCTGGAACGATCTATAATGCAAGTCATTCTTCTGAAATGATCCTTTGCATGACGCTCTTCTGGAACGACCTTATCTCCCCATTTGGTTACAATTCAAGATGTCATACAAAATATCAAAATAAGAGTATAGGCATGAAATAACACAAGTATTTCTTACATCTTTAGGTGGGAGAAACTTTGCTCAAATATCGTTCAAGCTCGTATTGGCTTAGCAAATATATTGTAACGCTTGATGATCTAGTTATATCATGCAAGAGCAAAAATCATAATTCTTTTGTCTCTGTCAAAAAAATAACCCTCAATGTTAAGTTCACTACATGGATTTGTTCTTCAGATGATGGTTCTAAAGAAACAAAATTCCTTATTAATAGAGAGTTATAAAAAGAAAGAAAAGATACAAACAATTGTGATATTGATTGCAAGGTAAGTAAGCAATCAGGGAAGAAAACTAGTGAGGTAGCAGACAACAAACTCTCATTTCTCCTAGCCTAGGAGAACTTTAGGAGATTAGAGCATGTGGTCGTCCTTATAGTCCCCTGATCTAGTCGAAACGTGATCAGGGATAGTCTCGCTTTCTGAATGGATAATCAGAGATAGTTTAGCTCTCAAGCACATCGAGCACTCACTTATAGGAAATACAAGTGGACATTTCATCACTAGATATGGAGAAAACTGGAGAAAGTTGGATGTATTCTGCAAAGAAAATTTTGTTAGTAACATATTTATACACAAATTAGAGGAATAGTTTGATTCGGTGAATCTACAGAAATTTGTGAGGTTCTCGAGATGCTTTTGAAAAGTGACTCCGTGAAATCCATAAAAGCAAGCTCGGTTTTGATAAAAATAGTCATTGAAACCCTTAAAGTGCTGACAAACATTAATGGAGGCCGTGTGAAGTTTTGAAATCTGAAAAAGACAAAGAGAATATGGGGATCTGAGAACATATTGGGATACTAGAAATGTTGCCACATTTATGTCTATAGATATTGCGTTTGTAAGGCTTGATTAGAGTAACTGCGTTTTAACCCCAACTTCCTTCCATTTTCTGAAAATTCAGCTTTTCTAAGACGTTCCTCGAAACCTTTTTAAAATGACTTCCTCTTCTCCATTCAGGGAGTCGTATCATTAAATGTTGCTCTCAAAACAACTTGTGATGCCAAAGTCTGGCATCCATCTTTTGTATCCCAAAATCATCATATCATGGTTAATGACTCTGTGATGATGAATGATACGACTGCTATCATAGTAGCTAAGAATTTCCTTACTCTTATGGATGAAATACTATTAACAGGAACGTCTGACGAAGAGGCTATTGACGACTCAATGACTTTTAGCATTTAGAGTGCTACTTCTATTTCTAACATGGCTGATCGTTTGAGTGCTAGAGCAAACGAGATTCAGGAGCTAAACACTGAAAATTCTTCTATTCGGAGAATGCTTCATGAGTCGTAGCAAGAGGTTGAAAACCTTAAAAAGGAAAATAAGGCCTTGTTGAAACTGGTGAGTTCTTGATACGCAGACTTTTGTCATGCTGCAGATTTCCAATGAAAAGATTCTGGAAGACCAAGATAGGCTCATGGCTAAGCTTAAGAGGTGTCGTTCTCTTTCTCCAGAGGCTTCCAGATCATAATGGAATTTTATAGATTTTACAGAGCTTGCTCCTTCCTTACATGTGAACGCAAATTCTTAAATTTGCACCTGTGGTTTTCACGTCTTTTCAAAATGACGATTTGGAACCTTGTGCCTTATAGGTTCAAATAACCACATCAAATCTTTCAAATTATATATTTCAATGCATGTGTGCCCGGAACTTCTGACTCAGGTTAAACGCAACCTCATAATTTAATTGCCATTTTCAATTGGGCATGAAATATAAATTGAGGAAAAACCATGATAATATTGCAATATAGTAGTGAAGAGCATTAATTACTATATACCTAGAACTTCAGGTTCAGGATTTCTCATATATTGAGATCCATGGGCTTCCGGCCCAGATCATATAATATAATAAAATATGTGGGGAGCCACAATTCATCCTTTGAGGTTTTATGCTGATATTATAAATTTTGCGGTGTATCCTTAACAATCGAAATTCACAAAATATATTTCTTCCTTGAGGTGTCGATTGTAACAGAATCGAGCTTTATTGAATTCATCATTTTCTTATGCCAAAGAAATATGTGGTGTACCACAATCTGCAATAATACTTCAAGGGTTGTCCATTTAATTGTTGGAACTTCAGGCTAAAATTACATATTTTCATGGTATGGACATTCAATACTCTTAGATTTTGAACTTCAGGCCAAAATCACATATTCTCATGGTGTGGACATTTTTATAATTTCTTGTACATATTTTGGGACTTTAGGCCCTTACATAATTGTCCATGTTTTGAGGAACTTCTGGCATCTCATTTAATTATCATCCATGAGTTTAAGGAATTGCATGGTCCCTTTTGTATATAGTGACGGTTTACTCAAAATGGCTACTATTTATGCATACGTCATTATTCATGTATGCGATACTATTCACCAAGTCATGAATACATGTCTATTCATGCATACAATACATTTGCCAGTACAATTACTATTCATGTATATGGTTACTATTAATACATTTGCCAGTACATTTACTATTCATGTGTACTGTACTATTAACCGATACAGTACTGCTACATCATTAAGGAACTCCAGGTCCTTATTTACATGTCAAGAATTAAGGATCTTCAGGTCCGATCACTTGTTTACAAATATAGTTCCAGAGAGATTGTCAGCTCTCATATCATTATCATCATCAAGGATCTTCAGGTTCTTGATATAGTTGTATGATGAGGATCAATGAGTTTCTGGTCCTGATCTCTGTATGTTGTAAAACTCATCATATCACATAATTAATTCATAAAATAAATTGCTGGTATGGACGATAAACCCGCACCATACTTCTTTGAATAAAAGTAAATGTGCAGTAAAATAAATTCGTAAAGTAAATTACTTGCTGTATGAACGTTAATTCCGCACCATACTTTAAATAATAAAGTAAATGTGCGATAAAGTAAACGTGCTTGTATGGACACTAATTCTACTTCATATTTTAAATAAAAGATAAAGGCAGTTGTGTAGACGATAAACCCGTGCCACAAATAAATACTATTGTATGAATAATAAACCTACACAATACTATAAATAAAATAAATGTGGAGATAAAGCCACCATCAAATATATATAGGTATATATATATACAGTCCCCTTCTATTGAGGGATCCCTCAAATAATTTTATTTGAGGGATGCCCTTTAGGGTACCTTACAATTTTTTTTCTAATGATCCAAACCATATAGTTTTTAAGTCTTCATTCATAGATCATCCTTACAAAAAATTAGACAAATCGAAAATCGTTTCGACATCCAATTGTGTCTTATAAAATCAATGAACACCGTGCTTCAAAAAGTACTAAAATTTCAATAACTCAATTGAGTGGTCAAATGATATTGGATTCAAGTGATTTTTTGTAGAGATGATCTTTGAATGAGTATCTACAAAATAGACGGTTTGGATTAGTGAAATACAATCCATAGTGGGGCCTACAAGGGGTGTCCCTCAAATAAGCTTATTTGAAGGATCCTTCAATGGAAGCTTTATGTGTATTATATATATATATATAAAGTATATAAGTGTTTGTTAATATATATAATATATCATATACTAATATATTATTAAACTAATATATAGAAGTATGGCCAGAAAACTTCTAGCAATCATACTAAAAGCTGCATAAAGTTTTTTCACCCCTCTTTTTTTTCGGTGGGTATGATCAACACCAAGATGCAATAAAATAAAATAAATATACTAATATATATAATTAGAAAAGTATAGAAAATCCTTAGTGTTAGTCTATTAAAGGCACGTCTGTCCCCCACACAAAATTGCTTTTCACCTGAAACCAATATAGGCTTTCCACAACACCTTTGAATGGTTAGTAATATAAATAATAGTGCAGCCTATAAAATTATATCTGAGAGCTTTTCGTGCTGATAACGTGTTGTAAAATGAACGGTATATGCGAGAATATTGAGCTGCACGTAAAGTAAATGAGATATAATATTTAACGAGGTTCGGCCATGCCTACATCTTTATAGAGCAGCAGTAGTAACTTTTCTACTATGTAGAATAATAGGGCTACAACTGTAGTGTTTACAATCTCACTAACTCACTGATTTTTCTCTCTGCTCTCTCCTCTCTCCTCTCACTCTTCCTCTTTCTTCCTTCTCTGCCGGGGTTTTCTTTCTTTCTCACTTGGTGTGCTCTCATTCTGTTTTCTGGAGAGATACATTCTCTATTGATGTAGGTGTCTATTTCTAGGCCAAAATATTGGCTGTTCACTCACAAGCCTTTCGAATATTTGGCAGACAAGCATCATTATTTTTCTTCAATCACCTGGGTAGTGGGCTCTACCATTTTGGGCTCCAGTCTTGACTTTACAACAATGAATAGAATTTTCCAAATGTAATTTTTCAAACAATTTGTGTTTCTCATGCTAAATTATTTCGGTCATTAAGTGCGAATTTTTTGTTATCATCTTAACAACAATTATTTCTCTTGAGAAAAATAAAAGAAATAATAATAAATAAATAAACTGCTTTTGTCCTATTTTGTTCAGTAAACCAAATATGGACATTTTATTTAATGTAGACGGCTAAATTATTTATAGAAGGCAAGCTTTTAATTTCTCGCAAGTAATCACTGTATGGTACTTGAATATGGTCACCCTTCCTAAACAAGAAAATGATCGGGCCATAACAGATACGCTGCATTTTTTCCCTCTACAAAACAAGATGAGTTCTTACAAGTTTGGAAAAAAATGAGAGTAAATAAAACACAAAGCAAAGTGGTTACAAGCTTGATAATCAGCACGGCATGATCATTTCATAAACATATGTACACAGCACTAGAACTACATTCCGTCGGTCCAAGTGTCAGAACATACGTATTTAACAAACTGCTTTCATATCCCTTCTTTCTCCTCCCACCCTCTCCAAAACCCCCCCATCTTTTTGCATACAGTCAGTAACCCAAAAAGTAATCAACTGCCATGTTTTCACCTACAGATGCCCTAGGTGTAACTACATAGAGGGAAAGAAGAGAGGGAAAAAAAAATTACACACGGGAAGCGAAGGCGTGGAAATTAAAAATTTACAACAAGGCTATAGAAGGTTGGAGGGGTGGCCTTTGGGGTCAGGGTTATGGAAACCAAGAGAAAATTGGCCTTGTAGAAGTATATCGAGAAACCCTGTACTTTCAACTGAGCATATCAGGGCCTTGTTTTAATTGGCCATATCCAAACCTTGAGCTATACCGCCGTGGCCTATAAATCTACTTGGCTGCTACTCATACCATCAGGAGGACCGCTGTACAGATGTTGCCTCAAAAGCACTACTACTCCATTCTTCCTGTGTGAAAGGCTAATGCAACTCAGAAAAATAGGAAATATGGAAATGCAGTTGAAAAGAGAGATACTATATAAGTTTTGCAGCACCTAGGAAAGCTGGAGTAGGATTTGATCGATACGAGATGGCAGTAACCATCACATGTATAAGTTCTTTCGGAGGTCTAAACCCATACTTTTTCTGAATAAGAAACACAAAAGGCCCCAGAACTATAGAAGAAAGAAAAAAAATTTCTGCCAGTATGAGATGTGCAAATACCTTCTCTGCTTGTCTAAATCCACACTGAAAGATGAAGCTGGTATACAGATTTTACTATCTGGTGAAGCTTGAGTTCCCCCTCACTGGATATGATTTTCGCAAATCTTGAGGATGCTTATCAAGAGTGCCAAACCGTGAACTTGACCTGCCACCAAACCAGTGTTCACTACTTGTCCTCATACTCATACAGGCTGAAGGGGAATGGTCATGAGACAATAAGTAGTAGGAGCTATGGTGCTCCTCCCTGGAAAAGGAATGAGCCAAATCCAAATGCCCCCATGGCACTGACATCGAACCAAAGTCTTGAGACTGCTGAAAGCTGCAAGACGATCTAGAATACGACTGACCCATGCCATGACAATGGCCAAAAGAAGCATATTTGCTGGAAGCCAAATCTGGTGACTGCTTCCTTGCAGAAAGGCCAAGATGGGGTGTTGTCGTCCAGTCTTCTATTGTTATTCCCTTCTTAGATGCAAGGTCCATGATCTGTCTCTCATCAAGTCCTAACCCCATAAGCAAGTCCCACATGTTTCTCAGCGCTTCTCGTTGGTTGTTAATCACTTGATCCCTCATTGCCATTTCAAACTGAAGCTCAGTATTAGCCATTCCCTACAGTAATTAAAGTAAAACTGTTATGCCTAACAACAAGTTCTTAGAGCCATAGATGTAACTCTAAGAAATTGAAAATCTTGATTTGGCAATACCAATGCCAGTCATAGGAGTTACCAGTTATCCTAAGGAAATTCTGTCATCGGTATTCGATAAACATTTATCTCAAGAGAACGTAACATGTACAACTATGCTCTTGCTTGAGTTTCAAAACTTTTCATATTCAACTAAAAACAATCACTTCCTAATTTACTTTTTAAAGTCCAGTATAAGTGTATCCAATCAGGCTTTACTATCAACTCACCAAGAGCCTGTATTGACTAAGAATACGCAAGTATGTTTTATTGCCATTGTTACTAATGGCCTCCTCAATCATATTTTGGAGTTCACATCGATGCTTCTCATTTGCTTCAATTTCCTACAAAATGTTAAGTTGGTAATAAGATCAAAAGCTGACAAAAGCTGTATTGTTTGTAATTTAACTACAAATGAGATATTACCATATGGTAATTGACACCAGCTTCATCATTCTCACGGATGTTATCCAAAATTACTTGCCGCCTTGTTCTCATAACCTCTAAAACTTCCCCATCTTTTCCAACAGCCTGTGACACAGAAAAGTACTCAAGCATTAGTTTATATTATCCAGAAAAATTCTCTGAACATTCTCAATAATCATATACAGTTCCCCAATAAAGTAAATAAATGTAAGAATAGAAGACATAATTTCATTTCCAGATCTGTTTGAAGCTACCAGACCTCTTAACAAAGCAAGAAGAGATTAGGGAGGGAAAAGAAAATTTAGTCCTGTAACAAAGTTTCTCTCAGGAAGGCCATGGATTTTCTTTGGGGAAGTTTGGAAAGTCTGAACAACTAAGTGAAATGGATTGTAGGTGCTACAAGACACAATGTGCAACACACAAATTATTTATTCATTAAGCAACATCGAATGTGGGATGCTCTAACCTGTTCTTTTGCTATAGCATCATCAAGATGTTGGAGTTCAAGGTGGTTACGAAGGTTGGTTTCCTCAAGCTCAAATGATGCCTTCTGTAGGTTTATCCTTTCCTGAACATTTTCACTGGTTTCATGGCTCAAAATATTCAACCATGAAAGTTCATCATCTGCAGCTTTTTCAACAGGTTTGACACTTAGCTGTGATTCCTTTTCAGCTAGTTCTTTTTTCAATTGGCAAACCTCAATCTGCAATCTAAAATTTGTTATCTTTCAAAAAGAAAATAGAAGTTACAAATAAAATCCTAAAGATAAACTATTAACCACTCACCTGAAGACTGTCAATCATTTGTTGGTAGTCTGATACATGTGTATCAATAGTGCCGATGTTTTTCTGAGATGGAAACATAACTATTCTCAAAAATTTATTGCATATATAACAGTACAAGCCTTGGCAGTGGTAGGCATGACAACAAAAGAACATTTCTGCACAAACTAATGCTGAGGAAACCAATAAATTAATGCACAGAAACCCATAGAAAATACAAAATTGGCAATTAATGAAAAAAAAACATGTAGCATAGACAAATCAATCAACAAACAACCATATGCTCCTATGCAACAAAAGTGGCAAGCCGACACACAATGTCACTTTCAAAAATTCTTAACAGCTGACTACCAAATGAAATCATGAGTCCATCACAGAATGAGAACTGAATTTCAATTGTCTGCAGTGCCCAGATGGACTATTTCTTAAAGGCAAAAAGCCCACAAAACCACGCATAAGTTCCAAAATCATGTTTTGATGATCTAAGTTGAATGTGTGTAGATGATTATTTGAGACTCTCACCTGGATGTGTGTCTTTATTTCCTTTGCCCGATCAGCATATTTCAAGGTATTCACAGTGTGATGATACTGACTGTCCACAGGGGATACAGTAGCAACCATAACCGTTTGAGAATTACCACTCAAACCATCTTTGAGTATTCGTGTCAATTTGCTGCAAAACTAATTACATTAAGCACAGTAGCAGGTAGGACTTCAGGATAACAATTACAATCAGATACCTATTGCGGTAAGGAACATAAGCAAGACCCTTCTTTTGCTGTTTCCCCAGTGCATTTATGCAGTTTGCCAAGGCGAGAAGTGAACGGTTAATATTTGCTCCATCCCTTAATTTTTGGCCTCCACTGTTTGTTTCTGAAGCTCGTTCACTGCCAGCTAGATCCACAAGTGCGAGTTTTCCTCGCATTACTTGATTCCGGTACTTATTTTTCTGTTTTCTTTTTACTTTTATTTCCAGCACTGCATGTGACCTGGTTAATGGGGAAACAACTTTGTATGAGTAATAACATTACACCTTAGTATTTAAATTTAGTCTGGGGTTGATGAGTTCAGTAGAACTACTAAAAAAGATCGCAACTATCCAAAGCATGCTTAAAAACTCAAAATAACAACAATGATAATGGTATGATTATAGCACACAAATAAATTTGACCTACCGAGAAGATGTTGCATTAGCCTCTGTGCTTTCAGTTTTCCGTCGGCTATTCCCCAAGTTTAAGAGTTCAAGAATCTTATCAGCTGATTGTACCTGAATTTGTAAGAAAATAAAAAAGGATGAGTAAAAATCCATTCCATACTACGTACTTGTTCATCCAATGCAAGAACACTTCTCAAATTAGTGCTAGAAAGTGATTCAAAAGAAGTACCAAAAAACAAAAAAAAAAAAAAAAAAAAAACAATTATCCACAGATATCCCCACACACCAGATACCAAAACCACATGCCCAAGTGTGAACCTTGATACACCTCAGCCCAGCAACAATTACTCCTTGCTCGGGGTCCTCTCTGAGTTCCAAATGGCCTGATGACTTTTCAAGCAAATCGTAGATGACCTAAATTTTGTGAAAATAAAATATTAAATAATTTTATAAGAGAACAAATGGGCATTGCTAGTAATTAAGTATCTTAATAAACTGCATGTTCCACCTCATTGTAGACTTCAAGATAGGAACAGGTAACTTCAAATTCATCAGAGCTCTTGTCCCTTTTGATTAGATCAAAGATTGTATGCAAACTGAGTACCATGAGTCCTGGATCATCTTGTGTCCCGACCATTGTATATGTTTTACCACTGAAAAAGTATAGAGAAAATTATAAGACATTATGGAGGATATTAAGTAATGGACAATCCGAATCACAAAAACTGGTGAGATCATGAGCTTAATGCAAGCTGAATTTGACTTATTATGGTTCTTTTGAGCTTGCACTTCTAGACATTGACCGCGGAAATCAGATACATACTCCCAATTAATAATTTTGTCAAGGTGGAGGACTGAGTTGCATAAATGCATTGCCTCAGCTGGTACAGATACAAGTAAATCAAAACCTTATGAGAGTTGAAAAATAAAAAAACAAGAATATATCATTTTATTACCTTCCGGTAGAACCATAAGCAAACACGGTAGCATTGAGACCATTAACAACGCCAGAGATGACAGACAATATGCATTTTGTGTAGACATCCTGGATATATGAAACAGTTAAGACAACCAGAAAACATCAACTATACCAAATCAAGAGTTTCCTTTACAGCCTGTACTACTTTCAAGCAGAGAAGTAAACTGGAATAAATCTTGAGAAATAAAAGAGCATAATTAAAGACACCAATAAGTTTAAAGATTCAATGTACCAAATTAGTACAGCCAGGATCAAATGCATGATCAAAACAATATTTCTTTTCCTTTGTTCGATTCTGTATGCGCTCAAGGTAGTCCTTTGACAGATCAGGATCCAACACAACCACCTCCTGCAATTAAAAACTCAAATATCAAATCAATACACCGTTCAAACTCCACAAATGCTAAAAAACTTACAAGTCAAAAAGAGTTCCGAGCCACCACCACAAACCTTATTGTCAATTACTCGAACAATATCGCGGCCACGTTCTCTCTCCCTTAACGGCCTGCATTTCACAGCAACCTGTAGCAAAATGCAAGCATCAAGTTTCCAAAACAAGACTGTAAAGCTGTGAACTTTACACACCCAAAAAGAAGGAAAAAAAACTACTAACCGTGAGTGTTGTAGTTTGCTTTGTAGCCGGAGCTCTAATGCTCGGCATGTTTGTAACAACATCGATTTCTAAACCAGCACAGCTTTTGCTACCCTGACCCTAAAAACAGAAGCCCTCGGAATCAAAGAGAAGGAGAAACCAGTTGAAACAGATCAAACGCGCTGCTGCATTTCAGAGTCTTCGTCTTCCAAAAATCACAACACACGAAATTTCTCGAAGCTTCAAAATCGCATTGCTAGTTCACTACAGATTTCGTAAAAAATGCCTCTACATTTCAAGAAACGACATTTTCTTCGGAAACCGAAGCATGAATCAAGAAACGAGAAAACGCGGAACGATTGAAGGACGCGTTTCGGCTTTCGAGAGGCCGAGAGAGAAAAAGACAAGATCTTTGTGAACCGACTGGAGAAAGGGAAAAAATTCGGTGCTCTCCGGCGTATCGTACAGCAGGCAGCAGAAATGTAACGTAGTGTAATAATGAGCCAACTGGTTACGAGGCAAGCCAATTAACGCGGGTAATGAGGAGAGAGATGGGACTGGAGGAGAGAGTGGAGCTAGACGAAAGAAAGAAGGAAACGGGTGGAACAGTGAGATGGAGGGTCGTGGACTGATCGCGACCGTTGGTTTGTTCAGAGAGGGATAGGATGGGGATTGCGGGATTTGTGTGGGGATGTTTTGGGGAGAAGGGAGCATTTGGGTGGTGATGTCGTTGAGAGTGTTTGGTTTTTTTTTGGTTAAAGTTGAGAGTGTTTGGTTGGTCTTCAACTTTTTCGGGGACAATGATTTTTTATGATTGGAAAAAGTGGGTTTTTTATAAACCTTTTTTGGGGTTTGGACAAAACTCAAAAGTGGAAAGGGAAGGCATGTGAAGGGGGATGGTAATCTTGGCTTGAGTTGCATGCACGTGTGTGGGAAAAGTTTGTGTTGTGAATGGAACTTCTTAGATCGACTGTGGTTTTGCCCTCTTTCTTTTTTGGTGTTTTTTACAAATAGGGAGGAGAAAAGTATAATCACTTTGCGTAATGGAGAGTTTTCAACTTTGAAATGTCTGTTCATGGTCCAAAAGAGGTTTTTATGTAGTGAGATTAATACAAAAAATCAATCACCACAAACACACTTTGAGTGAGTAACGGAGGTAATTTGCTCCCATCTATGACCACTTTTAATTACAAACTCAATACTACAAGAAATAAGGTAATGGGTTTAAATAGCATATGTGGGTTAGATTAGTTGGTCAGCTTGCCCCCTTGCACCAAGTTCGAATCCCTCTCTACATAGATTATATTTAATTAGAGTATAACAAAAATATTAGTTTCAATAAAAATATCACTTTTATAGGAAAATACTTGGCTTCTTACATATTAAGACAAATCACAGTTTGACATATGTGCATAAATTTTTCATTTTATAATTTTAGTGAGAGGGAAAGTTTCAATAAAATATGAAAGGGGTGAAATATTGATTTTTGAAAGACAATATTGACCAAATATTTGAAGTTGCAAATAAAATATTTTGAATACAAACAATAGTCTAAACTATAAGGGGGATGGGGCTCTCTCACACACACTTACACACACTACCAAGGTATCATAGGGCTTCGAACCTGAGATCACTCGTCTTTAAGTCAAAGTCTTTTCCACTAACCTTAGACCCCGTTGGACAAATAAATTGTTTACATAAAATGCACAAGAAATTTTTGTAAAAGAAAATTAGCATATTTAATATTATCACAATTTAATAAAAGAAGTGTCCCCAAAAAAAAATTCAAACACATTATCAACATTTATACTAGGCAAGTCATACCAAATAGTCGCTCAACTATGACCATTGTCTCATTTTGGACTTTGAATTTTATAGCAATTATTTTAGCCTTTATATTTTGAGGCATGTGTTTTGTTGTAAGGACAAATCCTATTCTTTGTTAGAGCAATTTCACCCATTTTTTATGGCAAATGATAAGGGCAAGCAAGGGTGGTTACTGTTCACGTGAATAATGTCTACCCTAGCTTTTATTTTATTTTATTTGCTTTCCCATCCATTGCCATGGCAACTCAATAACAATCACTATTCACATCAGATTAATTTTATTTATACCTATAAAATTAATAAATATATATAATTTATTTCTTTGCTGACGTTAGTGTCTTTATGCAACAACTCGGGCAATTCTTGCCTTTAGGCTTGCCTAATCTTGATGGAGTCCACCACCTGCCCTGGTTTGAATTCCTTGGTAGGATGGGTTTTTGCAGCTAAGGGGACTTTTTGCCATGACAAATAACATAGGTGGAAATGCTCTTAAAAATCTCATGCCTTACATGCAACCACTAACACAAGGTCATTTTCATCTCTCGAAATCATTCAAAAAACAATTTACCTTCACAACTCTAATTTTGGAGGAAAGAGAGGGGTAAGGGTTAAGGGTTAATTGGCATGTGTAATGACCTAGAGAAACCGAATGTCATTGGTTTAGTACATGTGTAAGGTATGCGATCACTTCTCTAACAAAGGCTAGAACTTATACTCTATAATTTATTTCCTTATTAATAGACGAGGTGACATTGAAACTTAAGAATTCTAGCCCAATAAAAAATGGTCTTTACTTGCAAATCAATAATCTTATATTTGAAATCTCATGATATTTTAATAATTTGTGTGTAAGAAACCCTTAATTAGTCGGTAGAATTTTATCCTTACTCTACAAAGTCCAGACAAAAAGCAAACATGACTCACCAAGCTTTGTTTTTGTTTGTTGAACTCGAGTGGGTTTCCGAGAAGCGAAGCTTCATTAAAGTAATAGGGTTTGTTTTTTAGGTACCGGGTTTGGCATCAGACATAAATAAATGAGTGATAAGATTGGGTGCGGACACATGTTCGATGTTCACTTGTCAAATGGTCCAAACCCCAAACGTTCCACGTCCAAGCAAATTTCATATTTTATTTTTGGGCTTCTAGACTGCCATTTTTTATTATAAATATTTGATTCTTCTTTCTTCTTCTTCACGCCGTGCTGCATGAAGAATGTGTAATATAAGTATTTTTAATTTTAATTTTGCTTGAAGTTTAGATTAAGTATTTGATTATAGGTACAACTGTAGAAAAGGCGTTGGGTAATACAAGAATGTCGAAGAGTTTATTGATCAGTATTTCATTAGGTGTGCGAGGATCCAATTAAACTAAAAATTGATGTCCTAATGTGTCCAGAACAAGCCCAGCTGGATCTGCTGTGCCGTGCCTAAGAGGTGCAGCAGCAGGACATAATAAGAAGCTCCATATTCTTCTTTTTCGTTTCTTTTTGCCCTTACTTTTTCTTTAGGAGATAAATTTATATATCAAGGAAAGCAAGGGGTTTGTAGTTCGAGTACTTAAGAACAATTATTCATGCACTTGAAGTACTAAGTTCAAATTCCCTCTCTAAATAGCGCTTGTATCCAAAAATTTATATATCAAGGAAACAAAATATGCAAAGATAGTTTATTAAATTCTTTTATCTTCCCGTTATGGCAGAATTGGTGTTTTTGGTACAATGGGGGAAAGACTTCCATGAAACCGGGATAACACTATTTTGTTATCACTGACCAATAATGCTATGACACTTGCGATAATACTTTCATGTGACATAACATTATTGATCGAGGATAGCAAAACAGTGTTGTCCCTGTTGCAACTGAGTTTTTCTCATACAATGGGCTTATAAAGGTCAAAGAAACCCTGACTTCAAGTTCAAGAAATAAGGCCTACTTTCAATATTAAACCAAGATTAGCCGTTGAGAAAGCATTGAGGAAGACATGAGAAAGTATACAAAATGTATTAATATACAAATTTTAATGTGATGATGATTCCATTGAAAACACACAGCCAATAATCAATCAAACAACCGAACAAACCAAATCAAACAAAGCAATAGTCAAACTGATAAACACAAAAGATCATACGATTTCGAGAGTCTTCAAGACCAAAAGAAAACAAGCAATCTTTTCTTTTAAGAAGTTTAGTTCAGAAGAAATACAGGCAATCAAGCTTACAGAGTCAATCCAGCTCAAGAAAGAAGCTCATTCAGAAGAAAAATAGATTTATATCGTTGCAAATGAAATTCAGATCAACAGAATCAAGCATAACTAGGATTTCTGTCGTTACAAATCTGGTTCACTAACCAAAACAAGTACTGAAGTGCAATTACAGACCAACCATTGTTAATCCAAACGTTGTCAGTCCAGCAAATGTCAATCCAACCAATTTCAATATAGGAATTGTCAATCCATCCACTTTCAATATAGGAATTGTCAGTCCAGCCACTTTTAATACAGTCCAGTCTGGAAAACCTCAGTCCAGTCCAGATAGAAACAGTTTTCTCAACAAGCAGAACAAGTGCAAATTCACAGTTTCGCCTACTTTCAAGCCTATCTATGGCTCAATCTGATTACAACTCTGCCAATACAGTCATTGGTATCGATTCCCAACTGATCCATATTAGTTGAAGATATTGACGTGCAATTCAAGTGTAAGTAAACTTAATCCAGACGCAAGAAATCCAGTCTAGCCTGAACAAAAGTCAGTTTTGCAAGGCGATTACTACAAGAAATAAAAGACCAAATCTATGAGAACTCTCAGGAATTGGCAATCTTTGTCATGCTTTACAGTTCAGGCAGTTCTGCATGAATTTCTTTGTTACATTTTCCAAACACGAGTGTTTTGCTTAACTTCCCAGTTTTATTGAGAGAAATTATAAAGTTCTCATCCCTTACTTGGGAGATATTCCTCACCCAAATTCACAATCACTTGTTCAAAGTCAATAGCTTGGGGCGCAAGTAATACATCTTTCAAACCTAATATCCGAGGAAAGGGGTTGGGAAAGGGTAGGACAAAGAGGCACAGGAAGGTGCTAAGGGATAATATCCAAGGCATCCCCAAGCTCGCCATTCGAAGACTTGCTCGTAGAGGTGAAGTGAAATGCATCAGCAGCCTCATCTACGAAGAAACAAGAGGGGTTCTAAAAAAAAGCCACCCCAGTAAAGTCGGGTGGCTATACTCTTTGTTTAAAAAATATTTCGAGTATCGCCATGCGGCTATATTATTTCTTACAAAAAAAAGGGTCCCACCTAGTGCTAGCCCCCAACTAGCAATTCGGCGCCACATATCAAAACAGTATAGCCGTGATGCTACACTTATTTTTAATAATAAAAAAAGGGTAGTATATAGCAAAGCATCTATTCCCTCTAAGCATATTATATTTAAAAGGAGTATAGCCGCGCAACTATACTATTTATTTAAAAATATATATTAAAAAAACCCTTCTATTTACATTAGTTTATACTTTATAGATATTAATTTGCTAGTTTCAATATATATACTTTATAGATTTAAATGTTTTAATATATATTATTTTTATTCAATACTATGCGAAAATTATATGTATAATACGTGAATTTTTTGTGTATTATTGAAAATTTTGTGAAAAACCAAGTGTATTAAACATGAAAAATATGTATGTACATGTACAATACGAGTATTAAACGTGAAAATACTAAATTCTCTATACGGGTAATAATCTTGGAAGAGTAAAAACCCAAAAAGGGACAATAGAGACTCGGGTAATGGCCTAATAGTAATGGATAATGCTCTAAACTATTGATAAACAAAAATCGGGGAAAAGCAATTTTTTTGAAAAATATCACAATATCTATGTAACGAGTATAGCCGCCCGGCTATACTTATTTATTTTTTAAAAAAGGACCCCCGTAAAGCCGGACGGCTATACTTTTTTTTTAAATCCCGGGTATAGCCGCCCGGCTATACTATTTCTGGAAAAAAGAAAAAAGGACCCGCCTTGCGTTAGCGCCCAACTAACGATTCGGTGCCACGTGAAGAAGGGAAAAAAAAAGGATAGCCGTGCGGCTATACTTACTTTTTATAATATAAAAAGGCTAGTATGGCAAAGCGGCTATACCCTCTAAGTATATTATATTCAAAAGGCGTATGGCCGCACGGCTATACTATTTATTAAAATATATATATAAAAGAAAAGACCCTTCTATTTGCATTAATTTATACTTTATAGATACTAGCCTCTCAGTACACGCTTGCGCGCCTGAGAGAGGTTTTTTTTTAAATTAAAAATTTATTTTAGAATTAAAAATAATAATGGGTAGTTGTGTTCTATAAAAATATGATCCATTATCTGATTTTTCTTTTAATTTTAATTTTTTTAATATGAAAAAGTGTGAATTTACCATATTATCTTCATTTAATTGATAATTTCAATTCTTAATATTTGCATTAACCAATGACATTTTCTGGTATTTTTAATGTTTCACCATTCTCTACCTTTTGCTTTATATATATATATATATATATATATTAATTTTCTAGTTTTAATATATATACTTTTTAGATTTACATGTTTTAATTTATATAATTTTTATTCAATACTATGCTAAAATTATATGTATAATACGTGAATTTTAAATGTATTATTGAAAATGTTATTAAAAACGAAATGTATTAAACAAGAAAAATATGTATATATGTGTATAATACGAGTATTAAATGTGCAAATACTAAATTCTTTATACGGTTAATAACTCTTGAAAAGTAAAAATTCAAAAGATGACAATAGAAACTCAGGTAATTGCCTAATAGCAATGGATAATGCTCTAAACTATCGATAAACAAAAATTGGGGAAAAACAATTTTTTTAAAAAAGATAACAATATCTATGTAAAGCGTATAGCCGCCCGGCTATACTATTTAAAAATAAAAAATAAAAAATAAAAAAGGACCCTTGTAAAGCCGGTCGGCTATACTCCTTTTTATAGCCGTACGGCTATACTATTTCTTTATAATAATAATAAAATAAAATAAAAACCCTCCTAGCTCTCAACTAGCGATTCGGCGCCACATGTCAAAATTGTATAGCTGTGCTGCTATATTATTTTTATAATTAAAAAAAAAGTTGTATAGCCACACGGCTATACTATTTAAAAAAATCCCAAAAGAAAAAAAAAGGACCGCCCAGCGCTAGCACCCAAATAGCAATTTGGCGCCACATGTCAAAATAGTATAGCCACGAGGCTATACCCTCTAAGTAAATTATATTTAAAATGAGTATAGCAGCGTGGCCATGGGCGGTTCCAGCCTGTGGCAAGCTGGGCTCATGCCCGGCCCAAATTTATGTTAAATAAATATTACCCACGCTTTTCTCTCTTCTCTCTTCTCTTTTGCCCGGCCCTAATTTTTGTTAAAAAAATATTACATACACTCATCTCTCTCCTCTCCTTTTTTTTAGGGTAAGATTTCCCACTCTAATTTTATCCACATACACTCCTTTTTTAGTTATAAAATAAAGTGTAAGTAGATAAAATTGGAATCACCACTCTTTTTTATTCTTTTCCTCACACTCTCCTCTCTCCTCTTTCCTTTTTTTATTCTTTTCCTTACACCCTCCTCTCTCCTCTCTCCTTTTTTTATTCTTTTCCTTCTCTCCTCTCGATATCTCTTTTTTTCCGTTGTTTTCCTTCTCTTTTCTCTCCCTCTTTTTTTTTCTTTCTTCTCCTTCTCTCATCCCTCCTCTTTTTTTTCCATTCTTTTTCTTCTATCTTCTCTCCTCTCTCTCTTCTTCTCTCCCTTTCTTGTTTCTTCCTTTTCCTTCTCTCTTTTTGTTAGAAAAATATTACCTACATTACTTATGATTATTTAAAAAATTTGTCTTGCACAAAGATAACTATTTCAGAAATTGCAAAACATGATTGATAGGGCTATGGAGCTCAAGGTGGAAATCTAAAAATGGATGTCATAATAAACGTTTATAAAAAAACAAAGAGAGAAAACAAAAAACCAAAAAGCTCCGCCAATTTTCTTCCTTCCCATTTCTCTCGAAATAAATCTTGTTTTAAAAAAAAATTAATGTAGTCCTCTATATTATCTTTCCTTTTAATGTGAAATAATTTTTTTTTCTATTTTTTTCTTTTGGTTTTTATTTTAGTTTTTGCATTTGTAGATATAAACGCATTTGAGGGTAGGGCTTATTACGTCTCCTCTCACTATGTAATTTTTTTTTATGTTTATTAATGAAATTCACTCGTTTCGTCAAGTTTGTTATATAAGTTTTGTCAGGTCGGCTTTCGAATCCTGGAACCGCCACTGCGCATGACGATACTCTTTACATAGATACTGTGATCCTTTTTTAAAGAGTAGAGTCACAGCACCTCTCAGTTGCGACAATGTTGCAGCACCTCTCCATTGTGATAATGATCTTTGTCATTCTCATCTTTCTTAGCTTGTATGACAAGTTGTTCAGCTCTCTTTTCCCCCATCCCAGATGAACCCGTAGGTTTAGTGGTTTCGACTGGGACGACATTCCTTTCAGTAGTAAGTACATCAATAATAGGGTCTAGTTACTATGATATAGAATTCATCCATATATATATATATATATATATCACAACACAAGATAGAAATAAAAGATAGAGTAACTTAACTTAACTTAATCAAACTGCTTAGACCCTTTCCTGCCAGCTAAGTATATATGTAGCTATGTATTATAAACTATCAATTAGCATATGGTAAGAAATTCAACACAAATTTTTTAATTGTATTCTAAAAGCAAAGGTTAAATACATGAGTAATTAGATCAATCAGCTAAGTACGGGCATTTACATTAAATTTTTTAAATTTTAAAAAAAGAAGATATAGAATCATTTACCTTCCTGTAAGCTCCGAAAATGTTCCATACTTTCTCCATGTCAGTCTATAGAGAGGCAAACGATGTGAGGACTACTAATTTAGATACATATCAAGATATAATACAATAACTCTTCTATACACAGCTGCATGACGAATGATAATTACAATGTGGAGAAAATTAACACACGAGGAAGCAGTTAACACATAGATACTGAAAATAAATTTGTTTTATGAGGTAAACCGTTTATGTTTTACCCAGAACACATATAGATCAGGTAAGCATTCAAGCAGAGATGTACCCTATCGATCACATAAAAACCAAAATTTATTAATCTTTAACATCCGTACGTTGTTCTAACATGATTACAATGCCATACCACAGGGAGTACTGATAACCTTATATATGGTTACATGAGGGAATCTCTCTCTCTACGAGGGAGAGATTCAATCATGTAATATAATATAGGAACTAATATAGAAACAAATTTTAATTGGATTGTAACTAATGACACACGTTTAATTTGGAAATATCTCCAGATGGATGTAGGAATTAATTTGGAATTTTTTTTAAAAAATTTAACAATAAATTCAGATTTAACATACCTAATCAGTTTATTTAATAAATAAAAAAACTTTATTAAGTAAACAAATATTTTTTTTTATTTACTTATGAAGTATACGTGATTAATTATCTATTATATTATTATTTTATAAATATAATAGTATACATACAATTTTATGTTGAAAAAATTACATACCTATTACTTCTTTTACCAAAAATAATGTACCTAGTATGAATTAACTTATTATTCAAATAATATACTCAAATTTTATAAATGCATCTTGGATATAATTTACCTAATAATTTCCTATTATGCAATAATATAACTTGTAATTTACCTATTATGGGTATATTGTAGGTATATTAAAGCCAACACATTTATAGGTATATTGTGAAAATAATTTATCTACCTGTATTGGATATATACAAGATATATAGCTAAATTTGTAGGTACATTGTATTATATTAGACCAATTTATATAATAGTAAACACCAATTTATATAAAAAAGATGATTAAGTGATTCATTATCCTTGTTGCACACACAAAGCTTTGACTAATGGTATGATCTATACTAAAAAGCACATAAATAAAAAAAAGTGATAAACCAACATCTTGTTTCGAAGGCATTCACTGTAAATCAACAATGGTTTTCTAATACAATAGCTATAGAATGAAATTTCATCATTTTAGAGCATCTGTAAACCTACTTTTTAATTGACTCACTTGTCTAGTTTTATTTCTATGATTATAAAAGACGTCAACAGAGGAGATGATTCGAACTTTAACCTTAAAAACCCATGCTATTTTTCACAAGCACACCTTTTCTCTCTTGATAAGACCAGCTTTGAAATGAACTCATCAATATTATTGCTTGAACTTCCACCTTCATCCACTGCCTTTCTAGCCAATTCTTTCCACTCAAGGGCTTTCCTTTGCATTTCTTTCCCTCTCTCTCCCTCCATTATTTCACTTATGCAGTGCTCTACTTCTTCCTGCCTAACCACCCCCTTCTCATCAGCCAAAGCCTTGACCCCAATTTTCCACACATCCATAATAAACTTGGCATTTGTGCTTTGGTCAGTCCATTGTGGCAATGCCACAACTGGCACCCCCAAACTGAAGGCCTCCAAAGTAGAATTCCAACCGCAATGTGATATGAAGCACCCAACAGCCTCATTTGCCAAAACCTCAAGCTGGGGGCACCATGAAACCACCAAACCCTTCTCTGATGTCTCCTCCACAAACCCTTTTGGGAGCTTTGCTGCTTCTGCTTCTCTAACCACCCACAAAAACTTGCTTTTGCTCCTCCTCAAACCCCAAGCCAGTTCCTCCATTTGCTCAACTCCAAGTTGTGCTGCGCTGCCAAACGCGACGTAAGCAACCGACCCTTTTGGCTGCTCATTTAGCCATTTCATGCAGGCATCATTGTTGGTGTCGAAGAGGCTGACACCATATTGTTTGTCATCCTCAAGTCTCTTGTCCAAGTAATGGGATGGTATGGTTGGTCCAATGGTCTTCAATGGCAGAAATGTAGCCATCCAATCTACCACCTGTGCAAATTTTAAGCAAAATATATAAATTAAAATGAAACATCAAAATCATACCTAAACTTAGCTCCCAAAAATCATATCAAAGCAAAATTAATCATAACTAGAACACAGCTTTCTCATGTTCTTACTTGCTCTTCCAACTCATAAAATGTGTTGCATAGAACCCAGTCAGCCTTTTCAACATTAGGAAACTGACCCACAAGCATTTTATAGACAGCAGGGTAAGTCCCCAATTCATACACATAGGATGGCATGTCAGAAGGGACAAGTGGAGGCAACCCAGGAAGCAAAATTTGAGACTGACTAAGAGGAAGTTTGAGTTCACCTTTGTAGACATGGTACAAAATGTTGTTAACAGCACAAGACTGAGTGAAGAAAATAGCACCAAATATACCAAACTTGTTGGCAACATCTAAAGGCCAATGCAGGAATGCATCATAAACAATGCAATCAACTGGGCACCCTGAGCTTGAAAGCTTCACAAGGAGCTGAGCTAGAGTTTGTGAACCCACTTGACAAAGGCTCTCCAAATAGGCCTCTACACTTTGAGCATGTTTAATTCCACCCTGGTCATAACCATCTGAAATGGTCTCTAGGGCATTGTAACTACCAGACCCTGATGATTTTTCCATAATTGTGTTGTAGTCAAAAATGGTAGTGACCACTGTGACTTTGACCCCTTTTTGATGTAAAAGCTTGGAAAATTGGAGCATGGGATTAATATGGCCTTGTTGGGTAGGAAAGGGTAAGACCAAACAATGAGCTTTGTAGGCCCTCTGTATTTCCTCCATTGAAGATGAACTTTGTGGAAGACGGGTTTGGTTTGGCCAATTTAGATCTAGATCTGGAGTTAGCCTTGGCCAATTTAGATCTAGATCTGGAGTTAGCCAATTTAGATATAGGTAATCTTCATGCTTTGATTTTTCCACACATTTTCTTGCACATGCACATTGACCTTGTATTAAAGTCATCACTTTAAAAAAAAGAGAGAGAGAAGTACAAGCTAGTCAAGTGCTGTGTTAATTGCCATTATGTTACTCACTAATATGATCTAAAAATGTGTGATCCTGACATTATCAAAATAGCAATTAGTTTTTAAAACTTTGACATGAAAAAAAAATTGTTTCTGAAACTTAAGGTTCATATTGAAGCCAAAGGAAATTACTAAAACACAGCTTTTCCCATGTACTTACTTGTTTTTCCAACTCATAAAATGTGTTGCAGAGCACCCAATCAGCTTTCTCGACATTGGAGAACTGACCCACAACCATTTTAAAGATGGCAGGGTAAGACCCAAAATCATATACAAAAGATGGCATGTCAAAAAGTTTAAGTGGTGGCAACCCAGGAAGTGAAATTTCAGACTGGTCATCAACAACAGGAAGTGTGAACAATCCTTTGTGGACATGGTACAAAATACTGTCCACAGCACAAGATTGAGTGAAGAAAGAAGCCCCAAGAATCCCATATTTCTTGGCAACATCTAAAGACCAAGGCATCATTGCATCATAAACAATACAATCAACTGGGTATTCTGAGCTTAAAAGCTTCTCAATGAGCTGAGCCAGAGTTTGTGAACCCACTTGCCAGAAGCGCTCCAAGTAGGCGTCTACACTCTCTGCATGGGCACTCCCTCCTTGGTCATGCCCATCTGAAATGGTCTCTAGGGGAATATAACTGCATCCTGATGTGTTTTGCATTAATTTGTTGTAGGCAAAAAGGGTAGAAACCAATGTGACTTTGACCCCATTGTGATGTAAAAGCTTAGAAAATTGGAGCATGGGATTGATATGGCCTTGTAGGTTGGGATAGGGGAAGACCAAACAGTGAGCTTTAGAGTCTGATCTCTGCCTTTTCTCCATTGAACTAGTTTGTGGAAGATGGGTTTGGCCAATTTAGCTCTAGATATGGAGGTGGGTTGCAGAGTGGAATTTGTGGTTCCATTTACATGTACATGTACATCCACCACAAAAGTCATCAGTTTGTTTTATCTCCTTTGTCTTTGTTATTTGTGCTATCATGTAGTGCATGTGAATGTGGGTGGACGACAAGTATCATTTCATATTATTACACATAAACTGTTATATCAGGTTACTATATTCCAGTGACACACAATAATTACTCATATCTTTTTTATTTGTTACATATTATCTCACTCACTATTAGAGAGTATTGGGGTGATATTAGTTGTCATCACCAATAAAAGTGATTATTCAAGAATTAGTAAACTCAGCACCAAAAAAATAAACCGTACAAAATCATGCATAAAACATCAAATCCACCTTCAGCCACTATGTTAATTACAAACTGGTCCTAATGTTTAATAGTCCATGTGAAGCATTGATGTGATCTAAAAATGTAATCCTAGCATTACCAAAAACCTATAAAGAATGAAAATGACTGAAAAACACAAAACTTTCTCATGTACTTACTTGTTCTTCCAACTCATAAAATGAGTTGCATAGGACCCAATCAGCTTTGTGAATGTTGGAGAACTGACCCACAATCACTTTATAGATACCAGGGTAAGACCCAAAATCATGGACAAAAGATGGCATGTCCAAAAGTTCTAGTGGTGGCAACCCAGGAAGTGAAATTTCCGACTGGTCATCAACAACAGGAAGTTTGAGCAATCCTTTGTGGACATGGTACAAAATATTGTCAACAGCACAAGATTGAGTTAAAAAAGAAGCCCCAGCAATCCCATATTTCTTGGCAACATCTAAAGACCAAGGCACCATTGAATCATAAACAATGCAGTCAACTGGGAAGCCTGAGCTTGAAAGCTTCTCAATGAGCTGGCCTAGAGTTTGAGGTCCTACTTGCCAGAAGCGCTCTAAGTAGGCATCGATGCCATCAGTTTCTTCCCTCCAGCCTTGGTCATAGCCATCTGAAATGGTTTCCAGAGCAATGCAGCTCGATCCTGATGATCCATGCATTAATGTGTTGTGGACAAAAATGGTTGTGACCAGTGTGACTTTGATTCCTTTGTGATGTAAAAGCTTAGAGAATTGGAGCATGGGATTGACGTGGCCTTGGAGGATTGGAAAGGGCAAGACCAAACAATGAGCTTTGTGGTCTCTTTGTGCTTTCTCCATTGAGCTTTTCTCTTCTTTTCTTTTTTTGGTTATGGATCTGGAGTTCGGTCAATTTATAATCATGTGCAAGGACTAGAATATCGATAATATCAACGAAATATCGATGATATTATTGTTTTTTTAGGTATATAATATTTTGGAACATATCGTATAAATATCGATAATATCGAGATGATATCACAAAACCCCTTGAGGCTATAATATCGATAATATCGAGATGATGAAGACAGTGAAAAATTTGAAGAGTTATTTATACTAACACCCCCTGAGTTTTCTTGTGTTTTCACAAAACCCTCTCAAGTCTCAAAAATTACATGAACACCTTATGAGATTTCAGTTTGTTTTCACAAAACCCCTTTTCATTGATTGTTTGTCAAAAAATTGATGATTTCATTGAAAAAAAAAATTATGCAAATGATAAAATTAACCTCAATGAAGTATATGCAATCTAATCTCAAAGGCCAACTGTGGGAGCAAATAAATCTGACGACCAATCAAGAGGTGCCACGTGGAAAAAGTGCAAACCCTAAGAATATATTATTCAATCAATATTCTGATTTAATAATATATTTAATATGAGAATTACCTATTTAGGTTGAGGGAATAAATTCCATAAATTCCCTCAATCTATTTATTTCCTTCCATAACTTCCCCAACCCAATTAATCAAGAGAGGAATAATTCTCCATTATTTCTCCCCTAATTGTAAAATGAATGTTACGAGAAACGAAAATCTATTTAAGCTAAATGGCAGACACAAATAAGGTAACTCTTCTTCACTCGGAAAAATCCCAAAAATTACTCTCTCTCTCTCTCTCTCTCTCTCTCTCTCTCTCTCTCTCTCTCTCTCTCTCTCTCCAAAATTAGGTTTGATAATATATTTAATAGGGAAGTTACCTATTAAAGTTGAGGGAATAAATTCCATGAATTCCTTAAATTCCATAAATTCCCTCAATCAAATTATTTCTCCCTTAATTGTAAAATGAATGTTACGAGAAAGGAAAATCTATTTAAGAGGTAACTCTTCTTCACTCGAAAAATCCCAAAAATTACTCTCTCTCTCTCTCTCTCTCCCTCCCCCCCCTCCCCGAAATCAGGTTTAATAATATATAATAGGGAAGTTACCTATTTAAGTTGAGGGAATAAATTCCATAAATTCCCTCAATCAAATTATTCAAGAAATGAATATTCTCTTTAAGGAGAATTATTCCCTCCTTAAATGGAAAAGAATAGGTTACAAAGATGAGGCTATTTAATCAAGAGAAGACAAATAAGGTAATTATGAACTTCTTCCTAACTTGGGAAAAACCTAAAGATTACATACACACCTCTCTTACCTACTCGGCTCCCAAGCCACAAATAAGGCTATTTTTGTATTGCAGTTTCCGTTTATGCATCATTTTAGTACTTTCATCTTGGTTCCTCCATTGCTTCAATAAAATTAATTTTTGTTTTTGTAGTTTTTGTTTTTGTTTTTGTTTTTTTTTTTTTTTTTTTTAATTGATATCTACATTGTATTTTTGTTGCAGTTTCTGTTTTTATTTTCAGTTTTTGTGTGAACAAGTGTTGAAATGATATATATATATATATATATATATACAGAGAGCTTCCATTGAGGGATCCCTCAAATAAGCTTATTTGAGGGACACCCCTTGTAGGGCCCACTCCGGATTGTATTAAAATTATTTGAGGGATCCCTCAATAGAAGGGGACTGTATATATATATATATATTTTAGACCGTTGATTGTTTATATAAATATTGTATAACTAAATAAATATTACAAAATCAAGTTTGGTGTAGTGGTTTGTGAGTGAGCCTTCCTCCTTTGAGGGTCAAGGTTCGAGTCTCTTCAATGACAAAAAATCTTTTTTTTTTTAAGGTGAATAAAGGGCAACGGAGTTGGTCCCCTGCAAACGGTGGCAGGCTGGCTACAGGCGGCGGTGGTGACCGGTGGTGGTTGGCTAGATATGGACATGTGACATAGTATGCTTGTCTTAGAAGTAGTGGCATTGTGTGTAATTTTGAGATCTTTTAATGATATTTTTGTAAAATTAGGTACTGCATTTTGATCTTTGGCCTTACGCTAATTAGATGAAATTGTATTCCTATCTTTCAAATTAGTAAACTATATTGTGTTTTAAAACTAAAGCTCCCTATTTTCTATCTATACACTTATGAAGGAATCTAGATCCTATGTCCCCAAAATGCTTGTGCCCTTCTCGTCCCCTTGATCTTGCTCTAAATTCTGTCGACGTGCACATTGATAATTTGTCGATACCTTATTGTCGTCGACGTGTTTCCGATAAATTTTTGCCAATATCAATATCGGCAGTCTGGCCTTTATTTAAAGACGGGATATCCTGCACATCAATGTGCACAGACGTGTTTCCGATAAAATTTTTGCCAAAATCAATGTGCACATCGACAATCTGGGATATCCTGCACAGAGGATTTTTGTCTCTTATAAATATGAGTTTTTATTTACAGACCCAAAAGGAGGAAGAAAAAAAATAAAAAAGTTAATAGTGAATCATCAAAATGCAGATTACATCAAGTTCTCCAATGAAAAGCATGGCTCGAGAAGTAATATATACAAGAGGGCCAATCATTCATGGGAAACCAAAACTACTTGTTTTCCAACATTTCTGCCACTAAAAAGTCCCACAAGAGCTGCTGGAGCACTCTCAAGGCCTTGAGTTATGTCTTCCAGATATACTATCTTTCCTTCTCTGATGTATGGTATGACCATGTCCAAGAAATTGGGATACAGATGGAAATAATCGAAAACAACAAAGCCTTCCATACGGATCCGATTGTAGATTAGAGACAGAAGATTGCTAAAGCCTTGTGGCTGGTTGAGATTGTAATGTGAGATCAATCCACACACAGAAATTTGACCATGAGGTCTCATGTTAAGAAGCACAGCATCCAGCATTTTTCCTCCAACATTCTCGAAATAAATGTCAATGCCTTCAGGGAAATGCCTGCATGTGACAATATTTTGATTGATGATTTTGTCTATTCAATTTCTGATATGTATTGTAAACTTCTTCCAAATCCAACATAGATCAATATATATACACATATAGTTATATAACTGACCTTTTCAAAGCAGCATCAAGGTCTTGCTCTTCTTTATAATTAAAAGCCTCATCAAACCCTAGCTTGTTCTTTAGTAGATCGACCTGAAAACATAATGGGAAACTGTAATATATATATATATATATATATATGCACTTCGACCTTTTATGCTTGCAACAAGACTTGTACAAAATTTGGTCCTCTCTATGCTTTAATGCTTACATTATTATTATTATTCTTTTCTAAATGATAATGCTAACTCACCTTCTCTTTACTTCCAACACTTCCAACAACATAACACCCCATCAACTTTGCAAATTGCCCAACAAGCTGGCCAACTGCACCAGCTGCTGCAGAAATGAACACACGATCTCCTTTCTTAGGCGAACAGACTTCATGAAAACCGGCAAAGGCAGTCATACCCGGCATACCTAATTTCGAAAACAAAATGATTACAACTAAAGAAAAGAATATATTGATTGTACAAACTTATGACTCATAGTTTCATGAAATGAGCAACAGCAAACACACCAAGAAGGCCAGTGTAGTAGGACACGGGCACATCAGTGTGGTGGATTTTAAAGAACTGTTCTGGTTCTGTGATGAGACTATACTCTTCCCATCCTGTTGTTCCCCAAACCAAGTCACCTTCCTTAAATTCCGGGTGCCCCAGAATCCAAAACCTTAGCAACTCCAAACCCGCTTAGTGGCTGCAGGATCACCAATGAAATTAATACCGCAAAAAATTGTATTTTGGAAAGAAAAAAAATTGAATTATTTATTTTCAAACATTGCATTTAATGAGTTTAGTTCTTCTCAAGTATTTGAGCAAGATAAGTTGATTGAATTTGAACCCTTTAAAATATTGCAACGTTCTATTCTGAGTACTATGATTACATGAACTAGAATCAGGGAATAAAAACTTCATGGATAATCCTACATTTCTAGGGAACCGAACAGAAAATCAAGAAAGCCAAGAGAGAGAGAGAGAGAGAGAGAGAGAGAGAGAGAGAGAGAGTGCTCACAGAACCAGGAGTGAAGGAAGTGAAGACATTAGAGCCTTGAATTCTACCCATTCGGATCCTCAAATAAGGGTCACATGACAAGTAGAGGTTCTTGAGCAGCACTGCTTTTGAGCCTTGAGGAACCTTGAGCTTTATGGAACTAGTTGTCACGTACATGTCTGACTCTTTGGGATTGCCAGACACATAGTCCTTCAATATCACCTGCTTGTTCCTAACTTCCTCCACGCCACTCGCCATTGCTGAACCAACCAAAGCTTTGTCTCTGTGGAAGCCTCAGTTCCTCTGTTTCTTTGAATAGAATATGCTTATCAAGTTTGCTTTTCAACAGTTTCTGAATGAATTTGAGGTCTTATATGATGATGACACGTGTATGAATCTATGACTTCCATTTCCATTTATCCTCAAAGAAAGCAAAGAAGAAAACTAGAGCTGTCTAGAAAGGTCGATGAATGCTAGCAACCTTCTTCTTTGGACTTTCTCCATTTTTTGTTTGACATATGTTATTCTCTTTACACTTAAAACAATGTCATTAATATATTGTACAAGCTAACTTTTGCTTTCCAAGTTTACCCTTATTAAATGTATTCAATTTATCCAAAAAAATTTGACAACTTTCTTACCATCTTATTAATTTTTTTTTAACATCAATTACTTTTTTTAAAGAAAATATTTGCTTTTTAAAAAAAGGAAATTTCCTTTTTTTTCTTTTTTTTAAAAAAAAAATTCTAAACTTGACGTTAAAAAAAGGGGACATTTCCTCTTTTTTTTAAAAGCAGACATTTTCTTAAATAAATAAAAAATTGACGTTAAAAAAAATGGTAAGAAAGCTGTGATTTTTGTGTGTGGATAAATTGAATACATTTAATAAGGGTAAACTTGGAAAACAAAATTTAACTTGTATAATATATTAATAACATTGTTTTAAGTGTAAGGAGAATGACACATGTCAAACAAAAAATGGAGAAGGTCCAAAAGATAAGGTTAGAGAGAAGGTTACTAGCATTCCCCTTATTTAATTTGGGTGGTTTTGATTATGAAATGACTAAAAGCGCTTTTTGTTTTATACCTAAAAACATTTATAACAATATTTGATAGAAAAACTTAAAAGTGATTTTGAGCCATTCCAATTGACTTTTCATGAAATACTTGAATTCTAATAGAAGTACTTCTAAAAAAAACATTTATGACCATAAATATTTTCTACATAAGCAGTCCTAAACAGGGGCATTGATACCCCTCTTGTTAAAAGAAAAGCGTGTATGCGTCTGCAAAAGTCACGACTTTCTTTGCACAAATAGAGCCCTCAAGTTCTACAGAAAGGTTGTCATGCATGAGTGGTGTACGTCTTTCTTTGTTTTTGTATTTGAAATACAGAGAGCCACAGAAGATGTGGTAGATGGGATTTGAAATGTATAGAACAAGATTACAAGGCAGTCTTAATCTGCTGCATATAAATGATGCCCTAGGAATTTGTTCATCTCACTTGTTTGTTACAGGAGGAAGGTAGAAAAGAATGACAATCTTCATAAACATCAATGTTTCTGTTTTTCTATTGAAATGCTAGAAAACAGCAAATATTTACATCATTGTTGAACACACTGTACAGTGGAATGTGCATCTCAAACAACATAAACATATATATCCTGAATTTGAATCTCTGTAATGCTCCTGCTTGTTTAGTTTCACTGTACATTTCTTTTTCTCACAACTCACTAGCAATCCAACAAATCTAACTGTGGACAGCAATTTGATTTAGAAGAGTAACATAATAACTTCAGGCATACAATTTGACAGAGAGGACTCAATTCGGAAACGGCAAAACGGCAGAAACAGTATTACAACTCCCACCTTGAAAGTTCTAGAGACGAATTTTGGTTTTTTTCTTTTTGTTTGTTTTGCAGAGGTTCTGTCATCATACCATCCTCCAGACATTGGGGCTATAAAAAGTCATAGTGAATTGGGACGTTAATTGCACAAACTGATCAAATTACTGTCCAGCTCTACAATTTACCAACCAAAAAGATTTTCGTGGAAAACTAGGAACACTAATTACACATTTTACCACCTTACATGGTTTAAAAAAACATGCAAAAAAAGAGGGATCAAATTGGCATTACCTTCGAGAAGCAAAAGCAACTTGAATACACTAAAGTAACTTATGCTTCACCAGAGTCTTGGGCTCCCTCAACTGTGTTCTCTTCAAACAATGGCTTTTTTGTGGCTCTATCAACTGTGGAGACTTCTTCCTTACCATCTTCATTAAATTTGTCTGAATTGCTAATGAAGATCCCTGAAAATGTAATACAAGCTTATTAACCTCAGCACTGTTTAGAAAGATTCTCGCTCGCGTAATAATACCAGTTTGAACAAGTTATTATAACCAATTGTCCTTCACTAACCTATGAACCATATTCCTGATGCAAAAAACAGAACAGACGTCACAACAAGAGTTGTTACCCTCCAATTGTTAACATGGTCCTGCATATGAAAAAGACAAAATCCAAAATAGGAAAAAGGAACAGGGTAAGGATGCTAAACTGACAAGAATTTATAAGAAAATTCACCCCAAGGCCAAACAGTGGAGGAACCATAAGTGAACTTTATAACAACTAACATAAAATTATGATATTACACAGTAGACAAAAACCAATTAGATGATGTAGTTATTCTTGTTATCAAGTGACAATAAGAGGTAAGTTTGAAGATAGAAACCATGCGATCCTGCAACATAATTAGCTGCCATTCCTTTTCAGTCTAGGAAAGATAATGTTGAAACAATAGAGTTAGACACAACAAACCCTCCACCCTCATTTGTTAAAACAAATAAGGGGTCCAATTAACTTTATCATCCCCTCTCCAGGAAACTGCATTTAAGTGTGATTTTAAATTGGTACAGATATTCTTCTCTAAGTGAAGAAACAAGCCTCGTTTTCTGAATCTGCTCATCTTTAGCTTCATAAATTCATTTATTATATTTCAATAAATAAAAAATCATTAACTATATGATATCAATATAATTTTGCTCTTGCATGCACAAGCTGAATCACAAAGTTCACTTTCAGCATCCACACTTCTATTCACGTACCACGATGAAGTTGCAGCACTTTTCTGCCCATTCATTCCAATTTATTGGACTATTAATTTAAGTCATATGAGCTATTTTGTTAGGAACCCCAACAGTAACTTCTTTATTATATTGATAATCAATGCCATTCTCTTGCTGCCAGTATAATGTCTGGAAACTGCTTTTCCAAATACCAACAGTATAGTAGAAATTATCATATCAACTAAATATTAGCAGTAATCTCCACTTCCTCAAAATATGATACAGAAGAGAACTTTTAAGGCACACCTGGAGGATTCCAGCAAGAGGTGAGGAAGGAACATCACCAAAGATGTGGATTGAAACAGTTGAGACAGCCATAGACAATGGCCTAAGACTTGGTTTCACGCATCGCAGAGACACATAATTAACTGGAGCCTGCCAAGGAAAAGTGATTAACAGGCCAAAGAATATATCAATTAATCAGGCAGATTTAATACAAAGCAGCAAAAGTATCCAAAAAGGTAATATCAAATTGTAATAGTATGTTATATTAATTAGCAAGCACAGCATGCAATGAAACCACCAACTTTCAACCCAACCCGTAGAATGTAAGATTACCTGTGTGGCAAACACAAGTAGCTCCCCCATTGAGAAAAGAACTACAAAAAAATACAAGCTCCTTACACAGAAGGCACTGAAGCAAAAGATTGCACCTAGAATTGTTGCTCCAGAGAGAAGCTGTGGAAGAAGCAAAGGGTTTCAACAGTACATTCTGATCAATCTTATTAAAGAAGGCATTTTGGTGTCGTACCCCCAGGTCACAAGCAGAACTCACCTTAAAAGCATTATTAATTGTGGCATTCACTGAATCAAGGATGAGCCCTCCAGCTAACGTCCCAAGAATTCCACAAACAATTGTAATACCACCAAACAACAAATCTGGATTACTCTGTCAAAAGTTCCAATGAACGAGAATACCGTCAGAGTAGTTAAGAATATTTTTTTAATTCAAGCATTTTTAGAATATTATTTTCTTTATGTTAGACTATAGTTATTATCATCTGTATTATAATAAAACTAGTAAAAGCATTGCTAAGGTGAAAGGCTGATCACACAAGCCTAACCTATTCAGCTATTTCTAATCTACCTTTCTCTTCTACTTATTCTTCTCTCTATTCACTCTTTAATCCTGCAATACACAACTTAACTATCAATGGGCCAAAGTAAAAGATCACCAAAATAACAATATGCTTGATACAGAAGGTCAAAATTTCAGTTTCCTTTTAACAAGTTACGATGACTTGCATTGAAGAAAAGGTAAATGTGTGACCAAACAAAAGGGAAACATTACAAATAAATAATATAAAATAAAATAAAAAATAATAAGCAAAGAGCTATACCATACGATAAATGCTATAACCAGCCTTTGGCCCCCAGTATGAGTAGGCTCCAATGACAAAGTTGTATGACACATAACCTGCCAGTCAATTATATTGTGAACGAAAAAATTATAAAAAACCTGTAAACATAATAAATAGTAACCTTAGTAAGCACTCCATGAGAAATTTCTCCAATTAAATTAGTAAGGCAATAAGATTGCAAAAACTAACACAGATAGATATGTGAAAACATGATCAAGATCAATAAGACGTAAGGATCATTGAATTGATATTTCATTTATTTACATTCAGATAAAGATCTGAAAAACTTGAACAGACAAATAGAGATTAAGGAAATACCTAAAATATTAACAACATATACTTTATCACGCAAAAGTTCTTTCATATCTTTTGAGAATCTTGAGAGTTGGTTCAAAGATTTGGATGCAGGGCTTGACCTGAAATACACAGAAGGAAGAACAATCTAACAATATTGAAAAATCATTTAAGGATGTTAGATGTGTACTACACCTGCCTCCCAACCCCACCTCAATATTGATTCTGTCAAGCTGAAATTTTGAAAAGTTTAAATTTTTTATTTTGGGCTGATTAGGAGGCTAATGCTAACAAAATACACAACAGCAGACTACAAACGAACCAAGCAAGGTCCAACGACATCAGCCAAAAGGAAAAAGAGAACAATGCTCTTGTCACATCTTCCTAATGTGCCCATATCTGAAATTGCAAGGGCATTTAAAATGCAAGTACACCTGGTAATGTTCAGCAAGTTTTCCCAGTTGACATAGAACAGATTGTTAACACTTCTGTGGTGGGCTAATAATAGAAAAACATATGATAGTTTATGATGGTGTAAGATCAAGTGACTTACACCCAAGTTGTAAGTCCTTTCTTGCCCTTTAAACTATTATTACATACACAACTTGTGTGCGTGTTTCTCTGTTTAAAACCATTGGGAATTTAATATTTCTCATAGTTAGGAAGAACAGTGCAGATAGACAGGTAACCAGGGAAAAAGCTCATGAAAAAGATGGATGCAATCACAACTTACCTAGAAGCTTTATCAGAGGAAACTATCACGCAACTATTTATGTTTGAGACATCTGAACCTGTGGTTAGAAGCTTATCAGAACTTCACAAAATAAACTCTTTAAAAAAACATACAGAGTTGGAGAACAATAAGATTTTGAAAATTTTCAAAGAATCGGCAAGCACTGGATGAAAATCTAAAATTCACAGTATGTCATTACACATAAGTATAAACAGAATTATGCAACCTTGGATTGGGAACATTAGGTTTTACTGTTAAGCTGGCATAAGGTTTTACTGTTAAGTTGAGTTTCTGTATAACAGTACCACAACAGAAATGCCCCAATACTACCATTGATAGTCATTACATTAACCATCTTAGATCCATCCAAATTTCATGTCTTATACAGTTGCATTTTAGGAAAAGCTACAATGTATCTGATTATATAAATCCAACATTAATATTGAAGCTGATTCCGTTGCTCACAAATAGATAGCATAGATATTGCGCAGTATCCTACAAAGGGATTTGCATCCTACACGGCCTCCATATAGGTAAACTTTTATAAATCACCGTAAACTACTAGTAAATGACAACACAGTAGCTGTTCTTGACCCACTATGAAGGCCACTCTTGAACTAAAAGATAAACAGTATAATATTTTCTTTTTCAAAAATGTAAATCAACTTTGCAGAACAATAATAGAACATGAAATACCTTCAATTAAAGGACTAGTTGTTTCATTAGGTTCCAAAAACTTTCTTGATTCAGCAGGAGCAAAACCTAAAGTTACCAGTTGCGTTAAAGGTTAAAAAAATTAGAACATAAGCTTCTTTATCTCAGATGATGCATCACAGATTCACAACAAAACAGACAAAAAAATGCACCTTTCAACTGCAATGGATTCATCGCAAAAGCCAAGACAGCAAATGGAAGCATACAAAATGCCTCTCCCCAGAATGCATATCGCCAACTGTAATTGTCTCCCACCTAAACATTGAGCCAAAGCAATATCATTACGCTGAGATATCTCCCATGCTACCAATAGAAAAATAAAATTACCATAACTGATAAAAAAAAATATAGTCCACCAAAATAAGCTCACTGTATTAGCTTCTAAACTATGGTCACACTAAAATTTGTAAAAGCACCAACAACACTAATAAATACACAGGTAAAAGACCATTTCTGAAATAATACTTACTAAGTTAAAAATGAAATTAGGTTTATATATGAACAGAAATTCAGAAACTACAACATGCAGGATAACATCCACAAGATATATTTGGTTTGTATGGTAGACTGAACGCTTTTCCATGCCCATAGCCAAGAACACATTTTGCAATTTCACAAATTGCAGTGAAAATCAGTTGCCTTTACGTGGCACTCAGAAGTGTGAACTAGCCATTATCTTAGTACAGGGAAAGAAACCTTAAGTTAAAAACACAGGGCTACATGGAAATTTCAGGAGTGAAGGGAACCTTCAAGAGCAGAATTTATTGCATGGCATTTCTTGCAAGGAACAACAAAAGTTATTCACATTTTTTCATTGGTTTTGTACATTGGGAGGAAAGTAGAGGCCAGCAGTCCTCTATATGTGTGAGCAGCGTTATTATGTGAGGTGATTGGACCAAGTGCTTTTGATCAAAGAATGCTCGCCCTTGAGCAACATTCATAACAGTCGACTCTTTCAAAAAGGAGATAAAGGCAAATGAAATTGCTACTATGAAGGTAAACTGACAAACTGACATCGGTTTTCAAAAAATATGTTTGCAAATTGCACCTGTATCTAAAAACTGATGGAAACTCAACCAACAGACTTTATATATTTGATGAAAAAAAAATAGCTTTCCAAATGTAAAAACTTACAAATCCGCCATAAACATAGCCCACAGCAATTCCAGTTGGTATACACATGTAAAACATTGCAAGCCATGCTGTTTTCTGGACCCACAATTAACAAATATTCAGCATAATTATGAAAATAATCAAGAAGATATATTAAGTTTTGCCTTCCTGGGAAACATTAAATTTTCTGAGCATAAAAAATAATAGAGAGGGATAAACAGGAGGGAAGCCAAACCTGAGGTGCAGGAGCATGGTCATCAATGAACGGCGCTGCAAGACTTATGAAAGATGCCTCACCAACTCCAACCAGCCTAGAATGGTAAAGCCCAATTATTAACTCACAATCTAGTACAGAAGATGATAATGATGAAGACAATGGAATGAAGACAAAATTCTAAAGGTGGAGAATACCAGAAAGATTGTTACACTCACATACGACATATTGCAATGGTCCAAAAATCAATTGAACTACCACACCCAGCTGTGGCAAATGTCCAAACAGATAATCCAACTCCAATCAGCCTAAAAGGATTGTGGCTGCAAAGGCAACAATGCATATGAACTTATAAATCAAATCGGGCAGAGATTATCACAATTGAAGTGATGACCAAGTTGGTAACTCATGCATTACTGCAAGTGTTCACCTCTTTGCCAAGGACGCAAAGATGGGTGACGCCATAAGAAGACCAACCATAAATGCAGATGAAAGAACACCATCTTGAAAATTGCTCAATTTAAAATCTCCCCTGTAAGAAAATACTATCGTAAGCCAAATACAGCCGACAAATGTGAAGAATTGTGACTGTCTGTCAATGACAGCCAATAAATGTGAAAGCATATGCTATTAGATAACTACCAGCATGAACCCTAAAAAATTCATGGGTCTTAAACACCGATCATAAATGAATTTAGCTTCTTGATAAATAAATACTATACAATTGCATATCACACACCATAGGCACCAGATACACAAATCAATATTAAACCAATTAAGGCCCCAAAACTCATAAAACAATCATTAAAATTCTTACTGAATTCCGCTACCCGCGCTGCAAATTCCGCTATCATCACAAATCCCAATACTACCATTGACACCATTGCTCGCTATTGCTCCTCGATCGACATAATTTATCATGTTAATTGTACAGAGCATTACGAGCAACCTGTAAAGAAAATATTCAATCACATTCCACAAGCAACAAGTTGTTACATTTAAACTCAGCATGAAATTTCAAAATTTTACTAGCTGAATTGCATTTTTTAGACCGAAGTGCCTACCCAGATCAACAAAATGAAGAAAACCCAAGAAATTTCTATTGAAATGGCCTTTTGAGGGAAATTGAGTTGGAAAGTTTTTACCTTTTGGGGGAGAACCATGATGGGTTCGGAGCTGAGACTGAGATTGGGCTCGTCGTCATCTGTGGGTTGAAAGGGTTGGACGATTGGGTTGGCTTTGCAGGTGGTTGGTGGTGTTGTTGTTGTTGTTGTTGTTGTTGTTGTTCTGATTGCGCCATGCTGACATGAAAGATCTCATCAGAGAGGAGAAGGACAGAGAGAGAGAGCTTACATATTCTTGATTGTTACGCAAGCAAAAGACCAGACCCTCTGCCCCTGTCTCGCCCCTCTCTCTGTCTCTCCTCTCTCAAGGAGGATTTTCTTTTTTCCTTTGCGTTTTACTCTTTTGCTTTTACCATTTATTTTATTTAACGTTGTGAATGAAACTCATTTTCATCCATTATTGAATAAAGAAAAGTAATAAAATTCTTATTTACCAGTCAAAAGACAGGTAATCAGGCAAAAACAAAAAACAAAAGAATATCAAAAGGATCTTGTAAGCTACTTCCCAAGTGATCTGCATTACTAATGGCATAACAATTTCCATTTTCTATTGTTTTATATAAATGGAACAAAATACTGAAAAAAAAAATTTGGACAAATGGATATGACAGTTAATCTATACAAAAGTGAGAGTGTTTATTAATTTAAATTCATGTATCATACCGTAAACAAAAAATTGTTAGATTTATTTGGATGGTTCTTGGCATGCTAAAGTGAGATATTAATTTCTATTCAAATTATAACACGGGTAAATTTTTAAGTTCAAATATTAATAGCATATAATGTGGATGAATTTGATGCACCACGTCACCATCTCACGAGATGTGTTAGATGCACACAACAATTTCTCTACATATACCACTTTCTTTTTTTTTTTTTTTTTTTTTTTTTTTATTGTATATATATTAGATATGTATATTTCACTTTACACACTCTAAAGTTCACTGAAATTTTTTTTCATCTTAGTCACATTACACAATTGATTTTCCTATAATTTTCATACCTACCATCGGTCTTTCCATTAACAAGTACTTGTGACTCGAACAGAAACAGCTTAAAATTTCCCAAAAATAAACAACGCTTGAAAGTTTTCAAATTATAAATAAATAAATAAAAAAGGAAATCTAGACTGGCCCAAACATCTGTCGACAGATGCAGTAGTACCACTTCCCATTAACTAATTTAGTGAACAGTAACAAAAAGAAAACTAATTTATTAAACTGCACTAGAGGTTATAGAGATGTAAAACAAGCCCCTTTCAACTTATTATGTGCTAAAATTAGCTTATTACACAAAAAATGTGGTGGCTTCTTTTAACTCTTATAACAGAGCATTTCACCCCACACTAATAACAAGGTTGGCCTAACGGATCTATTGTTAGATCCATGTAGTCTTGATAAATCAATAGATACAGAAACTGAACTTTTGCAGATACCCATTCGGTTTAGAAACTGTACATCTCTACAACCTACATACAGCAATACGCATGTGCACTTCAACATATATTTACATGCACTTTTACAAAAGCTTCACAAATTCTTTATGGCTGTATAAGCAGAAGCATGGATGTCACAGCACTCAGCATCCCATGAGAAGTCCATTTCCATGGCATCCATTATCTTTCTCTTCCACTTCGACGGGTTGTTTCTCTTCACATAGACAGGAGAACAGATTTAAAGAACATTAGCACCTTGTTAGCAATTTCCTATAAGTGGAGAAGAGAATCTGAAAATTTAATGAGCTTGTAAAGAATTACATACAATTTCATCCAGGGCTTGGGTTATAGACATATTTCCAAAAGTAGAGCTAATGAAACGTGAGAAGTTAGTGGTCTCATAATCATGTTCCACAAAGTTCCTGTTAGAAGATATCGCCAACAGAGACATATATAAGTATCCTTTAATTGAAAGAATGGTGCAAGCAAAAGCATATCCAACGATAGTTCTCATGTGGAAGAAGAAACATTACCTGAACCCGTCATCATTGGAGTTTACTGCAATTGGAGCGGCCCCGTACTTTAAAGCCTTTAGCTACATAAATGAGTACATGGACATCAGACGAGGAAAACTACTTCCTTGTACCACTTCCCAGGAAAATGATAAAGAATTACAATTAAAAGCAAAAAGAAAACAAGCAGGGAAACTAGACAAAAAGAGAGAACTAACTGGAACTTGGAGGACAGGATCATGAAAAGATTGGCATAAGATAATATCAGATCCAGCGAATATCAAATGTGATTGCTTTTCATCATGTCCATCTATGAATCGTACATTTTTATCCTGCACCCATACGGTAACACAAAACATATATGATAAGTTGCATAGGTTGAGGTAATGTGAGAATGACGATAAATAAAAAATTTGATCTCTCACTTTTTTTTCCCTTACGAATTGCATTTTGTTTTGCCAGAGATATTTTTTTAGAAAGATTCCCCATTGGATAAATAACAACCTATTGGGTTATACTTATAAAAATTATATATATATAAAAAAGAGCCTCATAATTATAACTATGGATTGCATTTGGCTTGAACATAATGGGGTCTGCTGAAACTTGTCTTAAGACGGAAAAGATCAAAACACAAAAGCAAGATTCTATAATGCTTTGCCACAAATGTGACCACTAACACAGTGTCAAGGAACTCAATTAACAAGAGGCTAAGCATTCTGTACCTTCAGTGGTTCATGCACCAATCCCAGCTTGTTTACACTTGATATTTTGCTAATCCCCTTAATGATGAACTGTAGGAAGACACTTAACAATCACGTCCAGGAGAAATAATCAGGAAGAACGAGAAACTTACAGAGCAGATGCTATAGAGCCTTCACAACCAAGCACATTAACCATTACTTCTTTTCCAATTCATTTTGAAATTACCCTTGGCATATCCACTGGTAAGGGCATTTAGCAAGTCCCAGCCACTAAGCCATGCATTTTTCTGATGAGAAAAGTTAAAAAGGGGGGAAGTAACTACCTGCACATCAATCCTCCTAGCTTTCCGAAATACTGCCCTCAGGTTCTCCAGATCAACATCTGATACTTCAGAGAAGATGCATCCGACCTGATAAACATTTTTCATAATTTGTTGACCTTTCCATTAAAAATCAGGAAGCAAGTGTAAAACCATGCATAGCAATTAAGTAAAAGACAGATAAAACGAAAATAAAGTTAAGTTATTAAGAAGACAAGGCTTCTCAGAAAAAGCAGTCCCAGACCCTAGATTAATTTCGAAAATTAAGGTTAACTTGTAAGTCGTAACCAAAATTGGGTTACAAATCAAATATGATGCAATTGGAACTCTGACGACATCCAATTTCTCAAATAAGTTACTCCTCCCCAAATAAATAGATTCACAAGACATCCAATACTACCGGACATGACTTTTCCAAATCCAAATATTATATAACCTTCATAACAATTAACAATCAACATAAAAGAACACAAGATGAAAAAGGGCACAGATCTTATCCATGAATTCCGGTTTTGTCATTGTTTTCACCCACATAACAACTTGGTTAACTAAGCAATGAAACATCGTAACACACCAAGTGCAAGTTAACAAAAACCTAAGTGTTCAGTGCGCACATACAAGAATAGTAGAAGCATGCTCAGAAAACCCAAGGTGCTGCTGCAATGCAGCTTTGCAGACTGCTTTCCCTTTCATATCCTTCACACTATACTGTTGGGGAAGAAATTTGTCTGTAGACGGATCCCAAGTGGAGTTGTCAAATCCACAAGGAGCAATAACCACTTTGTTTCTGCAAGCAAATTGAAACAGAAGGTAAAAATGCTTTCAGCACAAGAAACCCAAAAAGAAAAATCTGCAAGAATGTTTGATTGAGCTACTTACTTGTGAATGTTTAAGGTATGATCCAACCCATAACTCAGACTATGAATAACCCTGCCTTTTGAACGTATGGATGACATAATGACAACTTTATTGGAGTAAACAACTCCACCCTGCAAATTTATAGAAAATATATCTTTGAGGTATGGTGGACATGTAAAGGAAACTAGAGCTTCCAATAAAGGGTCTTTGAAGTGCGGGTAATAATATTGAATAACAAATTAACAGGGTTGCAAAACCAGTACATCATGTCAATCTTTTTTTTTAATGGTTTCTCCACGCTTCTATGGAAGCAGAAATTTCTGGGAATACAATGCAAAAGCAAACACAAAAGAATTATAGCTCGTGGGTTGTGAACTGTTCAACAATAATAAGAACTTATTAACTTAGCCTTTTTTCACAATTGTACAAAATAAATTACATCATAACCAAGGCAATATCCATCCAGTTGTCCATTAAACAATAGATCATTCATAATGTCACTAGATCAAAGCTAGTAATGCATTCTTATTTCAAGTCAAATTTGGGAAGGGAAACAATTCTCAATCCCATATTGTTGCATTGTCAAAATTGGAAAAAAAGAAGAAGGCAGAAAGTGTATCTCACACATTCCATTTAAGGAAAAGTAGTGCCTTTAATTTCACAATACTATTCATGTTGCAACTGAAAAATATCTATCCAACTGTATATATCATGCTTCAGTTCCATTGTGTCTAGGCCTGTCATATCACAAAACATTATCAAGAGAAGAGAGAATTGGCTATGGTATATACCTTCAAAACATTAACCAGATGTGCCTTGGTAGTATCTTGCAAACGATCAGAACGGTGAAGTCTAGCAGGATCAAGTCCACATAACGCTAGTTTCTCCGGATGCTCAAGACACTGAAGTATTAAAACACAGAGCTTAATAAATTGGATCCATGGGAATATGTAAAGTCAGAAAGGAAAACATACAGCTACTTGCCTGTGAATTGAGGTCGTGGCATGTCAATAGAACTCTTGTACCTTCAAGTCCCTATATATATGAGCAAAAACAATCACACAGTGGAAATGGTTTCAAACCAAGAATAAATAAATAAATGTTCTTCTCTTCCCTGCAAGAACCAGAAGTGGGTGAGAAATAAAAAGAGATGCAATATGTGTTAAACATATTGCCTGTCCCATGTGATGGAATACTAAAGTAGCCGGTGCCATCAGTGGTGTTATGTAAGGTATTTAGTTCGGGTCTTCCATGTTGTCCAAATAAAGTCTTGCCTTTCTACATCCTTTACTAATTTCTTTAAGCAAGGTGCCAGTTGTACAACACAGAACAGATATGTTACTATGTAAGCAAGCTGTTAGATTCATACCATCTTTCCAACCACAACATGTTTTCAAAAATTCACACTCTCAGAGACTTTGGCCACAATTTATATCCAGAGTTAAGATGCTTCCTTGTCCTATAATTATTAAGTAGCTGAACTAAGTCACTAGTTAAGTAAAAGCATCTCAACCCTTGAATTAAATATGGAAGGCTGAGATACATGATGGGTTGTGGCGTGCACTTAGCTACTTATTAGATCACTGCTATACAGACAAACACACATTGTAAAATTTTTACATACATATATTATTCCACGTTGCATTAAGGCTCATCAAAATAAGTTAATTACTCATAACTTTATTATTTGAAATGAAACAGAAAGGTCAATACTGAAGGGTTTGGTAGTAAAACAGAACTACTGCATGCCAATTTAAAAATATTTAGAAAAGGCAGTTCCAAAGCTGTACCTGTTTAACAATAATATCCCAGAAAAGTGGCCCAATAATAGCAGTCTCCCAGTTGTGGATATGTATCACATCAGGTTGCTTTCCAGATTTTACAATATAATCCAATGAAGCACGGGAGAAATAGGTAAACCTGAATGCATCAAATATACCATCATAGAAGAATTGGTGACGGCAAAGCAAGATACCATATTAGAATTAGTGTCCTAAATTTAGAGATGCAATCAAAAAATTTAGACTTTTGCTTGTATAAAGAGAGTCACGTACCCATGTGAATTTAAGTTCTTTGATGGTTCAAAAAGGCCATAGTTACAGTACTCAATTTTAGTTTTATATGAGCATTTCAGTTCAAACTAACCCACTTTAAGTTCAGATATCTTTATTACTTGAAGTTTAAGAAAAGGCTGGTCTTATGAATCTGTTCTTTAAATAAAGTTTCCTCCTCTAAGAATCTCTCCACATAAGGAAATTGTTAATCTGACCTCTGTGGTTCATACTTCAAGCTAAGTTTCATACTCAAATTTTGAACATTTCAAAACCAGAAGGCATGTATGACATCAAAAGACAACCCAAAGAAAAACCACAGCGGTAAAGAATATGAGTGAAAAAATTCTACTGACCTTTCAAAGTCATCTGAATAGCCATATACCCTCTCACGGTTGAAAAAGGATGAGTAGTATAGTGGTTGAATTAAAGTAACTCCAATACCATAGACAACACTGTATAATGAGTAGATAAAGTAAGAAAAATACAGAATTTTCAACAAATAGACTATAACAACGCAGATCCTTATGCAATAAAAGAGCTAATCAGAAGTCAACAATTGAGTTTATTGGATCTACATACACGCGCACACAGATATTCAAGACCTGTGCACAGTACCAGTCAACCAATGTAGGACTCGTATATCATAATTACCCACCTTTTATCCTACCATCCTCACCAAGTGAGGGTCCAATCACAAAATCAAAAACTTAGCCATGATAGGCTCATGATCAGCCCTACCATGGCCAGTTCATGGGAAGTATTAATGAGCCTGGTCAGCTCTGACATCATATGTTGGAACTCAATTCATAAGCCAAACAGGTTAGCCAAATGTTGACAGCAGTATTCCTTGAACCCAAGAGCTTCTCAATGCAAGATGTGGGACTTATCACATAGGCACCGTGCAAAATGTAGTTTCCTGATCGTTTCTTAATTGCCAAAATGGATTTGCAAAAGCAAACATAAATGTAGCATACAAAGAAACAACTCAAGCTTACCCAGTCCAAATTCTGTTGCCATGCAACTGACCATTAAAATATGAATAACACTCTGCCTCAATTTCCTGTAGCCCTTGAACTTCATTTAAATCCAAGTTTGAATACCTAATTACAAGGTAAATTCATCAAGGAGATAGAAATTTTCAAGTTTGCCAGAAATGTTTGATTAGAAAGATTATAGGAACTCATATACAAAATAAAGTCCTTCCTATCATATAATGATGCTCTCTTGTGTACCAAAAGACATTCTTCAAATTTTCTTTCACAGAAACCAGACATTTTGATCCTTCTTTCTTTGCTCAACAAGTAAAATGATAAAAAAGAAAAGAAGTCCTGCACTATCAAAAGTCCTACAGAGTCTGTATGATTGCAGAATATGAAAATATAATTTCAAGGAAAAAAAAATCACATTTGTCATATTCTGCTATATTCTACAAATTACCTATTTTCATGAACTCACAATCTAATGAAATGTGCCACAAGTATAGAGTTTCAGATCCCATCAGAAACAGACCTAAGTGAACATACAGGGTGTAACTATCTCTTCCATCAGCATTACTATATCGCACCTGGCTATCTCTGTCTCCTTAGGTCATAAGAAATGCAGTAGGTAATGAAACTAGGCAAGAGCTGCCTAGGAGGTTTCCTGGGCTACACTAGAAAGGTTATAGTCGCAGTGTTAATCTTCTCTTCTAGTTATCATCTTATGATCATCCACCCATACTTATTGGAGCATTATTTGTCCTAGTGTTCTCTAAAATATAAAATGATATTTAGATCTCCCATCAATCAATTCCATTGGTAAGCACTCTGAGCAAAATAAATAAATAAAATTACAAAGGAGGTCCCATAATTACTTTGGAAGTATCACCTCCACCAAATGCCCCTTCCTTTGTAGTGCACAAGACAAACCTGTCACATATGAAGCCAAAGATCCAACGGAGACCAGTGGTGCCATTTCCGTGCATACATGGACAATATGAAATCCATTCCTGAATTTTGAAAAAAAGAATAAATACAAAATAACATCCTTGTTGGAAACTTGGAAAAGGTAAAGGAGCACCAAAAAGAACAAAGAGAAAGACAACAAAAGCATGGATGTAATAATTACACAGGTGGTACAATTCATGATTTTAGAAGAGATACATAACTGAGCATTTCCCAATTAATCCAGAAAACCCTGATCAGGAAGTGATAAAGAAAAGCATAACATAACATGATTCGGTAAATCCATACTTTTACACAATAACATAGTTTGTTACATTATTTTACAAGTGTTCCAAATAAAAAAGAAAAGTCGTTTGTCAATCTGGTTACCACTTTTACCTTTGGTTTCTCTCAGAGAAGTGCCGGAGTTCTGCTAAAATCTCAGCATCACTCTTCTGCAGGGTGTCGTTAAATACTTCAGCTACACTAACTTTGTGATCCATGACCAGCCTTCTCAAATTAGATGCCTCCCCAGTGGTAACCATTCCCATGAGGACCATTGAGTCTATCCGAAGGAGTAGCTCCCAAAACATTGATAGCCTATCTGGTTTACAGGACATCAATAAAAAGACATTATTAAACTTTAACCTTCATGAACTCTAGACTTGTTTCTTTTGCGAAGAATATGATCATAGAACATTTTACTTCTATGTTTCCTACTCAAGTAAAAATACGAAGATATCATTGCATAATGGTACATAAGCCTGCCCAAATTACACTTCTGATTTCTGTAGTTTATGCTCAATCAGACACTGATTCTTATAATTCCAGTTTCAATAAATGTACATTTAGAGTTTTTTAATTTCTTAAATGCGTTCCAACTTTACATTCTGTCACATTGGTTAATGAAGATTTTCAATAAATAAGCAAATGTCACATTTTTCTCAATTTGAATTTTCTGCCTTGATAAATCAGAACAAAAATTCGGATCTTCCATCAACCATATGACAGAAATGTAAATTTAGAACATAATGCGAAGGTTACCAAATTAAGATGGCAAATTCGTTAAAAATACAACTACAGGTACTAAAGTGAAATCAGGCCTAGGATAGGAACCAAAAGTATAATTTTGGGCCTTCCAAATAAGAAAGAGGTATAAATCAAGTGAATGAGGGCTCAAGGTACCATGAGGTTTTGCAACAGCAGTCTTCTTTTCCAGCTCCAATTGCTCTATCCTATCAACCAACAGTTGTTTCTCTATGTTGATTTTGTTAAGATCTTCTACCGCCTTAAGACGATGTTGGTTCAAGTGTAGAATATCTGGATGTCATTTTCAAGAATGAAAGAAAAAACCCAAAACTATATTAGAAATTTAGAAATGAAAACACATAAAAAAAAACACAAATTAGATTAATTGCATTGAAGACTTTGGACTTACTCTTCTGAGCTTCTCTGAAGAGTCGCCAAATTTCGGACTGTTTCGGTTCCTCATCATTGGATGACTTGCACTTTGCGTAATGCAGACAACAAAATCATCAGCAGCACAAAAACTAACACAACCATTGAAAACACTAATTCGTAGTACCTACCTCCTGAGGCTGGGAGCTTTGTAAGCTGAAAATGATGTAGTTTAGAGTCATTCAGATCAAAGTGATTGAGACATATGAAGTAGAAAAATCAAACTCACAAAAAATAAAAAAGCTCACTTCACTTCTGAGGAAGAGGATGAGGACCCATTAATGGTGGAGCAGCAAACAACTGGAATTCGAAGTTTTGGGTGGGGTGGTTGCCAAGGGTTGATCACACTACTCATCAGTGCCTTCATTCTTCAAACCTCTTTGAGCGTTTGTTTTGAGAATTTGAGACTGAGAATTTGAGGAAAGGTAACTTTTTGTAATGTTGTAATTTTGACTTCATTAGCTTTGAAATTGAGAAGAAAATATATTGAAGTATTTGCTTACCGCTATCTCAACCTGTCTAACTGTACGCTTCTTTGATATTTTTTGCTTATATATATATAAAGTTGTTATTTTCAGTTATCTCTATTTTTGAGTAATTTCAGTTCTCTATATTTTTGAGTAATTTCATATAAGCATTATTTTATTTGCATTATAAGTTGTATTGTTTTATCTTCATTACTATCTCCTTCTTCTCTTGATTTGGTATTAGAGCCATAAGAGTTACGGTCTTTGTCTAAGTCTGCTACTCATCCCTACCTAAATGGCTGGTTTAAGCTTCTGAGTAGAGGTTCTTCAGTTTCTTCTTCTCCTTCCCTTTTATTCTCTGAGTTATTTGTTGATCTTTCTTTAAGGTCTAACCCGTGAGTCCTTTTTCCAAACAGTAAGTCCCTAGTGTAGAGGGCCTGAGCGGTGGGCAGGAAACAGAAAATTAAGAGAGGTTAATAAGTTTCTTGTAGGGTAAACGGTCAGTTTAGGAAGCCCCTATTTATCTTCTTCCTCATAAAGTCAAATCCAAACACTTAAGTAGTCATGAGTCGTTTATTTATGACAAATTCTTGTAGTTCGAGTAGTTCTAAAACCAGTATAAGCCAACTCCCAGAGATAGTTAATGAAGAACAATTTGAATATGATTCCAGTAGTAAAGAACAATTAGATTTTAGATATTGGAATATACCTAAAGTCCCGAGTCAAAAAATATATAAGAAACATTGGTTGCCTTCTAGTTTTAATAGCACAACTCATGTTAAAACAGTTGAACAAGTGTATGCTTTGAGTAAAGAACATGAAACCTGCCAGTTGCTTAATCTTGAATCAATTAAGAAGCATAAAAATGATGGTAATAACTTTCTGCATATTGGTTTAGTTCGAGTTGCAGTTAAGTCCCTAACCAGATTAGGATTAAAAGCTTCTATTCTTCTTTGTTTGTGTGACGCTAGATTTACTGAATTTAGTGACAGCACCTTAGGAGTGATTGAGTCCAGTTTATGTAATGGCCCAGTACATTTTGATTGTTATCCAGATTTCACTGTAAGTCTTAGTGATCCTCATATACTAAGAACTTTAACTCTGAACATTAAGACTGAAGGTTATAATGTCCTCCCAGGAACCCAACATTTAGCCTTGGTTTACATAATTTATTACAAAGTTACAGGCACTAATATGAATTTCCAAGCCCTTAATAAAAGCCCAAAAGACCAAACTGTTTTAATCCAAAGTCATATAGCAGATGCCCATATCCAAGTTCCTCAGACCATTAAGTGGTCAGAAGTTGCGCTTCCAAAAGATTGGACCCTAGTCACTGAGAGCCAACCAGTTCCAATACAGCGTAGTCTAAATAATTTAGATTATATCCAACAATATCTAGATGGTACAGTATATATATATATATATTTATCATACAAGTTTTTATTTTGCGTTCTTTATTTTTGTTTATTTTCAGTTTGTTTCAATTTATTTGCATATCATTTTGATTTTGGCAATTTTAGTCATATACATTAATTTGGCTTGCAATCTGTTTATACTATAGTTGACCGGAACAGTTCGGGAATGTGCAAGTCTAAGAACAATTCCACCTATTCCCTTTTGATAGAGAACTTTCATCCATTTGCCCTTTGCCATGACAAGGGGGCAGCTACTATTCACATGAATAGTGGCTACCCTTGCAAAAACGCAATTTGTGTTTTCACCCATTGGTATGGCAAAGGGCAAATACTATTCACTTTCATTTTTTATTTTTTATTTTTTTTACCTAAACAATTAATTTGGAGAATATTTTCGGTTGTCATGTGTCATTTTTTATTATATAAAATTCTCATCTCATATTTCGGATAAATTTTTGGATAACATTTTCACATTTAATTTTTAGATAAGATTTTCGGTTGCCGCGTGTCTATATTTATTATAAAATTCACATCTCAAATTTCAGATAAAATTTTTGTATAAGATTTTCCGTTGCCACATGTCCATATTTATTATAAATTTCACATCTCACTCATCATACAATTAAATACCTACTCACTCATCATAAAATTGTAATACTCCTGGTCCTCATAGTCCGACGCAATCGAGTACAAGGATAACTTGATCATTGGCAGAGGCAGTTCCATCATATCACGACGTGGGGGAGTATTTTCCTTCGGAGGACGAAATAGTGCCATTATTTTCGACATAGAACGCACCAAAGGAACCAACTGCGGGCATTGTTCACTTAATGAGCCATGTGTAATGGTTTTCATTTTTTTGGTTTTGCCTTGAATAATCTATTTAAAAAAATTAAATTGGAAATGCAAGAAAATATAAAAAGAATGACATTAAATTGAATAAAACGACAATTAATTTTTTACCTCGTCGCCAAGATTTTGACCTCTTTGATCATTTGTACACGACCCTCTGGCTTCGATGGAAGATGTCATAAGATGGTGAATAAAAATGAATACTTGAAAGTGAATAAAATATTGAGTAGAAAGTGAATAATAGTTGAAGGAGAAAAAAATGTACGAGGATTTGGTGTTAAAGGTGAAGAGTATTGGTTGGTATTTATAGAAAAAAAAATTCATTAATTTTTGGGTTTTTTTTATAAATAAAAAAAATTCAAATTTTTTTCATAATTTTATTGCAAAAAAATTGGATGCCTTTGGATTGTAGGAAAAAAAGCAATCAGAGCGCCCAGACAACGCCACGTGGCTGCTAGCCTTTGGGGAAACTGAGGCGAGCGCGTGCAAATTTTTTTTACCGTTGGCACGTGAAACGCAAATTTGAATTCCAGGGTTGACGCCAATCTAGTGTCAGCGATGACGTAAGCCAAAACTCAAGCTTGTCTTGCCCTCAAGCTAGCCTAGTCTCATAGCCCCCACCTCCTGCCTGAGTCAGCCCTTAATGCTGCCCGAGCCGTTGGAACTGCTCTTAAAAGGGGTCTAGACTCCAAAAACAACCCCCACAAAGGAAAAGTTGTCATGGCAAGAAGTGGGCCCACGAAACTAGGTAGGCCTACTTCCTGGGCAAGCTGACGTTAGAGGCCAATTTAAATACCAAAAAGAATTTAAAAAAATTACCAAAATATTCACACACACAAATTTATAAATATTTATCCATGTTCTTTACTTCCCACACCAAAATCCATACAAATTCTTCTCCTCATATCTCATGTAAATAGTGGTTGTCTTTAAGTTGTCATAACAATGGGTGGAAATGCATCAAAAAATTGCTAAAGCAATCACTATTCAGGGGAATAGTATTTGTCCTTACCCTTTGCCATGGCAGAATGGGGTGGAGTGCTCTAACAAAGCAGCAAAAGCACCGAGGTGCTCCGGATACATGCCTCCAATCCCATGTCGACTGCACAGACACCATACTTGATCGATAGCCCAACCTACCGATCTGCAATCTCATGGAACCAAAAGGGGATTCGAACCGCCTCTTGTCGTGTCGGTTTCAAGACACATAGCTCCAAATACAGACCTTGCTTATAAGATTATCCTAAACTCCATGCTTAGCTAACTTAAAGCATCGAAGTACATGACCACAATTGCCTCATATAGGGGCATTCCTATTTCTAAAACTGTTGCATTCAACATAAAAAAGGTAATCAGTTCATATATTTTCCTTAGCAATTTTAAACTTCTTGGACTCGATTTTTTTATTTTTTTTATTTTTTTCCACGATCACAACCACCAAAATTTAAATGACGAACATCAAAGTGAAAAATGAATCAAACTACAATAACTAAAGATATGATTTCGCCATCTTTCTTTGTTATTGTCGCTTTTCCTTTGATATAATTTATTTTACTGCTTTACGCCTTTCAAATGAAATGTTTAGTCGGCATCTTAAGTGTGTGCGTTTCAAAATCATATTGAAGATATGGGTCGGCCATAGCAATTTCATGTTTTCTTCCCCTTCCCCTTTTTTTTTTTTTTTTTTTTTTTTTTTTTTTTTTTTTTTTTTAGGGGGAGGGAACTCTGGGGAATTGCAAAAGCCAACAAACTTCTATAAATGCATCTCCATTCCACTCTCTCCCTCTCTCTCTCCCTCTCTCTCTCCAACACCCAAAAATTATATTTCACATAATTTGACACTAAAATTACATTTTGCGAAGTAGCAAACAAATCCCCTACAGCTTCAGAAGTAATTTTATCAACTCCACTTTAGCCCGAGACGAAATTCCCTCCCTTAATGATGACCCAGCTTACGCTTCTTTAATAATCTATTCCTTTTGGCCATCTGTTCCCTCCTTTCTTCTTCTTCTATCAATCTAGCCTGCTCTTCGTCCTCCTGCCTTGCGATTCTTGCACTGCAACATCATGAAAATAGACGTTTTGGATCAGTGGAATACAATGTGAAGCAGCCCCACGAAGGTGCTCCTCAAATAAGCAAATACCTCAATGGAATCTCTGTCATACCCCAAAATGGGCAACATTGGGCATAATAATACAATAACATGATATTAAGTGGGACAAGCTAGCTGCTTACCTCCGTTTTTCCTCCCTCATAATATCCTCAAAGTTGGCCTCCATGTCACTACAATCATCATCGCCAGCAAACTTGTCTGGATTATATCTGCAGACATTTCATATAGATGTTTAGAAATATTTATAAAATGCAATAAGGTAAAATTCCTTAACCATAACACAAGACAACATTTCAATCTCTCAATATGACCAATTGATCTTCACAAAATCAGTCCATAAGAAATTCCAACATGTCACTGAGATACAATACCTTCAAGAGTGTGTGTAACGTGTGTGTGTGTCGCATTCAGCAGATTTATCAAATATTTCACCAAAAATGAATTTTGAAATCAACTTCGGAAACTATTTCAAAGTTAACAGAGGAAGAAAGCTAATAACAAAATTACTCACTTAAACATATTCCTGATCATACTCCTATAATCCACCTCGTCATCGTACTCATCATCAGGGTGCCGTCTCAAAGGCTTTCTTTTGGGACGATGTTCTTGTGAAATAGGACGTGAGGAGATTTGCCTTTGCATTTGAGGCTTGTTTATCTGCCAAAATCCATGAATTAGAGAAGTAGGTCTCCAAAAAACTGATCATGCAAAGTAAAGCATATATGTAGGCATATGATGGGCTTTAAACCTGAGGTTTTGTCAATCCTGCTGACTGTCTCGGTAACACTTTGGGCTCATTAGGTTCTCGTACTTCCTTTCTTTGTTGCAAGTGCTGCTTTGGAATAGATGACTGCAACTTTGAAGGAAGTGGTTTGCGCACACCAGGCAAGGAATTCTTCACACCTGGTGCAGAAGCCTTCCTCTCAGCAGTAGAAGCGGGCATCTTTGAACCTTTTGGCCCTAAAGGCCGGCTGGGCCCATTTCCATTGTTGCTACCAAGCTGTTTTCTAGAGTCCACTGATGTAGAATCAGGTCTTCTGCTGGCAGAACTTAACTTATTGGGCCCCCCTTTAGAATGCATCTGTCCGTTCATAGATACCGGTCTCCTTTCATCACGACCTCCATGAGCATGTCCATTCATAGATACCGGTCTCCTTTCATCCCGACCTCCATTAGAATGTCCATTCATAGATACCAGTCTCCTTTCATCGCGACCTCCATTAGAATGTCCATTCATAGATGCCGGTTTTCTCTCATCGCGACCTCCATGAGCATGTCTACCATTATTTTCCATAGGTAGTTTGCTTTTCAGTGCCATTTGACTAGACCGCACCTCTTTAAAATCAGCAAAAAACCTGTATAAGTTCCTCAATGAAAATAGAATGTTTAAAGCCCCATAGATAAAGAGCCAGATAAGAAGTAGCAGATAGCAACACACCTGAATTTGGAACAGAGACACTTCGAGGAGGACGATCATTTGCAGAAGCTGGAAGCTCTACATCGTCAGATAATAAAAAGGAGTAATCTCGTGTATCCTTAAGCTTTTGGACTTTATTTTTAGCCTGCACATTCCACAAATTCCATTAAGAGATAATAAGACAACTAGGAGACTAATTCAGACTTTATGCGCCGACTAAAAACAATTTGCTCCAAATACCTCATTAATGACTCTGGGTTTCTGGTTATATGCTACAGGTTTCGATCCAGCAGAGGTTGATCCAGAGCTCTTCTTGTTCTGTAGAAACAAATGAGATCATCAAAATAAAAATTATGCCTCATGACACAGCAATTCACAAGGCCAAAACTACATTACATAATCAATTTGTGATCAGGACAGCATAACTGCCCATTATATGGTAAACCAAAACCATGAAGAAGCATGTTCATGGCTAGAGAAAAAGATAAATGTGAGAAAGTAATGTAATAAGCTATACCACAAGAGAGAGTTATTATACATACAGAATGGAGGGAGCTTGAAACCCTAGATGCCAGATGCTGGGTTTCTAATAGCGACTTGCTTTCTTGAATCACTCTCTCAGAGATAATCGGTTGAGAAGGGCCAAAGAAAGATCCATAACTGCAGAAGCAGAGACACAGATTTTCAAACAATTTTATAACTACACCTTACCACTCTGATGTCCACATGAAAAATATGAAATAAATCACATCCGTGAGATAACCCCATCACTGAAGAAGAAAACATGGCACTGACAAATCATGGCTCAATTTGGTGTAAGTGTAAGCTCTCAAAACATTTCATGAGAGGATACAAGCTGGTAATGAACTTAAAAACACATGACTATCTCAACCTTGTGACAGTTCCAGGAGTAAAACGAAATTGGAAGGAAGTGAAACACTTTGGAATATTTTTCCCATTGTGTCTGCTCAATTACTTTCAAGGTGGTGGTGATATCCCTGGGAGAAAAATTAGCCTGTCCCAGAAATTGAAACTACATATCGTGTATCACTCTATCATACCAGGTCCCAGTACACAGTAATACCATGTAGCCAATCAACAAATTAAGCAACTATTTGGTTGCATCAGTTGCTTGCCTCCCTCAAGTTTCAGATGACAACGCCAAATATTGTTCATCAAACAGTCATACAGGTACCTTAAAACAATATCACCATTGTCCTCACAATAATGACAATACATTCAACAAAAGAAACAGCAATGAGTTATGACCCTCTAAAGGAGCATTGAAACTAGTACTAGCAGTGAACAGAACCACCTTCGTTGTGGTTCTAAGGAAGTATGTGTACTTTCACATATAAAACTGGTGGTTATAAAGTAGTCACTCACTTATCATAGGGGAGCTTCTTCTTTTTATCACTGGAGTTGGCCAAAGAAGAACCGCCTTCCTTCTTCATCTGCTTTCGAAATTGTTCTTTCAACCGTTGTCTCAACTCAAGGTATTCCAATGCTTCCTTGGTAGGCTTTGGATCTTCTTCTTCCACTTCCTCTTCATACTCTTCGCCATCCTCCTCCTCCTCATATCCCTCCCCTTCGTCCTCATAATCATCATATTCTTCGACTGATTGGCCATATTCCTATACCAAAACAACCACCAGAAATGGTCAAACTAATTCTTTTCTAGAAAAAAAAATAGAGCATCAATTTCAATAATTAACATATAGATAATACAGAGATAGTAGTAGACTGAAAATTTGCTTACATCTCTATCGTATCCCCGCATTTCTATTTCAAAATGAACAATTACGAATACTGGGTACCTGAAAATCACAAAAAGCCCAAATCTTTATTACGCTGGACTATAAAACGCGAAAAAATCTGTAATTTCGGTCCAATCAAACAAAAACCCTATAGTCTCTGTTTGGTTCCGTGGATTCGGCATTGTAATTGAACCCTAATTTTGACATTGGCCAATTCAATGCCTAATCCACAGTTCGGATGCTCAAATATCATGCTGATACTATGAAATTAAAATTCCAAATTTCTTTAGCTGATAACCAGAACCAAACTACTTACCAGAAGTCCTTACAACCGCAACGCCGATCGCAGAGGCCTCTCAGAGTGAAGATAATCGCTGGGAAGCCCCAAATGGTACAATTCCGTATCCTCTCTCTTCAAGCCCTGATAATCGAAATTCACGTTCTATGGAGGAAAATGGATATGATGCGATGCGATCAGAATTCGAGAGAGAGAGAATCTGCAAGCCCTAATTGTAAAGCTTTGGGGTTGGGGGTTCGACCGGTTACTGTAAAACGAAGAGTTCCATTATTGTAATATAAAATTTAAATATGATTTCATCAATAAATAAGTAAATATATCTTTCCAATTTTTTATTTTATTTTAAATTGGAATTTTAAATTCTATATAGATCTAGTTCCTTCCAAAATATTATTCAATTACACTATTTTGTCCTTTTTATTTTCCTTTGTTTCCTTATCTAATATCTATTGTAGAGAATACACTTTCAACCCTCTCCCCCTTCGCAAGCCTGTAATATAGTTAAAAATACTTTAGGAATCAAATTAAAAGAAAAGGAAAAACAAACACCTAACTCAAACACTTGAAGAATCATTTAAATAAAAAAAATTAAAACAAAATAATAATAATAATAATAAAGCAGAGAATGGTGAAACATTTAAAATACCAAAAAATGTCTTTGATTAATTCAAACATTAAGAATTAAAATTAGGAAGTTTCACTAAAACACCCAAAATGGGGGCTGAAATTATAAAAAAACCCAACACCCAAAACACTTTATAAACACACCCAAAACCTATCATTACACACACTCAAAACTCATTTATAAACACACCCAAAAAATATACAATTGTTGATTTTGGGTGTGTTTCTATGTTTAAATAGTGCTTGAGTTTTTTTATAAATACATGTCTAAGATTGGATTTATTTATAAATTTGTATTAAAGTTATTAATTAAATGAAGATAATATGGTAAATTCACATTTTTTTCATATTAAAAACAAATTAAATAATATGTCCTACTTTTATGGAATATACTATCCATGTTATTTTTTTTTTAATTCTAAAAATAAAATTTTTAAACTAAAATAAAAAACCAATTGGCGCATGCATGAGCATGTGCCAAGGGGCTAGTTTGGTTTAATATTAAAGCTAAAACAGAAAACACATAAGCATTAAAAAATATATATTAATTTTAAGAAAAATGTTTTCATAATTATAAAATAAAATAATTAACACACGTGAGCACGTGCCAAAAGGCTAATATACAATGAAGTTACTAAAATGTCAATATGGTTTTTACCTTCTTTTTAATACATTTTGATTATCTAACTCTTCATCAGAATTTTGCTTTTGACACGACTATATAGTTATCTTTTTTAACTACATCAACTACAAACCCTTTACTCTACATAGTTGACTTGGTCTTGTGATATGTCATTCTAACATGTAAGTTGAATTAAAATTACGCAATTTCAAAACTCAAACTTTTTTAATTAAATTGAAAGGAATGAAACCCCTATTAATTCGAGATTCAAATTCAACATAAGATCAATAAAAAAGAAAATATCCGGACAATTCCTTATCAAATAAATTATGAAGGACTAAAATCTAGATTTCTCAGAAACCCACCCCAGCATCTAGGCCCAACTATAGGTAGCCCTAACGGAGCCGAAATGCAAAAAATAAAATAAAAATTCAAAAATTCATATTTTCCATTTACCCCGGCGTCCCAGCCTCACCTCATATTCTCCTTCTCTGCTTCTTCAGTTCTCCAATTTATTCTTCGGTTCCCTGTAGGTCTCTACTTCTTCCTTCTTCGCTTGTTCTTATTTTTCCAGTTCTTCGCTTGTTCTTATTTTTCCAGTTCTTCGCTATGTCGAATTCTGAAATAGAAGACCAAGTTTTCAACTTGTTCAAGGATTTCATGGCCAAGTAGTCTTTACCTCTCTGTGTGTGTTTTGAGCTTTACTAGCATAAATTCACTTGCTATGAACATGGTGGTGTTTTTTACTTCTTTTTTTTCATCTGGATAATCTCTTTAACTTCGTCGTTGTGGCAGGGTGGCCAAGTTTGATGATTTAGTGAGTCTGGGAAGCATATTACTCACTGGCTTTCAGCAGGGGCTGGGTAAGTGTTCTGGGTTATGTTTTATGGGTTGTTATCTGCACTAAGTTACAATTATTTCCCATGTTCCTCAGTAACATTCTTCTTTTCTAGAGTTTCTTAGGCGGCCTCCGGTAGAGAAGACATCTGAGTTGGTTAAAAACATAATCCGAGCTAATGAAACACAGAGAGTTAAGTCATATATTGAAGCTGGATGCATCAACAGTGACGATGGCATGCAAAATACAAACAAGTGTAAGTGCAATTGCTTTCTGTCTTTGGATTATTGGTTAGATAATTTAGGCCCTCTCAGGCCCATATCACCCTTATTATCAACTAAGTTGTATGATTTTTGAAATTTATACTGAGTTCTATTTTAAAGCTGTGATCTTTATAAAATTTACTTGAAATAATTGGAATGAGTTTTAATCTTTTCTTTATCTTCATTTGATCTTCATTTTCCTTGAGTTTTTTGGCCATCTGTTACATGTCACCGTTTGTACTTTTGCTCCCTTTTCCAACTGTAGTGTCATTCTGTAATGATTTCTTTTGGGGCACTTGTTTCCTATAGCTGTCTAATATTTGTAATGTTCGTAATATTGGGTATACCTGCCTTGTTGTTGTTGCTCTTGGGACTGAATTTGCACGTATTATCCTCTCTTTTTTCCTTTCCTTCGTTTTCTGATATTTTACCGTTCTGAACGTGATGTATTTTTTTATACATGGGGAATTTTGCGTATAGAAGTGTATACATGCCAACTTGGACTTCGTGACCATTTAAGCAAAGGTAACATCTCTTTTCAAAGTTATAATTATTTGTTTCTTCAATCATATATGACAAAGTAATCTTGTCAAAATGGCAAGTGAAGTGGTGATGCCTTTACTTCGATAAGCTACTGAATCTGTTTGTATTATTAGTTATTTCTTATCTGGTGTGTTTTGATAGTTGTTGCAATGCTGATACTTTATTTATGTACCACTTCATGTGCTTCTGAGATTTAATTTAAACATGTAATGAGTGTTGCAGGCAAAAGCATACTTAATGAACTTGAATGCCTCGTGGAGGATGTAATTGGTGCAATGGAAAATTTGTCTCCTTTCCAGGATGATAGTTTTGCTGACAGGCTGAATGAAGAAGCAAGTACTGATGATAAGGTAGTCTTCTTTCCTCTTTTTTCTTCATTTTTGTTTGGTCCTTCCCCCTTCACAGCCCCTGAGTTTGGTAGTTATTGTACCCATATAAGTACAGACGCAATCACACTTGTATCTATGATTAGCACTAATTGGAATATAAGTTAATCAGATAAAATGCTTGGATTTGATTAAAGTTTAGTGGAAACATGAATGCCTCTCTGTAGCTTCAGAGTGTAGGGAGTTGTCCTTTTTTTGTTTATTATTTTATCAGATTGGAAAGTGCTTATTTTAAATTTTCGGCAATCTTTACTGCTATTGAGCTGCTGTTATGTGGTATATCTCGTAGTCTAGAGATTATTTTTTAGGTTTCTTCTATAGTTTTGTTATAGAAGTGGACTCCTTATTCACTAATTTTGAACTTTTTTGTTTCTAATTAGTGACAGTTTTGTTCCCCATAAAAAAAGTTGAAACATGCATGGTTCCACCCCAATATATGACCAGTTTGGCATCATATCTCTTTATATGGTGCATTATATTGGTAACCTCAGAGTTTATGTACATCCCTACAAGCTGCTTGGCTGCATGACGAGCCTGCCTGTTGAAAATCTCCTTGCCCTGGTATAATCAGCAGAATTTTGGGCGAAGTATGGTCAGCCATCATTCAAACGTCTTCAATAACTACAAAAATTATTTGTACTTTATGTCCATTCATCATATACTCTGCATCCAGAATAATTGTCTTCCTTTCTTTATAGTTTTTCTTGAAACGCTTTCCTATCCCAATGTCCTTTCATTTTCTAATCAAGTTTGAAGTGTTTGTAAAATAGGAAAAAGAGATTAGATTAGAAGTTGTGAATGCAATATTTCTGTCTCCTTAAAATGTTGATGATTAAGAAAGGGGCAAAATTATTTGGGATAGAGGGAGTTATATATTTTCAGTTCTAAGATGTTTGGCTGAACTTAGTAGTTCATAACTAGTTCAAAATTGTATATTTCTCCGAAAAATTCTTACACCAATTCTTAATTCTGATTTCTTGTGGTTGATGATAATATTTTTAAAACCCCAGACTACTGACACCTAACTTCTTCATAGGAGGAAATTGCTTCATCCTGCCCCAAAAGAAATAAAGTTACCGATTATGCTGAGTGTATGGGGATCATTTACAGTATGGTCAAGCAAGACTACATGATGCAGGTATTAAAGCTTTCTGTCTCCTTTCCTATCATTTTGAACACTTTGGTGTAAACTTTAGAAAATCCTATGTCAAAACGTGTTGCAGGAAAGGGTTGTTTCTGCTCTGAATGTTAAGTCATCTTCAGGAGAGTTAGAGAGCTACTGCCTGATGTGGTCTTTGCGTCCCTTCATAAATAGCGAAGTTATGGATCATGCTTGGAAACTTATTCCCTGAAGTGTCAATGTTTGTTCACTGTTAGATTGGTAATTTAAATTAAACTAATGGTCATAAGACAATTCATTTGACTACATAATTGTTGGTTGTTTGTCCGAGTATTTTAGTCCATCTTATGATTTATTTATTTTCGAAAAACTATGTCACGATTGATTATCAGCAGTGGTAATTGACATCTATGAAATTTGACACCAATTTTTTTTTTTAAAATAAATAAACTCAACTTCCATTAGATGGAATAACTAGAATAATTATTTACAAGGTCAATGTAAGTACAATCCATCAACCATATATCCCGAAACCCATTTGACAAAATTGGGTGATATTCTTAAATCTCTGTCCAGTCTCGGCAGTGGGGACCAGCTGCAAGTATCTCCTCAGTCAGCTTGTTGTCCTCACCAATCTGGTAATTTGTGAAGGTCGCAAAGTTGTTCTTGAACAGGCCAGCCAGCTTCATCAGTGTCTCATTGTATGCATTCTTGTCTGACCACTGCAACACCAAAATTAAAATCACAAACCAAATCACATTAGAAAGGCTGAGAAAAAAGAAAAACTAAGCAGATAGATATAGTACAGAGAAAGCCCGACTTACAGTGTTCACAGGATCAAGTATTTCTGAGGGCACTTCCTTAACCTCACTAGGAATCTCAAGTCCAAACACTTCGGTCTTCTTATACTCCGTCTTCAACAGGCTGCCGGAGTGGATGGCATCAATGATTTTCCTTGTGTAGGCTAGCTTGATGCGGCTTCCGGATCCATAGCTGCAAGAGAGAAACATAATTTGGTTCAGATTTTCTTGCAAAATAAAAAAATGGATAAACGTTTTTAGGCTTCTAATGTTATGAACTTATGATGACGTTTTAAATTTTCATACCTTCCACCAGACCAGCCAGTGTTCACCAGCCATCCAGTTGCACCATGCATCTGCATCTTCTCAGCCAACATTGCTGCATACTTGGTAGGATGCAGCATTAGAAATGCTGCACCAAAGCAGGCTGAGAATGTTGCCGTTGGCTCCTTGATACCATCTTCAGTTCCAGCAACCTGAACATTTTCAATGGTGGGTTCAGTCAAAGATGGAAGACAAGCTCAATATTTTGATTTGCTAACCAATTCATAAGCAGATGAGAAAGTACTCTTCTATTTCTCATCCCATGTGAAAAGATATGGAAAATGATTTCCTTTCAAATCCTTACTTTCCCATCTAATCCTTTTATGGGATCCAAACGGGACCTAATAGTTGAATATTTACCAGGGCAGTGTAGCCGCTGATGAAGTGGTACATGGTCTGTGCCAGGTTCAGCTTGCTCACAGGTGGGAGCACACCAAATGCATCACATGCCAGAAGAATGACATTCTTAGGGTGGGGGCCAACACATGGGATCAGTGCGTTGGGGATGAATTCGATGGGGTAGGCTGCACGAGTGTTCTCTGCAACCACAACCAAAAATAATATTTTGCTTGAGTGAAGTTAGCATATATAAGTTTATAAGTTCATCTTTTCTCTGTTTTCTTCTTCCCTCTGATATTTACCTGTAATAGATTTGTCTGCATAGTTCACCAGTCGGGTTTGATCATCGAACACAACATTTTCCAGCACTGCCAATAAGGATCAAATCAAATTCCATCATCTTTGTGGTGGCGTGGCATTGGTTGGAAAAAAAATTGATTGAAAAATCACAAGAAATGGAAATGATATATTACCAGCGCCAAACTTGATGGCGTTCCAAATGTCAGGCTCCTTCTCCCTGGAGAGGTCAATGCACTTGGCATAGCAACCACCTTCGATGTTCGACACACCTTTGTCGCTCCAGCAGTGCTCATCATCTCCGATCAAGTACCTGTTGTGATCAGTGGAAAGGGTTGTCTTACCGGTACCTAATCATAAAAATGGAAAAACCCGAATGAGCATTGATCAGAACCTAACTAGCCTCTCCCCACGCGCGCTCTATGATGATGAGTCGACAGTATTTACCTGACAAACCGAAGAAGAGGGCAACATCTCCACTCTTCCCCATATTGCAGCCAGAGTGGAGGGAGAGGATTTGGCGCTTGGGCATGAGATAATGCATGACACTGAAGAGGCCCTTCTTCATTTCACCAGCATACATGGTTCCAAGAATGACCATCTCCTTCCTAGCAATATGGAGATCAACGCTAGTAGAGGATGTCATGTAGTGTGTGTAACGGTTGCAGGGGAACTTGCCAGCATTGTAGATAGTGAAGTCCGGAGTGCCGAAATTCTCCAGCTCTTCTTTAGTGGGTCGGATGCACCTGAGCGAACATCGACGTTGTAGTCTTATTGGAATTCAAGGACGAAAATGCGTGAGCATAATTGTTCTTAATTATGTTGTACTTACATGTTGTGCATGAACAGTGAGTGGTAAGCCCTAGCAGAGACAATCCTCACTTTGATTGTGTTTTCTGAATCCCAGTTCAGAAATTGGTCATTCACAAAGACCTGTAAATCAAACATTCAAGACCATTATTATTATTATTATTATTATTATTATTATTATTCTATAGACATAACTATATATGGAAATTTAATGAAATGGGATGAAAAAAATTACCTTGTCTAAACAATTTAAGTAATCTACAGCTCTTTCCCTGTTAATCATGAACGTGTGCTCGTCCATTTCGATGTTGGGGGAACCCCTACAGGTGAAAGACAATACCAACGTCAATAATCAAATATTGACATCATTTATTTCAGAAAAAAATATATAAGTAAAAAAAATTGAAAATGGGGCACTTACTTTCCCCACCAAAGATCATCCTGAGTAGTAGCGTCCTTGACAACACGCTTATCTCTTGGAGACCGACCAGTCTTGGCTCCCGATTGAGTTGCTAATGCACCCGTGGACGTGATGAACGACCCCTTCTCGTACTTGACAGCATGCTCATACAGCTCTGCGCCACGTACAATCCACTTCAATTCCCCCACTCTTTTTATTTTTTGCCAAAAAACATATCCAAAGTTCCAACAAATAATGATGCATGCGACATGTTTAGTATTATGGGTTTTGCTAAGGTCTTATCGAATATGTGTCCCACGATTACCAACGATTAGACATTATAGGCGACGAACCGTAGCACAACTCTTAGTATTACTACAGACAGAAGAATAGGTTTTACCAGCAGGAGTAAGGTTGTAGAGGACGTTGGTGAACTTCAAGGCGCTGTCACTGACGCAAATAGTGGGGGTGAAATGTGACACTTTATCAACATCGTTCTGGTCATACTTCTTAGCCTGAACGACCTTAATTTGATCCATTTTCTCTAGTCAGTATTTGAAGCCAAAATATATATATAAAATAAAAATGAACCAACCTCGGGTGTCTCTGTTTCTGGTTGGGTCTCAGTCTCACCGAAAGCCATTTTCTTGGTGGGTATCTGAAGTAATTAAAATGAAGAGCACGAAGAGCAGCAAAAGATAGTTTTTGGTTTGACAGGGGATGATGCGTATGGGCGTTCAATCTCCTTTTATTTCAATTTTTTTTATTCGAGAGATTGAACGTACGATTAATTAAGCTGGGAAATTTTTGTGGATTGTCTTTCCACCTTTTATAGTGGCTCATGCATGCCAAATTATGGTCAAAGATTAAATTGAGGTTAAAAATGAAATGGATAAAATATGTGGAGAAGGTGAATTGCATGGTTTCTTGAATGACACGTGAAGAGAGTTCCATTGCTTTTGGATCATGGCACCCCAAATTTAGTTTTCTAATAATAGCCTAAGATTAAACTCAATGCCAGATAATTGCTCTCATCTTCTTCTTTCTCAAATTCTTCTTTGATTTGTTCTTGGCCTCCCTCGTGGCTATACTATTTCTTTAATAAAATTTCTAAAAACCGAGCATAGCCGCCCGCTATACTATTTTTTCTGAAAGAAAAATTGGGAAAAAAATGTGTATAGCCGCGCGGCTATACTATTTCTTTTGAAAAAGTTAGAAAAAAAACACGTATAGCCACTGGGCTACTTTAGTATAGCCGTGTGCCTATACTATTTAATACAAAATATATAAAAAAGGACTCTCCTAGTTGCATTGGTATATACTCTATAGATATTAATTTGGTATAACCGAGCAACTATACGAATAAAATGCTTACATGTTTTATTCGGTAAAATTTTGTCAAATTACAACTTAAAAGTTTGGCCACTATATAATTTTTTAAATTTTTTTAATACATATTATATGTCAATACGTGAATTTTGTGTGTATTATTGAAGATTTTGTAAAAAAATAGGTGTATTAAAAAAAAATGGAAAACCCGAGTATATCCGCACGGCTATACCATTCTTTGTAAAAATGAAAAAAAATACCACGGCTATACCATTTCTTTGTATAAAAATGGAGAAAAAACCCGGGTATGGCCGCACGGCGATACTATTTCTTTAATAAAAATTCTAAAAACCACCATGGCTTTTTAAAAATTCTAAAAAAAACCACGTATAGCCGCACGGCTACACTTTTTCGCCCCGCCGACGGCTATACTATTTATTTTGAAATAATTGAAGAAACCGCATGTAGCAGTGCGGCTATACTATTTATTTTCATAATAAAAAATTGGAAAACCCGAGTATAGCCGTTGGTCTATACTATATCTTTTTAAAAAAAAATTCGAAAATTCAAGTATTTCTGTAAATGTTGTTAGAAATCTAACTTCTTCTTCTTCATTCTTCCTATATCTTTAACTTCTCTGCTCTATCTTATTTATTTATTGCTTCTTCTTCTTTCTTCCTATATCATTAACTTCTTTTCTGCTCTGTCTTATTTATTTAATGCTTCCATTCAAATGGTTAACCAATCTAATATTGTATAAGAAACTTGAATCGATTCGATAAATTGGAAGACCAATATAGGAAGAGATGAAGTTAATCGCAAGAAATGTTCCCCACAGAGGGCGGATTGAGAACTTTTCTCATATTCTATTAGACCTCAATAGCTTCGATAGTGATGGTGCAGTGCGGTGGTTGGGGAGTGCCATTATAAATT